CATAAACCTTAGCTTTCCTTAACAGCCCTAAACTAAGATTCACTTCTTCTGGAGTCAAAAGACTAGACCATAGTAACACTTTATACCAATTAGCACCCTTTTTCACTAAGCCAGGTTCTCACACTTGAGCTTGCTTCAGAATAAGGTTTCTGGGTCCCGCCCCGTTTCTAATTCAGTAGGTCTAGAGTGAGGCACCAGGATTTGAATATCTAACAAGCTCCTAGATGGTATTGTTACCTACTTCCCTTCCCCATCAGGGGACCATGGTTTGAGAATCACTACACTAAATTGCGTATTAAGCTGCTTTATGATTCCAGGGTCCCTGAAACTAGGAGTCCGAATTTCTTGTTTCCTGGCCCCCATAAAAAGGGGGGGGTCTCTCTAGCTCTCCATTCCCTCAAACCATCACTTAGGTTTTCCTGATCATTCAGATTCATTTCAGAATCAGCTCCCTTTGCCCCTCCCCAGTCCCTGCTCTCCACAGGACCTGGCTGTCTCCAGTTCTCCTTAATTACCTACTTGCCCAGATTCATTTCTTTAATTTTCTCCTTGTTATGGGCAGATTTACAGGCTGTTTGAGGGAGCTAAACACCACTGAAGTACGGTAAAGGGGCCTCTGGCTCAGCCATTTTACAGCCTTTGATAAGCAAGCTCCCAAGGTGCCTGGCTAGCAAGCCCCATTCCCTCTCGGGCTTCTGAGGGTAGATCTGCAGTCCCCCCTCACCCTGCCCTCCCTCCGCGCTGCCTGCCTCTGGCGCTGCCCTTATCTACTCGGCACAGCCTTCACAGGATACATTCTGGGCGGCTTGGCTCCTTCTGCTCCAACCACCCCAACACTGATTTCTTTCCTTTTCTCCTGCATGTTTTTTGAGCCAATACTTTGTTAGTGATTCTGGCTGTATTTTTGAGGAGGGAGATCATCTACCAGTTCTTCTCTAGGACCCTCCTTGCACCCACATGACAATCCATCCTCTTCTTCCTTTCCAGCTCCTCTGCGGTTCATCTCCTGAAATGCTTACCAGACAAGGCCTGGCCCTGAGCAGACCTGCCCGGGGCCAGCGGTCACATGTGGGTTCTTGACTTTGTGTAGGGAAGCTTTCACAGCACGAATCCAGGTGACTATGAGGAACCATTTATTAAAACTGGGGACAGTGCAACAAGGCAGTGCATAACACAGAGAAAGCAAAAGGAGAGCGTAGGCTGGGCTGCCTTAGCTCACTGGGAAGTCAGAGGGGGCTTTGGGGACAGGGGATGAGCCTGGGACAAGCTGCCAGCTGCCCACTGCCTTATCGTTTAGGAGATGCGTGCTTGTGGGAAAAGAAGTGGGGGAGGAAGAAGGGAAAGGCGCATTCCCAGAGGGAGACCATGCACTGGGTTCCTTTGTCTTGAGGCTTTTATCTTTTTTTGGCAGGTGGGAATCTTAGGGGAGGTCTCAGGGGAGGGTTTCAGTAGACTCTTAATCAGTTCTCCAGGTGCACCCTTTCAGGGTCATGGTCTCTACAGATTAGTCAGTGGAGGGCAGGGGTCTTAAGAGTCATCACCGTTGGTTCTGGTGTCACCTATCTGGTTCTGCTGCTTTTCTGCGCCTGGAGCTGAAATACAACTGAGGCCTGGATGTTATCTCCAGGGAGGAAGGGCCCCCTGGGGGTGAGGTCCCTGTTTTCCCAGTTTTGCCCCCAGCCAGGCCTTCTGCCCTGGTGACCATCTGCAGCTGGCTGTAAATTGCCTGGTCAGTTTGTTCAGCTGTCTGTTTTTCTATCCCACTTGCCAAGGAATTTTCCTAGCTTTTTACTATCCTGTCTCAAAATGAGATAAAGGCAGTACAGAACTAGTTCCCTAAACACTGCCTTGCCTAGAGAGGGCTAAAAACTGTGGGATGGAAAACTGGGAGGACATCTTAAAGCCAGACGTGAAAGGAACAAGTAGATTTACTCCATCATCAGATCAGACGCTTAAAAACCCAGCCAAGCATCATGAGGCAGGGCCAGAAGTTGACTTCTAGGGAAAAGGTTACAGAGCTTTAAGAAAAAAAAAAGACAAAAAAAAAAAAAAAAAAAAAAGACTGGGGGGACAATTGTTGGGAGACTGAGACAATCAAGAAAATGTTTTAATGTTTCTTAGTCATCTCTGCTTTCAGCCAGGATTCCTGGGAATGCAGGCTGTCCTAGATAGATGTTGCTTTTTCTATTAACCCATCAGTGATGAGGGCAGCAGGCTGAGGCCTGGCTCACCCCCAGGGTCCAGTAAGCCGTGGCTTGTCACTGGAAATGAAACACTTTTGACTGACTGGGCGTGTAGCACTTGCTTCCTGCCTGCCTTTACCGCTAACACTGGGACCCATGGACTCCTGGCAGGTAGATGGGGAGCTTGTAGCGGCCCTAGAGAGGTCATGTTATAGGCGAGGCTGAACTGGAAGGCTTTGACAACTGGAAGATAAGCACCATAAGCTGGAATGCTGGATGGGAGCGGAAATAGGAGTAGGCATGACCCAATCCTGTAAGTCCCTTTGCCTAAGGCTGCTTTCCCAGGCAGAGCTGGCACTTGGAGGCAGGACCCTTCTACTGTCTCCCTACCTGACCCATAAAAGAAGGTAGAGTGCGAGTTCCCCTCACAACCCACCCATCTCCAAATTTCCTTGAGGCTTGAAGCGGCGCCTTCTGGCCCGGGGTCAGTGACTGATGCCGATGAAAAGCTGACTGATGGGATAAAAAGGGCATGGGATTCGTCTCCTAGCTGTACAAGCTTTTGAGCAAAATCTTTATTTTTGGTTCCCATTCTTCAAATGAGGTGACAAATACCCACTTCACAGAGCTGTGATGAAGGCTAAACTAGATAAAAATGTAATAATGGCAGCTAGTTCCATTTTCTCTACTCTACCCTCACCTGCCCACCCTCCTTACAAATACTGCAGCACGTGTGAGGACTGCATTCTCTTTGCTTCAAAGAGGATTCCAATCTATGACAGTGTAAAGGCCAAGAAATGATGGCACAGACTATTACCTGTGGATTAAGCGTGTTAAAGAGGAATGGTTGTCAGAATTCTAAAGATGTCCTCCTTAGATTTCTGCCCCCTGGTTATTTAATCAAACAGGAATTTAGGTACTGCTGTGAAGAGGCTTTGTGCTGTACTTAAGGTGATGGACTATTAGATAGGGAGATCACTCTGGATTACGCGGTTGGCACAATCTAATCACTTGAGCCCTTAGAAACAGAAATTCTTGCCCTGACCAGGGGCCCAGTTAATTGGACATCATCCCATACACCAAAAGGTTGTCGGTTCGATCCCTGGTCGGGGTGTGTACGGAAGGCAAGTGATCGATGTTTCTCATGTTGATGTTTCTCTCTCTCCTTTCCTCTGTCTCTCAAATCAATAACATATCATTGGGTGAGGATTAACAATAAATAAAGAAAATAGAAACTCTCTGGTAGGAGTTAGATGAGACAGAAGAGGAAGTCAGAGAGAGTCCATATGTGAGAAACACTTGACCAGCCATTGCTGGTGTTGAAGATGGAGGTAGGGGTCAGAGCCTAGGAATGCAGGTGGACTCTGGAAGCTAAGGATGACTTCTGGCCAACAGCCAGCAAAAACACAGAGATCCTACAACTGCAAGGAACAATTTGGCCAACAACATGAAACTGAGCTTAGAAGTAGATTCATCCCCCAGAGCCTCTAGAAAGGAACCTTGCTGACACTTAATTTTGGCCCTGTGAGACCTCAAACAAAAAAGCAGTTGAGCCATCTTGGACTTCTGACCTATAGAGCTGAGGTAATAAATGGACATTGTTTTAAGCCGCTATATTTGTGACAATTTGTTATGGCAGTTAATAGAAACTAATACAATAGGTTGTAAAGACCCTTAACAGCCCTAGGAGGTAGGTACTATTAGTCCCTGCTTCGTACAGACAAGGAGACTGAAGTACAGTGAAAAGGATCTGAGAAGTCTGCGGGCACGAGCATTAAGAACAGTCATACGTGGTGGGAGTGTCTGCTACCAAGTTTATTTGCAGATGAACAGTACAACATTTACTAAACGTATTATGTACAATGAAGTCTGCACTGCCCTCATACACTAGGGGCTCAGGAAGACCCAGTCCTTCCAACAGCTATAAACAGTCCCGGGTAATGAGTTTATGAAAAACACTTTCTCTTCCTTCAGCAAACAAAATTATTTATGAAGCTGTACATTCAGCAATAGGGAGCAAAAGGAAAAAAAAATTACCTCAAGGAAAGCAACAGCTCCCTTCCTGGTGGGATCCGTCATTTTACAGACATGAAATATTCATATCAGAGATCTTATATTTCAAGAGGAATGGGTTACATATCAGAGCTACAAGAGTAAATATTTTATTTATTACCAACAGGGAATTAGAAGACTTTCTCTGGACACCAGTTCTTGCCCAGACTTCTGGAGATCGGAGTCAGCGTGACCTCCCCTCTCTAATTAACCCTCAAATTTCATATTTCTATCCACTACTGGCCTCTGAATTCCCTGCCCAATGCTCCACTCCAGCCTTTGAGAGCTGCCCACAGACTGTTCTGATGTTGAGTTGCATTCACAGATCCCTAAGTACTCACCACCTTCCATTGAAAGGTTTGACTCTTGGCCTTTATGAACACAGGGTTTTAGAGAAACTAATTCAGGGAAACCATCTGTTCTGAGCGCAGCTACTCTGTGCCCCCAGCTCTAAGCCGATGGCCCCAGTACAAGGAATAGGGCTGATAAATAATGAATCAGCATCTTGCTCAATTGGTGGTGTTTAAAATTCTTTTCAGGTGAAAAATTACCACAGTTTTGTGCTCATGGCAGATTTCAAAGGGAGACTTGAAGCAGAAAATCTTTAAGGGACCCCTGCACAGCCAAAAGTTCTTTTCAGGCTGAAGTACACAAAATATTTAGTAACCAGGACTGTAGAAGGACTAACGAGGAGATCCAGGGCCTGGAAAAAGGCCGTTTCTTGAGCTTATCCTTGGGGTCTTATGTAGACAGGCTCTATATACACTATACACATGGTTGGTGGGAATCAGCAGCAGCTCTGGGGGACCTGGGCGATCAGGTAGGCGTCCAGCTCCTGGCACTGGTAGAGGGCTACGCTGTCCAATACCCACTCTCGGGTCACCACCGGTGTCTCACCCATCTGCCCAATCACTGAGGACAGAGAACACAAGCAAAAATTAGTGTCAATTCACATTTTACCAGACCAGACTCAGTCAGTCTAGCCTGGGGGCCTGGTTGTGAGTTCTCACGGTTACTGAGGAAGGAGCAAGAGTTAATTTTAAGCAATACTTCAGGACATAGAACATTCCTCAGAAGGCTGAGGAGTGGCTGCTGGTGAAAGCCTCCAGCTTCTGACAACTTTAGTAACACGAGCTCTAGTCTGTTAAAAGAAAAGTCATCACAAGAGAGCAAAAGAGTAATGAAACTTAATGATGGGGAAACATATTTGCAATATCTTAAGTGAAAAAGCGAAAGAGTATGATGAGCATGATCACATTCATGTGACATATATGTGAACATACACTCTCCTGGTAGAATTTTATGCATTCATGTGACATATATGTACACACACACACACACACACACACACACACACACACACTCCTGGTAGAATTTTATGGTGATCATCTCTAAGTGGCAGGATTACTGGGATTCTTTTATTGTTTATTTTCCTTTCTATTTCATGTAATGAATATTCATATTTAACCCACCAATGGATGTAGTTCATGGATTACTTTTAAATGCAACAAACAACAAAAAAGTTTTAAAAGGACATTTTAGCCATTCATTCATTCAACAAATATTTGTTGAGCACCTCAGATGTGTTAAGAACTGTGTTAATTAAGCACCAGGTAACCTGTGGTGACACAGGACTCCATATGACACAGACACATGCTTGTGGCCTTCTGGAGTCCCACACAGGTGCACCATCCACTCCAGTTGATCTCAGCAGGAAACTTAGACCTAAAAACACTACAGTGTGTTTGCACTACAGTAATCTGCATACTTAACGTGGGCTCTCTACCCCACACTCCTCTGGATGAATGTGTGACAGCAGGACTTACCATGGGAGCCGCTGTCCTCTGTCCAGGCCTCTGGCTGCATGACCACAATCGGGTGAGTGCCCTGCATCCCCCGGGAGGAAACAACATTGAGGCTATCAGAACAGGACTTTGGGAACGGTCACTTCACCATTTCCTGATGTGTACTAAAGCAGGCTGCTCTGGGGCAACTGCACAGAGGAGGGGGAAGGGCACATGGCAAAAAGGACTGGAGGGAAAGAGACTTCCCTCAGTATTTGAAACACTTTTGGCTCTCAGGTCCTTGCCCGCCCCTTACAGATGGAGTCTTCTGGCACAGACACGTGGTTGGAGAAGGCTTGGGGGGAAGACAAGCTTCCTGGGCTACACTGAGGCACGAAGGGGTGGTTCACGGGGACTGATGGGGGCCGCCTCGCTCAGTCACCAGACAGAACACCGTGTCCTCCCCCTGACAGGGCACCAAACGCTTACCTCGCTGAGGGTGAACGCTGAAGGCTCCTTCACCACAGAAGCCCCACAAAGCTGCACCATCCACTCTAGCTGATCTGCATGGGCATTTAGACAGAAAATCACCACAGTGACCTACACATTCAACCCTGGTCCCGTACCCCACACTCCTCTGAGAGAAGACTTACAACAAGACTTCTCGGTGGGAGTCCCTATCTCTTTGCCCCAAAGGGACAGAAAGGCCTTAAAGTAGAGGAGTATGGATTCTAAGTTTATTTGTCATTGATATGCTACCTATTTTGGTTATCAGTCCCCATAAGGCCACTTGGTAGATAAGGTTTAATAGTCTCTGAAATAAAACACAAGACCTAATTTCCATTAATTTGCTAAATTGCTGGCTAAGATACTGTGAAAAATACCTCCTGTCTTCCCTACCTCCTTGCCTAATTCTATGCTGGTAATTGACAATCACAGCCACTGAGAGCACCGTACTCAGTGGTAATTACTGTAAATGTCAAGAGATGGGAAGACAATTTATTAAAAAAAAGAAAAGAAAAAGAAAAACCCTTGTAATCCTGGACAGACACTCAGTATGTCAGCTGGAAAGGCTAAATGGTAAGCTGGTATCAACAATGTCAGGGGACTAGAAATCAGATGAGATTGTACCTGGATTTGACTTGTGCCTGGAAAATTAGGAGAACTGACCAATGGGTGGCTTCTGGACCCCTTTGGGTACTCTTTTCTATCAACCTATTTCTGGAGATTGCTAAGGTGCTCCTCTTTGTTTGAATATATTGAGGTCAACTGACTCATCTCCAAAATGATACCCACTAGAGGCCCTGGTTTTCATTATACCAAAGTGCAAAAACACTGGGAAGTCTATGTGTGGCATGTGGAAAATTCATAAAGACTCAATCAATAACCAATAAAGAAGACAGAAGCAAAATTACTTTGCCAGGTTTTCTTGCTGCCAGTCATCATGTATCCCTGACCAGATGGCAAGACCCTCTTCTGAAAAGTAAGAGGTCTTGATCCCAGGGGCAGAAGTGGGCACAGGGGTAGAGGTAGTTACCTTTCCTTTGGAAAATAACAAACCAAAACTACATATATACCAGGGCCTAGGCATCACACAACTCCACAGTGGAGCCCCACAGCACTCCCAAACAACATTGCATTTAGCGTCAAATTTAATGAGAAAATGTTTATCAAGCCTTCCCCTGCTCTGGGCCTATACAGGGGGCATATGCAGCTGCTGTGCTTTCTTCATTATCAAATGAAGATGGTTTAGGACGAACAGAATATCCCCCTAGCTTATTTCTCCCCCCTTCTTAGACCAAAGAGTAGGTAAGAGCAGCTCTACCCCATCTGAACACAGAACACGCTGTGTCCTAGATATTGATTCTTCACTGCCTTCTAGCTCTTGAGAAGGGGCACAAAGCTACTTTATTTTTTTTATTTTTTTTATTTTTTTGGTCACGGTAACATTTAGGTCCAGTTTTGTCTGAGAGGTAATAGAGAAATAGAACAACCTCTCACCAATGTGAGGAACCCCCATAAGATGATCCCTCCTGTACATTCTGTTATGTAAGGGGAAGGCTGGTGCTGGACTCTGCAGATCTCTGTCTCTTACCTGTGGGCATGTTGGCAAAGGGCCCATAGCAACAGATTTCTAGGCCCCTGAAGATCTGGGATAGAGAAAAAAGAAACAAAAAACATTGAGTTTTATTAAAAAACAACATAAAGAGACTCTCAGAAAATAAGTACTTCCTTTTTTCTTTTCTTTACCATCTGATAATTTCTGCTGCTACTTCCCAGAGACAATCAGCCCAATGTTCAGAACACTGGGGGAACTTAGGAGACGTTTCTGAAGTGTGTGTGCAGCTGATCTGCTCTCCAGTCATGCTTTGTCAGTCAAGGGCTGAGCATCCCGCTTTGCCGTCAGTCATGCCCAGGCTTCTCCCTGATGACTTTTTCTAGGTGACTCCACTTGTTAGAGATGAGAGGGGGAAAAGGTCCTTATTTTGTTTAATGGCAAGAAATTCAGCTTTTAGCTGACATTTGATGTTTATTCAAACTTGGTACATCAGTACTAACTAAATCTACATGACTCTAAATGGCAGAGAGGTCTACATCTATTTTCTATGTCCACCCCCCTTCTGTCCTGGCCTCAGAGCATCTGTTCCTGCCTCCACACTGCTCTGAGAACGCCCACTGTTCTTTGAGGAACAACGAAGTGAAGCCTGGTTCTGCCTCCCCTTACCGAGCTGACCTGACCGCCTGGTTTCCAGGAGACAGACCACACCGCACCTCCTAGGGGCCTCTTCCACTTACAGTGCTCAACAGCACCATGCAAAAGAACTCTCTCTGATGATGGAAATGTTCTATATTTGTATTAGTAAGGTAGCTATGAGTCACATGCAGCTACTGAGCACCTAAAATGTGGCTGAGATAAGTGAGAAACAAAACTTCGTATTTTATTTTATTTACAATTTAAACAGCCCATACGGCTGGTGACTACTGTGTTGGACAAATTCTTACACATGCACTGGCACTGGCTCTTAGGAAAAGACTGGGGTATCATTTAAAAGAAGAAATCTATTTTGTGACAGTTGGCTGGATATATATCATTTGCGTAAACCTCGTTTCCTTCACCTTCTTTCTTTCTCCTCATTCCACTAAAAAAAAAAAAAAAAAAAAAAATTGCCTAGGCCTAGAACTCGCCTTGCTTCAAATATAAGACTGGGGTAGAGAAAAATCAGGAAGTTAAAAGCACATGATTACCTTTTAAGAAATATCCTACCACCCCCATTATAGCCAGAGGGCAGAGGAATGAGAAAGGACACTAAAACAGATCTGTTTCTGTTTTAAGCGACAGCTTCCATCTGTGCCTTTCTCGCCGTATGAATAAACTGAATCCCCAACCTGTTAAGAGGACCTAGATGCTCATAAGTTCTCCCTGGGCAGCCTGCTGGAGCCCAAAGTCGCTGCAAAAAATACAAAAGACTGGAATTCTTTTCCACCCGGGCTGGTTCTCACTGATGAGTATGTCTAGTTATGGGATAAGAAATTTGAAGTTTCACCTCTATAAATACATTTCTTTTCCACGAGAAAATACTACGGTGATAAATTGTATCTTCAAATGTCATTACTTGACCAGGTCCTTTGCATCACTGCCACCCCAAATGCAGGAAAACCCCCGAAACACTGAAATTTCCTTTGAAGGAGGGGAAAATCTGGTGCCAATTCTGCTTGAAGAAGGGGAACAGAAACAAATGGCTGCTTGCAGAACTCCCCTGGGTGAACGCAAAAGCAGGGCCACAGCTTTCCTTGGCATCTGGAAGTTCCTGGAGAGGTTAAAAAGGTGAGGGTGGGCTGATCCCAAGGGTTCAGAGTTCCAGGGCTTGATTTGTGATCATCTCCCAAAGCAGTTTTCCTTGGAAAATCACCTCTTATTGGTTCTCCCTCAAGTTCTGTAAAGGGACAGAAGGGGCTCCTTGCAGGGATGTTCTGAAATGCCTGGCGGTGCACTTGAAACAGGGAGAAATGCAGACTGGAAACACACACACTCAGCTGGGGACCTAAGAAAGCTATCGGCTTAGGCCTGACAGGCAGGTTTGAAATCTTGCCTGAGCTTCTCCCTCAGGGCAGGACATAGGCTTGGCCACATCATTTGCTACAGGATGATCTGGGGCACATCACTTGAGTGTTCCTGGGCCTCTAGTCCTTGATTTTCAAAGATGTTAGACTAATCTATTTTTCTCCTCGGGGAAACGTTCTATAATTTCCCAAGAAACTATAATATTGTCATTAAGAGCTCAGATACTGAAGCTAGACTGCCTGGGTTCAATTTCTAGCTATGGGTTCACAATTGGCTGTGTGAGCTCAAGCAACTTACCCCACTCTCTGAGTAATTTTCTCATTTATAAAATAGGCATAATTACTGTACACGTCTCAGAGGTTTGCTGTAAAATTGTTAATCAGTTAAAATACGTCTGAGTATTTAGTACTGGTATACAGTGAACACTGTATAGATGTTAGCTACTGATTATCAATCACTTTCTCTTCCATGCATCCACTGACCGCGCTGTGTACATCGCCTTTACAGCACTTCCACACTGCTTTAGAGCAAGACACTATGGTGAAGTGCAAAGGGCAAAGGCTTAGATTCCTATCTGTTTCAAATCCCAGCTCTTCCACTTATCAGCTGAGATTTCAACCCCAGGTTGGACTAAATTACACTGCTTCTCTAAACCATTCATAACATGGATGTAATACTTATTTACCTTGTTGGCTAGAACGAGAAAAGAACCTATAGGGAAGTACCTAGCAATATGTAATACCCCTTAAAAGATAAACTAAGGGGGCTGGAATACATGCGGAAGGCGGGCTTTACCTTTCTGTCCTGGGATTCTCTTGCTCGCTTTGGACCTTCATGGTTCCTTCCATTGACAACATCTCCTCTGACTTCAAAATCACGCTGAAAGAAACCAAACCCAAGCCACAGGGGTCAAAGAGAAGCCTCCTTCACTGGAAGCAGAGTAGATGAGTTTTATATAAGGAATTGAGTATTGCTAGGCTGCTTCCCCCAAATCACACTTTCTGGTGGACTGGATGAAATGACCAGCATCTCAGATGCTGAAATCAATTCCCTGAAGCAAATATTTGTGGGCAGAAATTAACAATTGGTTTTTCACCTCACTGGGACTTAATGTATTTTAGTTTTCAACATCTATGTCCTCTCAAAACATTCACTTAGCATTTAGATTAGACTGCTAATACGTGCTGTTATAAAGATAACTAGAGAATTCCTGACCTCTTAAATCAATTGTGTATTACCATCTAAGAGCTTCTCAGATTTGCATTGAGAGACTTTGTTAATGAAGCCAAAATGATAAAATATATTCAATACATTTAATACATTGAAGAAAAAGGCTTTTCTTAATCACCATTTTGATTGGTCAAGGATGAGGATAATGGGATTGGGGAGGTTACACCTTTTGGGGGAAATGTATGGAAGAATGCATAAAAACAATCCTGACTAAAACTCAGATTGTAGGGGAAGATCATATCTGTTGCCAAGAGTATTACAAAATAGTCATGATAGTATAACCACAGTCTGAAATGAGGGGAAAGACTACTTAACACTTCCTAGTCACTTAGGAGAGAAGAGTCTGATGGTAAATGTCATCTATTTGGAAATGACTCTCAAATTTATAGGCTTGATTATGCCCCTGTCCCTGCTTAACCTCTCTACCTAGATGTCTAGCATATATGCCCAAATTTACGCATCTAAAATGGAGCTCTCTTTTTTAAAAATTGATTTTATTATTGATATCATTTAAAACAGAGCTCTTGATTCTAACCCCCCTCCCACTATTACTACTACTAACATCCATCCCATGGTTTACCCCCTCAACACCTCCCTTTACCTCATGTTGCAAATTTAACCCATTAATAAGTCCTATCTCCAAATATATGTCAAACCAATCTCTTATTACCACCTCCATGTCTCCAATTACCTTACACAGAAAATTCAAATTCCTTACCATGATTTACACCAAATCCTATCTCATCTGGCCTTTGTCTCTAATTTTCTCCAATTCCTTGTCTCATCTCTGCTCCCTACATATTATTTACCAATTACCACCTTCCAGCTACAACTCTATTTTTCTTTAACAAACAAGCTCATGCCTTCTTCATGACCTTTATGCTTACTGTTCCTCTGCTTATGCTTTGTTACCTACATTTTTCAAGGCCAATTCTTTTCTGTGTCTTAAACTAAACACAAAAAGTAGCCAATACCTGCCTCCAGACAGCCACTAACCTGCTATTTGTAGTATTTATTGGTATCTTAAATGTTCCTTATTATTGTGTATTTTCCCTCAACAGAACAAAAATCAGACAAGTGTATGGACCTGTCAATCTTGTTTACTGCTGTATTCCTGGTGCCCAGCACACAGTAGGCTCCCAATAGCATAAGCTGCTGAATGAAAGTTCAAACTAACAAAAACATCACTTAATTAATTATGAATACACTGAATAGTACACAACAGTTTAAAGCTTCTTGCTAGTTTTATTTTCCCTGATCTGTTGTCACCAGCAGCTCTTAGATGGCTTTGGTCTAAAATTATTCCTCCTCCTCCATTCATCTTAGTTACCTCCCACTGTTCTCAGTATCATAAAAAGTAACATCTCTTTGATGGAATTTGATTTCAAAACAAATAGATTTGTGTATCAGTATAAAGGAATTTTCTTAACTTTTTTTGGGGGGAGGGGTTTTATTTTTATTTATTTTTAGAGAGAGGGCAAGGGAGGGAGAAAGAGAGGAAGCAAAAACATTGATCGGCTGCCCCTTGTAGGAGCTCTGACCAGGGACCAAATCTGCAACCCATGCATGTACCCTGACTGGGAATCGAACCGGTGGCCTCTCACTTTGTAGGACAATGCCCAACCAACTGAGCCACACTGGTCAGGGCTGCTCTGCATAACGCTTGATGAGTCCTATCATCAAAGGAAGTCTGTGGAAAGTTGTACAAAGAAGGGAGCAGCTAAATTTTCAGTGTGTGTATGACTCAATGGCACCAAGTTTTTTTTTGATTAGTTTGTAACATTAAGTACCTACCTCATCTAGAATCTTTCTTTCTTTAATAGACTGGGTCACCCCTAAAGAGATCACAAAAAAGACAGGTCATAATGCAGAAGAACATGCTCTTTTCATCAAGGTGGACAATGAAGCAATTCACATGAGAGCTCGGGAGGAATAACACTGAGCAGAGGTCCCCTCTCAATAAAGCCATAGCTCTTTAATAAGACTTGTAGCAGAGACTTCCTTTTGGAGACATAGTTGATGCTTAATCCAAACATTATAACAGTGCCTGCTGCACACAAATTTCTGCCTATTATTAAATAAATCCCTAGTTCGTATGTTAACCCTAACATTGCTAGGAGCAATTAGGTCTTATTAGTTATAAAAAGAAACCCATTTTCCCAACGTCACCAGCTTATCTGAACAAAGAGACATGCACTAAAGATAAAGCTAGTTTAGTGTTATCGTTAAAGACCTTTTGGTAATTTAGATTCAGCATCAGCAAAAAACCCTTAGGTGTTAAAATGCAATTCTGAGGTGTTAAAGGGAGGAGGAAAAAAATACACTGTACTTACAGAAATAGCTAACTACCCATTTTCCTCCTGCAATTCCCAGAAAATATTTCAGTGTCCGTTCACAAACAAACTCAGCATCTGCAGAATGAAAAATATCTGAAGGATTAGCAGAAGTTGAAAACAAAATCAGGAAGTGCTGCTCTAACAAGCTAAAGAGGTCCAGCTCCATATACTTGAAATCAATCTGGATCAATGATTCCAATATCCCAGTGTTAGAATCAAAGGCTGGAAGCACCTCTAATTATAACCAACATGTGCAGATCTTTGGAAGCTGTTAAAGACTGATAGGAAGTTACAACCAGAGAAAATGTCTGCCCTATCTTCTAGATGCCAAGACTAGCTAGAGACATCGATTACCGTATTCAGGGAATTATCCACATTGTAATATTGATACATGTGGATGTGGAAGATCTATTTTACTGGATGGCAAAATGTGGAAGGAGAAGAGTATTGTTGAAATCCTGTATCTGAAATGTCAACATAAATTACAAATCTTCACCCCCAGATTTCTACCTGGGAAATCCTAATTTCCTAATTCCTCTGAGAGGGACAGGAAAATAAGAGTATTTTCATGGCTTTTCTCCTTTCTACCTAAGTATTTCAGAGACTAGTAGCTGAAGAATCACTTATTTCCTAGTATTTCAAAACCCCCTTTGAAGAATAAACAAACTGAAGAAAGAAATACATTTAACTAAATCCTAAACACAGCAGCCCATCTGCCAGTAGTAGCAATAGCCACTCTTCCTCACAGAATTCTTTACAAATTATTAAAATCTCTTCTTTCATCACAGTTTTATAGATTTTTGTTTAACTCCTGCAAAAGTTGATTTTTAAAAAAGATTTTATTTATTTTTAGAGAGAGGGGAGGGAGAAAAACATCGATGTGTGAGAGAAACACTGATCAGTTGCATCTCCCGCGCCTCCAACTGGGGGCCTGGCCCACAACACAGGCATGTGCCCTGACCAGGAATCGAATCCGTGACCTTTCTTGTTTGCAGGACAACACTCAATCCACTGAGTAACACCAGCGGGGGCAAAACTTGATTTAATAATATGCTTTAAACTCAGAAATTTTAGCTCATTTCTAGTTCAAAAGTTATACTGCTTTTGAGTTTAAAGATTAATTACTTCAGATTAAATTTACATTTTAAAGTTTCCTTTTCACCTTCCAGGAGCCTGGATGCAAACCTGTAGCTTAAGATACATTAAACTTTAATGACATTCATTTCTAAAATAGTACTTGGTTCTAAGCACTGAAGACTGGCATTTGGTTCCTGTATTGCCCTCTGACTCTGTGGTATGATCTACATACAGTAGAAATCTAACATCTTAGAAGTTCTAAGGCAATGTGCCCCTGGCAAAGAGTCTGGACCCTCTACTCTAACACCTGTAGCAATGCCAACAGAGTGGACCATTATATTTCCAGAGAGCGAATTTTGTTAGAAAGCTTTTAAGAGCTGCATCTCCTATGCATGTATTGGTTTTTGCTTCCTGGAGCCCATGAACTAGTCTAACTCCCAGATAACAACTCTTCAAATATATGAAGACAGTGGGCTTCATTCCTCCATCTGTTCTTCAGATAACCTTGTTCTGAATTTAAAAATAAATAAATAAATTATTTATTTATTTTTAGAGAGAGGGGAAGGGAGGGAGAAAGAGAGGGAGAGAAACATCAATGTGTGGTTGCCTCTCATATGCCCCGTATTGGAGACCTGGTGTACAACCCAGGCAAGTGCCCTGACTGGGAATTGAACCAGCAACCCTTTGGTTTGCAGGCCGGCACTGAACCCACTGAGCCACACCAGCCAGGGCTAATCTGAATTCTTTTTCCCCATCCTCATCATTTACCTCTGGAAAAATGGTCACTAATGTGTCAGTGACCAGCTGAAAAAAAAGGCATATGGTGCTCAAAACAGAGCACATACCTTCCAGGCAGTCACTCCATCCGAGAGTAAGTGAGGGGTGGGGAGGGCAGTATCAGGATTTTTACTTCAGTTGTTCCAGACATTAGGCTTGTATTAATGAGGCCCAATTTCAAACAAGCTATTTAGCAGCCCTGAAATGTTTACTTAGATTTAGCTCATGGTCAACTAAAAGCCTCTGAGGTCTCCGTTTTCATGGGAGTCATAATTAATATTTAAAAAAGGAGAAGCTGAAGGACAAATGAATTTTTCTTTTGTTGTTCCTTTTTCACATGATAGGCTCTCTCAGAGCTTACACTGGACTTGTTTCCTGAAAAACTCTCAACCACCCTCAACCTAGTGCTTGTGTGGAGCTAGGACATGGAATTGACATGGAGGCAGGGTTTCCAGCCACCCAGATTCTGAACACTCATTCCTGTCCCATTCTCCTCTTTACCCCGTCTGCTCCTCCAGGACTTGCGCTCTGCCTTCCCAGAAAGCCCGTCACACAGAGTAGCTCAGGCAGGGTGGACTAACAGAAGTGGTTCATTGTTCTGGTTCACCACTCTCCAAATCTTTTTTTTAAAATTAATTTATTTTTTATCCTTACCCGAGGACATGCTTATTGATTTTAGAAAGAGGGAAAGGGAGGGAGCGAAACATCAATGTGAAAGAGAAGCATCGATTGGCCGGCTGCCTCTCGTATGCACCCCGTCCAGGGACTGAACCTGCAACCTAGGTATGTGTCCCAGTTGGGAATCCAACCCCGCAGCCTTTCAGTTTATGGGACAATGCTTCAACGAAGTGAGCCACACTGGCCAGGGTGACTGCTCTCAGATCCTAACCCAAAACTATAGGATGTCAGGAAATAGCAGAACTATTATTTTTCTTTCACAAAATAATAATTGATGGACTAAAGGAAGACTTTCATCCCATGCTATGCTTAACAAATACTCCCATTTCTTCATGTAGTTCTATGCAACAAATGAGACACATGCTATAAAGGTTCTTGGTGTACCTGTTTTCATAATGACATGAGTAGTCTCTTCAGTAATCAGGTTCGTTAAAGTGATGTGGTGTTTTCTGGCAAACTTGTGCACAAGCATCTGAAATCAAATAAAATATTATGTTATTATAAATTACCTCTAGTGCATAGCTTAGGATATTAGTTATCTTAACTTTGAATCTCCATTTTCCTCAGAAAAGGTACATTTATTCGAACATGTCTGAAGCCTCAAAGTAAATAGCAATTTAATACAAATTATGTACAAATCAGAAGAAGAAATTCTAAAGTAGTTCATGGTAGCAGACATGAACTATAACCAAGGACTCAAAATAATATTAATATTCCCCTTCATAGCAGATATCATTGTATTCCCTTGCAGAGTGATACTCTACTATAATTTAGATTTATCAGCCTACACTGTACAAGCTGAGAGGTAACTAGCTTACACAGAAAGTTATTCTACAGATATATGGCTTAAAAACAAGATACAATCCTCTGATAGTTATAAAACATTCAAGTCAAGAGTGCAAAAACTATCAATTCCTCTTAAGGAGAAGAACTGGAAGAGACTCATATTATTCCCAAAAGAAATCTAGAGCCATCTCACTATTACTTATCAACGAAAAAAAAAAAATCAATAGGCAGATAAAGAAATTAACCAGATCCATTATGAACACAGTTGACATAATTAGTAGCTACTGTTTGGTAAATAACAGTGTTTACCAAGGCCATCATTTATTAGCCATTGCCACCCATGCCAACATTTATGCGCTGCACAATACCGCCATGGCAGCGATCAGTCCATCTTTCTTCCATGCTGCCTCATTCCATATTGCCACAGGGCACTAAAAAGGCAAGCTAGAGAAGATAATGATATCCTCCCCGCTTTTGCCACTGCCCTCTGCCTGGATCATTAGCAATTCTGAACTGATTAATTGCTGAAATCCCAGCCTTGAAACAGTGTTCAGTGAGAAGAGCAACTGCTGAAAAGATCATCTTAATATGGGCTTCAGAATTAATCATGTGTAATGCAGTCAGCAGCTTTCATAATAAATTTACCACACTTCAGCGAGTCTGAATAGAGCTGAAAAGTTTTCCTCTTTGCTTGTTTAAAGACAATGTGTACCCAAGCCACTTATAGTCTAATCTGCAGCTCAGATTCGCCCATGGCAAGAGAGATTAGATCATTTTAGCCTTTTCTGAAAAGCCGAACTCACAAAACATGGAATGCTAACTTTCAAAGAGTAAATGGGAATTCTAGGTATGTAGGCAAATGATCAAGAGCAACATAGACACAGCTATGAATTTTCAGGGCAAATAGCTGGTCTGGGCACCTGGTTTTGAAATTAGAATTCTGGAATTACTGATGAGAATTTATTCATTGTACCTTCTAGGGCAGACATAGCTTACTTTGCCCTTTCAGCAGAGGGACACATCTGGCCACAGAGAATGTGATGCTGAGCTTAGAGAACTTAGGATGAGAATGAAAGATGGTTCTTATCCTAGGAAGCATATATTGAAAAAGATACTAAGAATGACTGGGTCATCTCTCAGTGTGTAAAAAATTACACCTACTACTTAATCCATTTGACATTCTAGTGTGTCATCTTATTATGGTTCTTTAAGATATATTCACTCAATTATTTTATTATGAAGTGATACCAATGGTGATTAGTTACGGGGAAGGTAAATTTCTAAGATGTCTAAAATTTATATTCTGTCCAAGTAGAAACAATGTTTCATTGGTCTCAATATTTTAATGGGTATTTTTCCACAGTGTGAAACAAATTCCTGTTTCCCCCATGAGGAGATCAAGGAGATGTCAAAATCCTAATAGGAAAAATGGGTGTTGTAGGGTGGAAGTGATACGTCAGGCTATTAAATACCTGTGTGACAAGCCAGGATTAAGGCAAATAAATACTGGAGAAATGTCATTATCTGGCAGTGTTCTTGGAACCAGTTTGAATTTAGTTAATCATGCCTGTTCATTCTCTCAGATGTGAGTCAAGGTGGGGAAAAGATGCCTTTTGGGAGGACAGCTACATCTACTTGCTTTTTAAAATAAAAATAAAATTAAAATGTTCTATATCATACCCAAAACTATAATCTAATATTTAATAATTATTTCCTTAAGTGAATATATACAAAATAACCCACGTTACAGTTTTATCGAGGTCCAAAATTTCTGAAATTAGCAATGGAAATTAAATTACATAGAATTGCTTCTATTTCCTAGATTTCTTCCTCTAAGTTATGTATTTGTAGTACATTATTCAAGTCTCAGTTATTAGGGAAATGCATATGGATATACTTACAAATTCTTTTGGGGTCAGGCCTGATGCGACCATAGATATTCTTTTGTTGACTGTTTTTGTTGAAGATATCACTTCTGGCTTCTCCCTGCTCACACTTTCTTCCCCCACATTACACCCAGCAGTACTAGTAGTTTGAGCCGCATCTGGACTCTTGGCAGATTCTTCAACTTGAAATTGGGGTAATTTCAATGGAGGGGTTGAAGTTGGTATACTGGAAACATGAACTGGCTCTAGGGCTCTGTCTTCACAGGAATCAGACTCTGGGTCATCAAAGAGTCTGATTCCAGATTCTAGGGAAGGAGTCCCCTCTGAAAGAAATGGGGGGGAAAGTTTAATTTATATGACAATAAATCTTGAACTACAAAGTCTAATCTCTGCTAAGAATTAAAAATATAGATCAAGCCCTGACTGCTGGTGTGGCTCAGTGGGTTGGGCCTCATACCACAAACTGAAAGGTCACTGGTTCCCGTCAGGGCACACAGATTGTAGGCCAGGTCCCCAGCTGGAAGCATGCAAGAGGCAACCTATCAATGTTCTTCTCGCACACGTAAGTTTCTCTCCCTCTCTTCCCCTCTCTCTAAAAACAAATAAATAAAATCTTAAAAAAAAAGATAGATCGAGTTAGGTTAAAAGAAAAATGGGTGTGCTAATTTAATTAATACACTGTTGGTGGAGGTGCAAAGTGGCTTAACTTTTCTAAAGGACTATTTGGCATTATATTCCAAAAGTCTTGTGTGTTTACACTTCCAGGAAATAATTCAAGTTTTTAAAATGTACCCTAAAGAAATAAAAGATGCACGCACGAGTTTAGTCATAGAAGTGTTCCCTGCAATATTTTTTATAAAAGTTTTAGAAACAACCTAAATGCCTAATAATAGATTGGTACATCTATTCCAATGGCGTACTCTTCATCCATTACGTTTAATTACAATAAAACAGAGAAACGCACACACCTATATGTTCATTGCAGCATTGTTTACAATAGCCAAGAGTGGAAGCAACTCAAGTGCCTATCAATGGATGATTGAATAAATAAAATGTGATTTATACATACAGTGGTTTTTAAAAAGCTAAATGAATAGCTTTATAAAAAGAAGAAAATCCTGTCACATGCTACAACCATGGATGAACCTTCAGGACATTATGCTAAGTGAAAGAAGTCAGTCACAAGACAAATACTGTACTATTCCACTTATATTAAGTATTTAAATACATATATATTTAGTCCTTGCCCGAGGATATATTTATTGAATTTTACAGAGAGAGGAATGGAAAAGCGGGGAAGGGGGAGGGAGAGAGAATCATTGATGTGAGAGAGAAATACCCCGGCACTGAACTTGCAACCTAGATATGTGCCCTGACTGGGAATTGAACCTGAGACCTTTCAGTGCACAGGATGCTCCAACCACACCAGCCAGAGCCACTTATATGGGGTATTTAAAGTAGCTAAACTCTTGGAAACAAGTAGAATGGTGAATGCCAGGGAATAAGGTAAGGAGAAATGGGGAGTTGCTGTTTAATGGGTACAGTTTCAGTTTTGCAAGATAAACAAATTCTAGAGAATAGCTGCACAACAATGAGAATATACTTAACACTACTTAACACTTAAAAATGATTACCATGATAAATTTTATGTTTTTACTGAAATTAAAAATTTAGAAAAAAAGAATGCCTTTGATTTTAAGATGCTATCCTATTTTAGAGTCCTACCATGAAAAAAATTTGCATTTTAGAATCCATGACATTCTATATTATAAGGTATGCTTTCTATAATTTTGGTCATTTATTTTATCTAGTTTTAATATTCCTTTTTATTATTTATATTATCTAACTGTTTGGCAATGCACATATAGTGCTTTAGCAAGGAAGGGAACAAAAGGTTGAAAATGAGAAATATTCAATTTTTGTTTTGTCATCCATGATGATATCAATTACCTTTTTCACTTAATAAATCATCAGGTATCATTACCCGATTAAAAATAGAAGACCATCGAGAAACATTTCAGAAATTTCACTCCATCAGGAAGTAAGCTCAGCTAAGTAGAATGTGTGAGATTCTTAAAATGACCCTAATTAAAACGGCCAAATACCACATTTAGATGACAAAGAGCACCTTTTATTATAATGTGTTTTTGAGGATTCATTTAAAATTTTCTTTAGTAATTCAAACTTTGATTCACAAGCCATAAAACACACCATTCATTTAAAGTGATTTATAAGGCATAGAATATATAGTCATTTATATTCATTTATTCAGAAAATAAGAACTTACTTTGGAGAATTGACTCATTTTTCAATCAAGGACTGGCCTAAAATTTTATTCGAGGGCTCTAGAACTCTTACCTAACAGTTGAAATAAAGTATTTAAGAGGACACCAAGACTCTCTCATCTTCAAAAAGAGTTAACCCAATATAGACAAATTAACAACTGCAATAATTTTCAAGTAAACTTTGACTAACATTCCAGCTATTTTTAAAAAATGAGTTTAAGTATACCAGATGCATTCATGATATACCAGTACATCTGAAAGATAAAGATGATGAACCAGAATATCGTTAAGTAAGATTCAGAGTAAAATAAAAGTGTTTTCTCCAACAGAGCAGAGGAGATATTACCTAGATCTTGTCTTGACAAATAAGACTGCTCCATTAAATCTTGGGCCTCAGACTTGGTCAGCTGTTGCTCTTCTATATCAATACCTTTGATGAGCTCCTTTTGAGATGGGCAGCTTCTGTTTTGAAGACTCTGTGAGTAGCTGTGCATATACCAGTTATCATCTAAGGACTGGGATTTAGAAGGAGAAGACCTAGAAAGAAGGAAAGAAGAAAACTATCACCACAGCTTTGTGTGAAAAGACATATACTTTCTGGGCAGCCAAAGCATAAGTGAAACAGCTCATTGTCAGAGCTATACTCAAATGATGGCCAAAAGTCTGAATTCATGATTCCCAACATGTCAGGGGTGACAAAGAACGTCTCCCCCTAGGATCTGGTCTGAGGCAATAAGTATATCTCTTTGTTGTTTAAAAGCATGTCAGCAAATTTCAGCAAATTATCTACCACCACTCAGTGAAATTCATGAGTTCCCAGGGATCTCTCATGAAAGTAGAAAGTTGATTAATTTTGACATTGTTATACTCATTCTTTCTACCCAATTTCAGCAAAATTCATAGAATCATCCTTATTTCCTGCCTTTTCAACGTTAAGTCATTCTAAAAACAAAAGCCAGTTACAAAATATAGTTAGACAACTATATTCAAGTAAGTAACTCCTTTACTCTTTCAGATTTTAGGACTTTGCTAAATAAGATACTTAACAGATTTTTTAAAAAAAGATTTTATTTATTTAATTTAGAGACAGGGGAAGGGAGGGAGAAAGAGAGAGACACACACACACATCAATGTGAGAGAGAAATGTCAATGGGTTACACCTTGTACGTGCTCCAACTGGAGACCTGGATCACAAGCCAGGCGTGTGCCCAGACTGGTAATCAAACTGGCAACCCTTCAGTTTGCCAGAGGATGCCCAACCCACTGAGCCACACTGGTCAGGGTGATACTTAACAGATTTAAAGGACCCCAGAGATCAGCTACTTAATTCAATCAATTATTGGGTATTGACTGTGAGGCACTGAAACTAGCCGTGTGGATTAAAGATGAGCAAGACCTAAACTGCTGCTCTTAAGTAGTCTAGTAGGAGAAATTTCAATCATATGTGTAGGTTCTTTAACAGGAGTCTCTTAGAGGAAGGGGGAGGAAGGGCAGAAATGTTTGGTCTAAATATTAAATAGGTGGTTAGCTTAACTAGTTAAAACTTGGCAATGAAGTCATTACCTCTAAACATGGGTCCAATGACCCATAGACATGAACAATAGTGTGTGGATTACCTGAGGGAGTAGAGGGTTCTAGGTGGAGAGGGGCAAAGGGGAAAAAATTGGGACAACTATAATAGCATAATCAATAGAATATAATTACAAAATACATCTTTAACAATAAAAATAAACAAATGAACACGTGTTTAGTGACTATGGAGGCCAGACCTTTTAATTCTGTCGCAGCCACAGGGCCGATCCTCAGCCTCAAAAATACATCCTCGGCCCAATCCAAGAGGATTGGAAAATAAGGCGTGATGAGATTTTTGACAACTTTGTCATGATTATCAGAAAGATAAATATACTTACACTCAGTAGGAACTCAAATATGACTTCCTTTTCCTTCGTAGAGCAGTGAGATTTGACTCTAATGACCCTGAGGCTCTTTCCTGAATTATCAAATAGGAATAATATTGTCTTTTTACCTTCACAGTGTTGTCATAAAGATCAAATGAGAAGTAGGTTTTTTTTTAAAGATTTTTTTTTTTTATTGCAATGTAAAAATATAGAACGCTTCACGAATTTGCGTGTCATCCTTGCGCAGGGGCCATGCTAATCTTCTCTGTATCGTTCCAATTTTAGTATATGTGCTGCTGAAGCGAGCACTAAAGATTTTCTTTCTTTATTTTTAGAGAGAGGGGAAGAAATGGAGAAAGAGAGGCAGAAAAATCAGTGTGTGGTTGCCTCTCACATGCCTCCAACTGGGGCCCTGACCCCCAACCCAGGCATGTGCCCTGACTGGGGATCACACCAGCGACCCTTTGGTTTGCAGGCCAGCACTCATTCCACTGGGCCACACTAGCCAGGGCCATATTTTTGAAAATATATACAGTACAATACAGTCTAATCTCAATAGTGATTTGAACAGATACACTTAAAGACATTATGAATAGTTTCTGGAGTGAATAAAGGCAAAAACTTTTCCTTTAATTAGGGCAACGGCTTCCTAGGAGAAATCTACCATTAACCTTCAGGCTTGTTTAGATTTTAGTTCTGTGCTTTATTCTGACCTTCAGAAGGAATGGATGTATCTTGCATTTCTCATGTTGTAGCTCATGCCTTGTGTAGACCCAAAAAGCCTATATACAATTATATAAAAGAAGTATTCTAGTCCTGGCTGGTGTTGCTCAGTAGATTGAACGCTGGCCTGCAAACCAAAGGGTCGCCAATTCAATTCCTGGTCAGGTCCCTAGTTAGGGGCATGCAAGAGGCAACCAGTTGATGTGTCTCTCACATTGATGTTTCTCTCCATCTCTTTCTCCCTCCCTTTCCATCTCTCTAAAAATAAATGTAAAAATCTTAAAAAAAAAAAAAAAAAAAGTATCCTAGAGCAACGAGAGGTTAGAAATGTCTGTGTACAAAAAAACTAGAGACAGTATGGTGAAAATATTTAACAATAAGGGTTCAATATAATTAAAGATGCTACTTAGATACCTTAATTTGACGTTTACTACTTCTTACCCTTCCACTCCTGTTTCTTTATTTTTACTGGTGGAATTATCCAGAGACTCTTGAAGCTTGTCTGAAGAAAAGCTTTCTGGATTCTGACTTATAGGATATTCACTACTTTTCTCTGATGGTAGTGCTGTTTTAAAAGGAATGAGAAAACAAAGAAATTTACTGTTTTGTCCTGATAGTGATAATTCAGGTGAGTATATCAATTTTTTTTCAAAAGCAGCAACCTGTGACAATCAAATTGGTTTTTAAGCAAGCATATCAGACAGAATTTTATAAACACAAGTGAGCCAGCACCAAATGGAACTAAAAAATAAATAAATAAATAAAAGGAACACTATACGGTTGGGTAAATAAGGATTCCCAACTGAGACGAGACTGAAAAACCCATAGATTTACATTTTTTGGCCTTGAATGATAAGAAAACAAGAATAGGGAAATTTTTTTTTTTTTAATCTCTAATGAAATGAAATTATACTCAAATCCCCTTAGATAACAGGGAATAGAAAGTACTGGAAAGCAAAGAACATTCCCTTTTCCATCCTTACTGCCTCTGCATCCAACGTTATAAAACGGGGTGTGAGCTTTTACACGTGTGGGAAAACAAGAGAGAAGGTGTCACACGAGAAAGAAAAAACAGGTGAAATTTTGTTTCATATTTTCAATTAGTAAGAAAAACAGAAAAAACAAAAAAACCCCATATACACAAAAAAACCAAGGTGCTGACTTTTTAAGGAACCCTGACTACATGGAACTAATGATGAAATGGCACAAGAAAGGAAAAAACACAAAACAGACCCAAGGCAAAGATCTGACACGTTAGTATATCCTTTTTATTTATTAATTCCTCCAAATGTATTACTGTGCCACTGCTTTCTAGGAAGTAGCTTAAAGGCAGAAATATTTAAAAAGCAAAAACAAATACTTAAAAATTACAAATGTCTTCTATCCATTAAAAAATCATTGATGACTGTAATTTATTTCAAGCTTTTATCAGAAGAGCTAAAATCCATAAATTGAAGCAGAAAATGTAAACAAAGGGCTGTATTAATTAGATTGTTTTTTAAGACACTGTGTGACCTGGGGGGAAATCATTATTGATTTCCTGAGTTAATTCTCAAATGCATTATTTATGGTTTTCCTTGTGCTCATCTCTTCTGGACCTGTGAATTTCCAGCGGCACAAGAACTCTGCCTCAGAGCCACCAGCTGCTGAATATAGGCAGAGTCTAACTATGCAGGTTTTTCTTTCAACTGCAGATGTAAACCTTTTTAATACAGGTATAATTTTCCCCCAAAATATAGGGTGATAATTGGTAAAGGGTAATGTGCGGTTTCTAAGGAATCATGCCAAACAAAATTAACCACTGGAAAGGGTTATTAAACAAAGTAAAAGGGTAGGGAGGAAGCCTCAGACACACAGATAGTAAAAATTCCTTCCATCACATTTGTACATTTAGCATATGAGGTCCTCTTTTCACTACAATGGGATAAAGCTATGAAGAAAAGTTAAACTGAGTTAGAATTCGATTACTCAATAGTACCTAAAAACATGGGGCAAAAATTTTTCTGTTCTTCTTTTCCCTTAATCCTTATTTCAATAATGCAAGAATCCAGAGCCCAAGTACTGGGACAGTACCATAGTCCCCCTTAAATCATTTCCTTGTCTGGGGACCTTAACATGTTATATATTTTTCATGGGTAGGGAATATTGACCAGACAAAACATTTAATAAATTTACTGACTGCCTATTGTATGCCAAGCACTATGCAAAGTATTGGGAGAATCAAAGGAAAAGATATTGGGGAAGAAGAAAAGAGATATGAAGACATGATAAACTATAAAATATAGAACCCGTAACAAAATTCAACTTTAAAAAGGACATACGCCATCCACCCAGTTGATTCAGAACTTCCAGGGGAGGAGCCTAGGAATTTTTAACAAGTACTTCCAGGAATAAATGTACTACGGGATAAAAGAAGCTCAGATGTGTCTGAAAATCACTTCCCTTATAATGGACTATGATCTTACAAATGCTAATATTTGCTTTATGAATAACAGGTAATCCAGGAGGAAAAAAACACCAAAGTGCCTGATATAAAATAACTTTACCTGCAGAGGGAGGCACACATAATTTATAATGGGTAAGTAAACACATTTGCACAAAAATATTTTTTATTGTTTTAGGGAGAAAGAGGAAGTGGTGGAAGAAAGAGAGAGAGATACACTGATTTGTTAACTCACTTATTTATGCACTCATTAGTTGATTCTTATATGTGCCCTGACCAGGGATCGAACCTGCAAACTTGGTGTACTGGTATGACGCTCCAACCAGCTGAGCTACCCAGCCAGTGCTCCACAAAAATATTATGCAGGCTTGAGAATGACCCTTAGATAAACAATAGGGCAGATCTATGCTGAGGGCAGAACATTTGATGCAATGACCCTACAACAATGAATTAAGTTTACTGTAAAGGATAAGGTAAAACCTAACAAAAATGTTTTATATAGAGATTCAGAAATTTTCAAAAACGTTTAAATCTATAATAAAAATATATGAAAATACAGCATCTATAAAATTAAAAAAGAAAGCCACAGAGAAACAGTTTGTTTACAGATCTTCAGGAAAAAATAAACACCCTTCCTCCAAAGATGAGATAGATTTATACACATGATCAAAGCCAGACAATAATGTTTTATAAGTTGTGCATAAAAATTAAGGGTCTGGTTTGTTTTTAGACTGAAGGTGGTAAAAGCACCTCAAAGAAGAGAATTGTACTGGGGCCTAGACTTTGGGCTTCATTATCTGGGGGCTGAACTAATGAAGATACGGTTACAAAGAATGCATTTAAGGATATACATTTGAATCACTGCCATAGCAACAGATTTTCTAACTTCTCACACATAAGGTACTGTTTCTCCCAAACATAAAAATACCCCAAGGCACACTCCCTGACCAAGGCCACAATTCTGAGTAATTAAGAGTTGAATTCCTAGAAAGACTCAAAGGAAGGCCTTATTGCCCCAAGTATGACTCTGGGAAGGAAGTGATGACTTGGACACTAAGTTAGCTGGGTAGGTATCACTGAGATAGTCATGAAGAACACTTAAGGAGGTCTCGCCACACCTGCCTATTCATAAGCACCAGCTCCCCCTCTGAAACCCATGCCTGTGCCTAACCTCTCATCTACTTGGCTACATATTTGCCCTATTTAAAAAACCTGTCCAATGTGCTGTCTTCCATAATGCTCCTTCCAATTATAATGGTACCTCAGAACTCACTGTCTTCAGAACTCGTCAAACCTGGTACTTGCCGCATTTTGACGAGAAATGTTTCAGCACTCGGCACTTGCTCGCCACTGATCGTACTTGCTAGAACTTGTACAGGTCATAATGCCGCCCCACAAGAGAAAATGCTTCATCAATCATCACTTGCTTGCTACTTGTCAGAACAAAGTAATGATGAGTACCAAGGTACCACTGTAAATATTCAAAATTTCATTTTATTGTCCTTCATTTATGCCACATTATCCCTCAGCTCAGTTCTCACTTCTTAAAGGAGGTCAGCTCTGATCAACTCCACCCATTTTCTTCCTCCAAATGCCTCCTCAGAGATCCATCTGGCTTTGTCAATAACTATAATGCTGGGATAAAGCACCTGACTGCCACATAATTGGGATTTCTGTGATCAAGATGCAGTTCCTGAAGTAAAGGGCATCTCTTCCTATAAACCAGAAGACACATGGAATAGGGCTTGTGATCTGGCACCTGTACTGTAAGGAATATAAGTGTTTTCTTAAAAAATAAGCTTTCTAAACTGATGGGGTTACCTACTTCCAATCTCTCCCATGACACTCAGCTTCCTATGGACTCCTCATGGGTACTCAGTCAGACAATGACATTTTGTGACTACCTTGGCCTCTCTGAATGGTAAATTAACTGTAAGCAAGTACTAGATCCAAGGCTCTAAAATCACCCATGGAGTGATGCAAAAAATATATGCTGAGCAAAGATCATAAAATGTTCAAGCTAGGTCCACATTTTTCTGGAGATAAAGATTTAAGAAGGGGAAGATTTTTGCTTAAGAGGAATTTAGCCAATATTTCAAACCTTTTTCTGATGTGTTTTGTTCCAGATCTAGTGGGTCCTCAGAGGCACAAGAATCAGCTATGAGGGAAGGGGACCTGTTGGAAAGCTGGCTCTCCTGCTGCTCCAACACAGCTTCCAGGTGGTCCATTTCCTGCTTGATCTTTATCAGGTTATCTTGCATGGTATCTCTCTGCTGCAAACACAAAAAAAAGACAGAAAGTTATACATTTTTAGAAACTTGCCAGAGCGCAAGACTATGTCATACCAATTAATTTTAGCATGGGAATTAAAATCACCTAGTATGGTATTATAAATTCTGGCTGAACAACTTTTAATCCAACCATATTCATGCAATTAATGCCCATGAAATTATTTCAGAATGATATTAAAGAAGGAAAAAAAGTCCCTCAAACTCTCCCAAATAGATTTGCTTTATTGTGTTGTCATTTTGAATCTGATTACAGCACTTTCTTTTAAAAGTTCAGGAGCAAAACAAATAATTAAGGTGGTTAAACACTTTTGATATTTAAAATTAGCATGACTCTGCCCTGGCTGGTGTGGCTCAGTGGACTGAGTGTGAGCCTGTGAACCAAAGCGTCACCAATTCAATTCCTGGTCAGGGCACATGCCTGGGTTGCAGGCCAGGTCCCCACTGGGGGGCATGCAAGAGGCAACCACACACTGGTGTTTCTCTCCCTTTTTTTCTCCCTCCTTTCCCCTCTCTCTAAATATGAATAAAATCTTTAAAAAAATAAAATTAGCATGACTCTGTTAACATTTACACAGGCTATGTTTCAAAGATTTAGTATAGTGGGATTCATAGGAGACTTAGGTTAGTCCACATAAAAATGTCTGCTCTCTGGCTTGTGAGAACACTTCTTTTTCTGGGATTCTTTGAACATTCTGTTTCAAACAGAAAGAACAAAGAGCTAATTCATTAATTTATCTACTTGTTCATTTAACAACTATTTGTTGATCATCTATTATATATATGTCAGACACTGTCCTAGTGCTGGGGATAGAGCCCACATGGTACTGCCATTCTAGATGGTAACGGTGTACCCAGAGAGCTTCACAGAGAAGGTCCTGTTAGGGAAAAGAATCAACAGAAATAGCCCTAGGAAACCATGTAAGGAAAATTATTGTTTCAACTCAAGATAATGGGCTCTTCTTTGTATATGGGGCTCATGATGTTTATTTCCCATTTCAGAAGGATATCTGTTAAGTGTAAGGTTTTTGATAAACAAAGCAAAGTATCTGATAATTAAGGAGATTTACAAAATATATCTTTATTCCTTACTTTTAGAAAGAACATTAATGGTCACCAGCAAACCCTGGGGAAACACAGATTGTTTCACCTTCCTATTTCTTCTTCTGATCCCTGAAAATGGCTTTGCCCTCCACTAAAAACTAGCCATCTACTTTCTCATGCTACATGGAGGTAATAGTTTTCAGGACATTTTTATGACCAGAAATGTATTCCCCACTCCACAAAGGCTTCCAGTGCTGCCCTGACACGGGTTTGCTGCCAAAGTCTCCAACAGCGCCATTGCCACCATGTGGCGCTTGTGAGTAGTTCCACTGCTAATCAAAAAGCCTGACGAAGTATATTTCGAATGAAACCACAGCCCCATAAGCTTTAGAAACTGTATTCGACACTGCTGTTATGACCATTGCATCTAACCTCCACGTGGCCATTAAATAGGTTAGAAAATCAGAAAAAACAGTAATGGGAGAATTGGTTAACTTTCCTTTGGGTTTTTCCAAAGGAATTACTTTATAGTTTAGACAATTCTCCTGTAGGCAATTACATTTGGGAGACCAAAACCAAATTGGTTACCAAGTTTTCTTCATTCCAATTCTTCAGTTTCTCAAATTAGCCCTACTCTTCCATTTCCCATTTTGCTACTCTGATTTCTACTTATAATACAGCTACATTACTGTGAAAATTCCTTAAAAGCAAGTTTATCATGCCTTTCTTCCATAAGGACCTTGGTCATGTACCACTGCTAAGTTAATGCTTTCTGAAAACTACATAGTTGTTGCTCATTACAGCCTGCAGAAAAAAGTCCAAATTGCTAAGTATAGCATTCAAAAGGCCCTCCATACCCTCTCATCTTTTATTTCTCCCCCGAACCATCCAAATGCCCTGTTTTCTAGTCACACAGGACAATTTTGTGCTTCCTAAGCATTACATACCCTTGTGCCTTTGCCTGGATTGCTGCCTCCCTTCTTATTCCACCTTGAAAAATTCTCACCTCTCAAGGCCCAGTTTGATTATCTCCTTCAGACGTTTCCACCAACAAGAAATATATCAACAGATGATTCCTCACTACTTCATTTGTACTACTAATGCATCACTATACCAAAGTGGAATATATGACCCTCCCTCTGATACAGTGGTGCTTCCATATGTTTTTGCTATAGGATAAATGGGTTTTGATAGTTTAGCAGCTATCAAGGGTGTCCAACCTTCTGGCGTCTCTGGGCCACACTGGAAGAAGAGTTGTCTTAGGCCACACATTAAATACACAAACACTAATGAAAATTGATGAGCAAAAAAAAAGAAAAAGGTTCTAAGTAAATTTACGATTTTGTGTTGGGCTGCACTATAGCCATCCTGAGTCACATGTGGCCTGTGGTTTGGACACCTAGCTTACTCATTAAATTCAGTATTAGTGAGGTTGGTGGTATGTATATATGTATGAAATAAAAGGTTGTTTGAGTTCTATCTAAATAAGTGATTATAGCCCTGGCTGTTGTGGCTCAGTGGAGTGAGCGCTGGCCTGCGAACTAAAGGGTCGCCGGTTCAATTCCCAGCCAGGGCACATGCCTGGGTTGCGGGCCAAGTTCCCAGTAGGGGGCATGTGAGAGGCAACCACACATTGATGTTTCTCTCTTTCTAAAAAACAAATAAAATCTTAAAAAAGAAAGGTGATTATAATGTGATTTGAAGAGACAAGGCAACACGCACAGCTATTACACCACTGATTCTAAGGGATGATATAGGCAAATGTAAAATTGCAGGATGCATAAGAATACAGAAGACACCATACAAACATACCTACGCATGCTTTTTACCTGAGTGGTTAAAATATCGCTCTGAGAGGACAGCCCTGAACAGTCTTCAGAGAGGCTTGTTTCACTCTCATACTCAGATGCTGCTTCATCTTAAATGATAATAAAAATAGAGATTCAGATATAAAAATAGGCCATACTGCAATTTGCTGTAGTTATTTCTTCCCATTGGCAGGACAAATACCACTTCCATGTTACAAAAAATGATTATACTCCTTGTTTTGGGACACCTGGATTTCCTCTAGAAATCATAACAATGAAAACCAGAAGCAAGTCCACCAAAAATAAGGGCATTTAGAGATGTTCCAGCTAGGTAAAGGACTTTTAAGGAAAAGCACCTTAGAAGGAACATGCTTACAGTTGAAGAAGCAGTTACTTTAATTTTATTTGGAAACTCATAAAATTTGCTCCCTCAAAGGATAAGCACTTAGCTCATTTCTATAGAACAGACAGTTCCAATACCTAAGTTTGAATCCACACTCTGCTCTTCTTGATTATCCTCTTCCAGGTCTGTTTCCCTTTTGTCATCGTCTGAAATCAATTCCTTGTCACTTAGAACTTCTCGGTTTTCAGACTGATGGCTCACTTGTTTAGAATGAGAATCAAACATCAAGAAAGAATCCTGGGTGTTTGTATTAGCAGTGAAATCTGCTACACTGCACTGTGAGGAAAATAAGCTAACAGAACATTTCGCTTCTTCACTAAGGTGATGTTCCTGGGATGTGTTTGCTGACATTACCTGGTTACTGCAATTATTTAAGCTACTCTTTAAAGATACTTGGTTCTCTCCTGTTTTCTTAGACAGACTGTCTGTGGCAACAGCATTATGCCTGGTAGATGGGGAAGGTATATTGGTTACTTTACCAAATAGCAAATGTTGGAAGCAGGGTAGCTCTTCATCCTCACTAGACGTGTCCTCTTCTGAGGACTCTAATTTCCTGGCCCGTCTTGGGTGACCCTTAGCCAGTGCATGGGCTAAGGGACTAGGGCTCTTTCTGAATTCTTTCTGGACACTTTTGCTAAAAACAGCAGATCTTTCTTTAATGCCACTTTCCACAAAGCTGTTATTCTCCTTTATTTTGTCATCATTTAACAGGTCATCTGGTGTCTCAGAACAAACCCGAGAAGCAGGACTACTTCCCATAGGTTGTTCCAAGTTATCTAAAGTTTGACAAGGAGAGAAATCTGCATCGACAGCCTGAACTACTCCTCCATCTTCTCCTTGCCTTTTTATTTCAGGATGATTACAATTACTTATAGGAAGGCTTGGCTTATATACTTCAGGTTGCATGAGACCTACTCTGAGAATAGCACTTAATCTGGATCCTCTGTTTCTACCTGGTTCTGCTTGAATATTTTCACCACTGGAGCCTACTTCATTAGTACTGCTTGAGCTGCCTTCTTTAAAAGTACTTTCTCTAATGTTATTCTGGCTAATTCTGCTCACTGTACTTTGAATGATGTTCTCATTTCCCATTGCTCTTTCAGGTGACATTGAATGTTCCTCAAACTTTTCCTCTGACAAGTTTTTCTTACTTACAGTTTTAACAGATGACCTGATGGGAGAAATGGGTGGTATATGATACAGGTCTTGTGAAGTTCTGTGTTTATTTTCAATACTGAGTTCAGTTTCATTGCTTCTGAACTGAGATGACTGACAAAGCCTAGAGATTCCTTTCATACTGTATTTGGCATACTCTCCTGACTTTTTATCTTTCTCACAAACCACAGGAAAGCCTGCAGTTGTGTGAATTGCTGGTACGTGCTCGATTTTAGATTCTTTCTCTCCCTGATTTTCTTCTTTTTGTCTACATTCAAGAGTAACTTTTGGACTTTGATTCCTTGTAGATCTGGAGTGGGCATAAACGGTTGCACATTCCTTTTCTGGATTTCCTGGGTTTGAAAACAGAGCAAATGACTGACGCTTTGAAACCTTAAATGTATTCTGTAAACACTGTGTATCAAGTTCACTCTCTTCCATTTCTATGCTTGTCTCCTGAACTTCACATCTCAATAGATCCTTAAAGCCCTCTGTGTCATTAGAACAATCATGGCTAAGTTTCTTTGGGTTTTCAATTGCTGCACACCCACCCAAACATTGATTTGGTGCCGTTTTTGCCTTCCCGGGGGTATCAGGTGCCAGTAGTGAGATGCTATCCTGGGTGTCATAATCAGTTTCAGGTACCAATAAAATATTGGGACTCTCCATAGATCTATCAGTTTGCAAACCTCTTCTTCCACTGAAAATCAAATCTTTGAGGTCTTTGGTGCTATTAGACACTTGAATTGCTCCTGGGTTCTCTTCTACTTCTTCTCTTTGAAGGTTAGAATTGACAGACTCTTTAAGTTTATTAGAACTTGAACCACTAGTAAAAATACCAGATATGTTTGTTAAATTTAGTTCTGGAAAAGCATCATTGGCAAGTCTTTTATCTATTTCTTCATTTGACTTGTTAGTCTTCTTGGCTCCAGTTTCAAGTTCTTTATCTTCCATGAATTGAAGCTTTTTGCTGTGTCTCACTGGTATTTGGTCAGAATTTTTTTTCTTCAACTCTTCACTGCTAGAACAACTATCAATTTGTAGCTCAGTATGAGTAGGTGGGCTTGGATTTTTACTGACTACGAGTTCAAGTGCATAAACATGCTTGGTAGTGGTTTTCCTCCTCTGCTTAGTCTTCTTGGGTACTTTTGAACTATGGATATTTAATTCTAATTCCATATTGCTTATGCTGCTGCTTATAGGTTCAGCTGTAGTTCTGAATGCAGATTCTTTTTCCAATGATTCTGTTGGGTTAGCATTTTTCTCTTTCTGAGCATAATCACCTTTTGTTTCATTTCCATGACCATTATTAGTGATAGCCATCACATGACCACTCTCTTCTATTTGGTCAGTTCCTTCAATTATATTTTCAGGAGTCTTATGACCAACTGTCAAATCTACTTTCTTGATAAAATCCTCAGGATGAAGGCCTGGTGTAGTTCTCCGTTTACGCCTTAGTTTATTTGTGAGGGGACGCTCTTGTGTTATCCAAGGTTCCGGAGCAGATGCTCCTATAATTAGATTTTCATTTATGTGGCTCAAGTTAGGGAGGCTTGCCTTCCTCCGATAGGTTTTCCCAAATATTTTATCTTCAATGTTACTTTCTACTGGTTTGGAGTGGACTCTTTCACTTTCACATATTAAAGCACCATGAGGTTCACTGGCCAGTGAGACTATTTTCTCTGGAGAACCAGAATATTCATCTACTTCACTTGGAACTTCTAGTGCATCAGCTACTTCCATATTTGATTCAGACCTCCCTTCACGCGAGCCATCAGAAGTTAATGTTTCATCACGTCTGGAAAACCACTCATTAACTTTCTGTATGCTACTACCCCGTGTTATCCAAGGAGCATCCTGGGAATCTCTAGGACGGTCAGAGCATGGAGATTCTTCTCTCCCATTCAGGGGATCAGCATTCAGAACTACTCTCTTCTCTGTGCTGGCAGTCTGCCTATCATTACATGTTTCTTTACTTTCAGCCCATCTGCTCTGCTGGCTCCTTGCTAAGCCAGGCTGCTTGTTTTTAGTACAGAATTCAGCCTTTTCTACATTCATCCTGTCTTTAGTGAGTAGTAAACTGCTGTTCTCATGCTGTAATGAGCTGGCATGAATACTTGTGCCACGTGGCTCCACATGCAAGTTTGAAACAGAAATACCCTGATACTTTTCTGGAAGCTTCTCAGTTGCATGCTTCTTCTCAGTGATGGTCAAATCTTTATTACCAGGCTGATAATGTTCAATATTTGTTATATCCTCAGAAAACTCACAAGTAGCTGAAAGTATACAAAAATAACAGGTGATCAACAAGTAAATTATCATGAAAAGATATGTACTTAATGCAACTTGGGAGTAGAAATGAAATGACTGGCTATTTTTAGAGAAACTGTCTTTTTAAACAACCAAGTATACTGAAGATATAGCTCCTACTCTTTCATGTAATTCCTAGATTCTCATTAATTCCAATCAAGATAATTAAATTTAAATTTCAGAATTCTTCCTATTCATAAACCACACTTCCTATTTTTGTAACCTGTAACAGTGAATTAAAAGCAGACTTTGGGCTAGACATACTGTGCGCTGTTCTATCTTCAGACTCATACACCCTATATTTAAATACCAGTACACAAAAGACGAAATATAAACACATAAATTTAAAGTAAAAGACAACAGCCGACTACATAGGGTACTATGACAATCACATCAGTCTAGTGCCATTAAATAGATCAGGCTGTACCATAACATCAGAGAAAGAATGATATTCTACCTCTGCCAAGAGATGTTGTAAATTTTAAATGTCCCAAATAGTCTTCAGACTCATCTAATTACAGTACTGTATCTACCCATTCTCTCTTCAGTGCCTATTATGTTGGGAAGACTTGCCATTACCGTTTTTTGCGGAACTCAAACTGGCTTCAGCCCTGGCTCCTTGAGGGGTGATTTGTAACAATTCGTGATCTCCCATACTATAGGGAAAAGACAAAGGCCTTGATGAGAAACACTAGTCACATGCTCAAAGAGTTGTCAAATGAACGAAATCAAGTATTTTAGCTTGTTTAGGTAGGGTGGCAGAGAGCTGATCAATTTAATTCACTTTTTGAAATCTACTCTTTAGTAACTACTCGTCAAAATGAAAGTGTCAAAGACTGACATACAGTCACAAAAATCAGAGGGCAGGAATGCAGAATATTGCTTTATGGACATGCAAATGAGAACCAAAATTTAAATGACAGCTCATTTAAGTACAAACAATAACCAAAATATAGTAAACCAAAACCAAACAAGAAACATTCCCACAAAACTTAAATATATATCTTAATGAGGATGCAAGAACAAAGATATCTAAAAAAAGGGAGTACTGGGATGAAGCAGACATCCCAACAGAATGCAAAGAATGCACCCTTCTGCCACTCTGCCTTCTGTACTTCTTGTCAGGCTAAAAACCACTTGCTCTCAATTGAGAAATTAGGAAAAAGCTATTTGCAAACAAATTCTGATTGGCAGTGACATCATTATTGTTCACACAGATACCACAGATCTTAAGGTTGAGCAATAATTCCTAAGGAAAGCAATTTGCCAGGTAACACAGTTCGGGGCTGCTTGTAGATTATTATATAAGTTACAGAGGTAAAGTTTGAGAGATAGATGAAATTAAAAAACAGAGGAAGAAAAGAATAATGGAGTCCTTTAGCCCTGACCAGTGTGGCTCAGTTGGTTGGGTGTCACTCCACAAAGCAAAAGCTCACCAGTTTGATTCCTGGTCAGGGCATATGCCTAGGTTGAGGGTTCGGTCCCTGGTTGGAGCGTGTATGAGAGGCAAATGATCCATATTTTTCTCTCATATCTATGTTTCTGTCCCTCTCATTTTCCCTCCCTTACCCTCTAAAAATGAATGAATGAATGACTGAATGAATAAAGCTTACAAAAAAGTAAAATGGAGCCACAATTACCACTGTGTCGGTACCAGTGTACATGAGGAACTAAGCTAGCACAGAGCAGAACCATCCGTTGGGAGTGAGTCTGTGAAGAGCTGTTATTTTAAACAAAAGACTTTAAACAAACAAAAAGGGTATATTTCTCAGCTATAAAATGAGATTAAAGTAGATGGTCTATTTCAGTTCCATAATTCTAACCTAAAACAATACCAAACCTTAATATTAACTAAATACAATGCCAGCTTCACAGACAAAAGCTCTTTGACTCACCTGTAACAACTTGCCTTATTAACTGTATCTTCAGAAGAATCAGATCCTAAAAAATTCACCAAATACCAAATCAATAAAAGAATTTTTACTGAAAAGTTAAACTAAAAAAAACGTACCTTTTGCAAAACAGATATTCATTCAAGAAATATTTACTAAGCACCCACTATATGGCAAACACAATGATATACACGTCAGACAATACAGAGAAGTAGTTAAAAGCACAGGCTCTGAAGCCAGATTTGAATCATGGCTTTGCCACTTACTAGCTTCACTACCTCTCTGTGCCTTAACTTCCTCATCTGTAAAATAAATATAATAATAGTAACAACCTCAGGGGTTTGTCAGGCCTCTCACATTAATTTTATAAGTAAAGTACAACAGTGCCTGGACTACACCAAGTGCTCCTAAATGTTAGCTATTATAATTTTGATTATTGTTGTGTCACAAAAATGATCAAAATTAAAAAATTGTAAGTCTAGGAACTTATGATTTTAAGAGGGGGAAAGACATACCAATAATTTCAAGAGAATCTGATTCAAGTGCTACGGTAAACATAAGGTGGTGCTTGGGAGCCCAGAGGGCCACTCTTTCTGATTATAAGTGTATTCTAAAGGATAAGACAGAGAAAACTATTTGAACTGAACTCAGCTCTTCTTAAAAGTCTTTCTAGTCTAGTACAATTTATTTTGGATCCTTCCAAATGCTGTAGCCAACCCATCATGTTCTTTCTTATCCATCCTTCCAAAGTATAGTAAGTCCTCACTTAATGTTGTCAATTGGTTCTGCAACTTCAAGCAAACCAATTTAAACATATAACAAACCAATTTTATCATAGAATGTTATAAACAAGAATTACTTTCCTCTAGAATCTCATTATGTTGTAACAAAACAACATTGAAAGAAATGTTATTCAAGGACCTGCTGTATATTTACACATACTTATAACCAGACACCTTTCTTTTGTTCTCTTTATAAAGGAAGGTTCAAGGTAAGAGCTTCATCTTTTGCATAATTTATAAAACAGGCCATAAAGCTAATAATACAGTTTTATTTTTACTTCCCGAAGTTCGCTGCCACTGTGTCAATTATCACCAAGGTTTCTGGTAAAACTGTAACACAAAGAATCTAGCAGCTACTATTCTAAACTTAAAAAATCCCAGACTCTTACCCAATTCAATGTAGACAGACTTATTCTGAGATTGAACCTGCTGCTTTGTCCTCAGTGATTTCACAATTTCAAGGTTAGAGAGTTGGACACCAAGACTGGTTTCCTGCTAAGCAGTAAAAAATAATCAACTAATTATTGATCAATTCTTTGCTTTTTTCCTTCCCCCTGAAGAGAAACTCAAGGTCATAGAAAACACAAATAGACCATAATAAATTAGCTAAAATTTATGACACCTAGAAAAATCACTTGGCAAACTACACATCAAAATGTATGTTATGCTCTAATGGTTTGAATATTTTTTTCTACTGTTGTTTTAAATTTTTCTAAACAGCATATGTATTATCTGTGTAATTTCTTGAAATATAAGAAAAGCACATGCTGGGCCCTAGCCAGGGAACTCAATTGGTTAGAGCATCACCCCAATACACCGAGGTTGTGGTTCCAATCCCTGGTCAGGGCACATATGAGAAGCAACCAATGAATGCATAAATAAAGTGCAACAACAAATTGATGTTTCTCTCTCTCTCTCTCAAATCAATAAATTAAAAAAAGAAAAGCATATTTTGAAGCTAATACTTTATAGTATAGAAGGAGAATAAGATTCACTTATTACACATTTCTAATCACATCTGATAACAGGGCTGGCAACGAAGATAAATTTTAAAAAAGAATAAATAAAAACAACAAAAACCCAGCAATCCCAAGTTCATGCAGTATAAGAATATTTAAAAACCCACCCTGGCTGATGTAGGTCAGTGGATTGAGTGCAGGCCTGGGAACCAAAGGGTCTCCGGCTTCATTTCCCATCAGGACACATACCTGGGTTGTGGGCCAGGTCCCCATTAGGGGGCACATGAGAGGCAACCACACATTGATGTTTCTCTCCCTCCCTTTTCCCCTTCTTCCCCTTCTGTCTAAAAATAAATAAATAAAATCTTAAAAAATAAAGAATATTTAAAAACCCAACATTACTCCAATGAACTTTCCCTTTTTCTTTTTGAGCCTTTCAACATCTACTGAAAAATGAGCGCTGATACCGTAAGAACTATTATTTTTGAAATCTCCATTACTCATTCACATATGAGTAACAACAGAGTAAATCACTCATTTTTTTTTTTTGACAATTACACCTTTTAAATTGAAGCAATTTTCAAACATAAAAACTGATTTTCTTTTTAGGCAACTTTTCAGAAGAAATAAAATAAATACACTTCCTCAAACCTGGAGGATTGCCATACTAGGTACACAAACCTTCTCTCAACTTCTCTAACTCTTGTTCATTAGGACACTTGTCCAATCACTTAATTTACCATTTTACCTTGTTCACTGACTTATTATATAAATCCATGAGCATACAGCACATTCACTAATTCACAATACTTAATAAAGAAATTTTACCAGAATAAATGAAAATGGCTTTACCAAGGTAGGATTTTCAGGTTCATTCTGTTGAAGTCTTAGGGTGCGGTTTCGGTAACCCAAACTTTGGATGATAGACACTTCCTCCTTTAGACACTCAGGAGAGTTATTCCCCTTTTTTGAAAAGTTATAAGTATTTGCAACTGTGAATTACAAGGGCAAACATATTTATAATTGGAAATATATATTACTTGTACTCAAAGAACCAAGAGAAAGACAATACATTAAAGGTTACTTATAATTTTTTAAAATCAACTTTGGAAATTCCACTGCTAGGAAACAAACACACAGATCATCAAAGCTATTTCTACTCCTTTTTCCCACCCTGACACTGAATCTAAGATACCAACAATGTAAGAAGCACCATTATTTTCTATGCCATTAAGAAAGAAACACACAATGACACACCATCGATGATAAAGTGTCCTCAACTTTGGAGACCTTAAAATGTGACAAATATGTATCTTAGGATTGATAAAATAGAGTGTGAAACCAGTGGGAATGATTTAACAAATAGATTACAGATGAAGGGCTAAAATTAACCTAGACCAGGGGTCCCCAACACCCGGCCTTACAGGGAGGTTCACCTGAGCTCCACCTCCTGCTTCCGCCCCTCCCCCTGCCTGCCCCGCCCCATCCCGGCAGGAGGTGAGTGGGGTCCTGAAAGTGATGCTCCCCCGAGCTCCACCTCCCGACCTCCCCAACACTGCTTGAGCTCCTTCACCTGTCCCATTCCCTTCCCTGGTGGCCTGTCTGTGGTGCCAAAAAGGTTGGGGACCGCTGACCTAGACCAAAAGGTCTTATCACCTATTCACAGTAAATAATTGTGTAAACCACCTCCTGAGTTTTAATGACAGCCACTTGAGCATTGGCCCCTGGGGCTATACAGCACTTACATTGCAATCCTGTGTCAAGCTCAAAAGCATGAATGATTTTCAACAGCTCTTCAACAAGTTGACTAAATCTTGTACTTTCTTGTAGGCTTCTGAAATTAAATTATTTGACAGACACTTAGCAAGTAATTATCAACTTTTTAAGGACACTAACATAAGGAAAGACGTGTAAATTAATTTAAAAAAAGAAGTAGCAGCAGTAGAAAAACTATATTCAAAGAACAGAACTAATAGTGAAATCATATAATCAAAACATCATTGACATCAGTATTTTTATTTTTTATTTTTTTGACATTCAAGCCTACCAAAAGCCTGTAACTATCTAAAATAGTACTCTGAAGACACAGCAGATATAAATCCACTGCACAGAGAACATGCTATTCTTAACATCTAAACCCCATCCACCCAACCTCTCACTTCTAGCTCTCAGGGATTCTGTCAAATGATGATTACATTGTTTTAAAAGCACAGACGTCCAAAGAAAGGTTCTGATTTAAGAAAGTTGTAGGAATTCATTTTCTTTACATATCTGAGTGACTACTATATGCCAAACACTGGAAAAACAGTATTGACTGAGACAAAGCCAGTGACCTAATACAACTTAAATCCTAGCCAGAGGGATGCACAACATATGAATACGTGGTATGTGTATATAATTAAGCAGAAATTGAGTGTGCAAGGAAGAAAAATACAAGGATCAGGAGAAATGGGGGCAGTCCTACTTTAGGTAAGATTGCAAATTCTTGCACCACTCAGAAGCATTAGAAAAAGGCAATGAATTACTAATACCTGTATAAAGTACCATAAAACTTCCAGGAAAATAACTTAAGAAATAATGTATTATTTCAGCTAAACACCCTGTTACACATTTTTCTACTGAGGAATGGTTTGATAGGAACACCAGCTATGGTGTTAAGGAATTTCTACTTTTTCATGTTGTTGCTTCCAACCTCCCATCACTACCCAATTATATACCTTTTGGTTATATCATTCTTGCACAAAGGACACTGTGAAGGCCCTTTCTTCTGGTTGAGAAGTTTCAGCATACAAAATCTATAAATTATGAAGAATAAAAAGAATAATTAAGTTACTTTTTTGTAGAGGGAATATTCAAAAGGCAAATAGCAATGAAAAAAATCTCACAACTGCCATTAAGAGCCATTTTAAAGGTAATGGTAGGTGAATTACAACCAATGGCTTTAATTGTTTTTAGATGCTGGATAAGCAGAAAACCAAACCACATAAGCAATGATCTATGAAAACTGAATTTACATGCATATGGCTTACTGTTTTGAGCAAATATAACTTATTAAATAATGAGTTAATAAGGCATACTTAATAATTATTTCATGCTGTATAATCAGACATAAATGGTAAGTATTTCAAGTAAGATGACTATAATTAGTTTAAAAACTCAGCACCTCACTACAAAGCTACAGTCATCAAGACAGTGTGGTACTGGCTAAGGATAGACATATACATTGATAGAACAGAATTTAGAGTACAGAAATAAACACATCCATATATGGTCAACTGATTTTCAACAATGGCACCAAGACAATTAAATGGAAATAGTCTTACCAACAAATAGTGCTGGGAAAACTAAATATCCACATGCAAAAAAATGAAGCTAGACTCCTACTTCACATGCTACAAAAAAATTAACTCAAAATGGATCACAGCACTTAATATAAAAACTGAAACTAAATCTTTGTGGCCTTGGGTTAAACAATGATTTCTTAAATAAACAAACACCAAAAGTACAATCAATCGAAAGAAAAAATAGATATATTGGACTTCATCAAACTTAAAAATTTTTGTGCTACAATACCACAAAGAAAGTGAAAGAACAATCAACAGGAGAAAACATTTGATAAGAGACTTGTACCCAGAATATAGAAAGAATTCTTACAATTCAATAATAAACTGAGAAATAACCCAATTAAAAATGGACAAAGGATTTGAATAGACAATTTCTCCAAATAGTCAACAAGCACATGAAAAGATGCTCAATATAGTCATTATGAAAACGCAAATTAAAGCCACAATGAGATACCACTTCACATTGTCCAGAACGGCTATAATTAAAAAGGCAGGTAAGAAGTATTGGAGAAGATGTGGAAAAATTGAAATCTTTATTCATTGCTGGTGGACATATAAACCAATGCAACCACTTTGGAATAGTCTGACAGCTCTTCAAAATGTTAAACAGAGTTACCATATAGACTCCACAATTCTACTCCTAGATTTCTTTCCTGGAGAAATGAAAACAATACTTCACAAAAAACTTGTACACATTTGCACAAAAAAAATTTTTTTATTTTATTTTAGAGAGAAAGAGGAAATGGGCGGGGGGTGGGGGGGAGAGAGAAACATTGAATTGTTATTCCACTTATTTATACATTCATTGATTGTTTCTTGTATGTGCCCTGACCAGGGATCAAATGCTGTTAATAGCAGCATTATTCATAATAGCCAAAAAAGTAGAAACAATCCACATGTCCATCATCAATGCACAGAAAGACACAATGTGGTACATCCACACAAAGGAAATATTATTCAGCCATAAAAATGAATGAAGTACTGATATAACCTGCAATATTGGATGAAACTTGAAAACATTACTAAGTGAAAGAAGCCAGACACAAAAGCCCACATACTGTATGATTCCATTTATACGAAATGTCCAGAGACAAATCTGGAGACAGAAAGTAGACTTGTGGTTGCCTAAGAGGAGGTGTGAAGTGGGTCTAGGGAATAGCGGCAAATAAGTAAGAGTTTCTTTTTGTGGTGATAAAAATGTTCTAAATGTAGATTGCAGCGATGGTTGTACAACTCTGAATATACTAAAAAAACTAAATTGTACACTGTAAATGGGTGAATTTTATGGCATGTAAATTATATCTCAAAAAAATGTTTTTAAAAAACTCAAGGCAGGGAGAAAACATATTCATTTTTATATTCACAATGCCTGACACCGTGAGGCATAACCAAGCTCCTCACGAGAAGTCTAAGGAATGAAGAAGGCTCCAGCCTTCTAGGACACTTGGGCTTTTAGAAAGGCTCCGAATGTAGAACAATTTTGTTGGTTGTCTCAGACAATGAATATGGCTAAGACTTGAAGAACACAGGCAACAACATATTCTAATGCGTCAGCTTCCTTAACCAAGAAAAATATCACTTCCATTGGCTGGAGGTGTCTATAAAGACTGATGTTCCCTAAGAAAGAAGACAAAAGAAAACTCAAAAGAGAGACAGAAAGAAAAAAAGGGACAAGAGCAGCAGAGATAGTGATGGTTATCCATAAAAACAGAAATTCACTCATGCAAGCAATGCTTACTACATTTCCAACATTGTTCTAGATGGAGGGGATTCAGTGGGAAAACAAAATAAAATCCCTGCATTATAAAGGACATAATATTCTGGCTAGGGAGGTAACCAGGGAATGGAGTAAAGAGCTGATATTGACACTGAAGAGAGCCAGAAAAGACAAGATTAAGGATGCTGAAAAGGCAGCGGGATTGGTGAACCAGCCAGCAGACACTTACTAGCCAGGTCCTTTAACACACATTGCCCTCTCTTCACCCATACAAAATCCTGAAGTATTACTTTATATCATAGTAGAGACGTCGCAGATCACACAGTAACCAAGTGATGAAGGTGATATTGGATCTGAAATTGAAGTGCAGCGAAGCCCATGGTCTTCCTACCAGAGACTGAAGGTAAATAGGTATATGGTCAAGGAGACTCAGAGGACCTTCTTCACCTATATAGATGCTTTACCTGGTAACAACTACATGGTTTATAGAAAACGGTATCAAAAAGCTACCTGTATTGTATGTTAATCACCTTTAAATAATCACAAAATAGAGTCTACCACTCCCTGAGAAAATGCAACTACTACCTGTAATCTACCATAATGGCTTTCGGAGGCATCAATGCATTATAGTGGCAAATGGTACAATTCAACAATTCTGGGTGGAAGTAAGGAATTCCCTAAACATAGTACTGCAGAATACAGTAGCTAAGCTATAGTGTTGTAGCCTGTAATAATCACATAAATAACAGAGGAGCTTGGTATATGTAGAAATCAACCAACATATGGGTTCCAATCTTTCTTTATGCTAGAAAAAGAACATATGCTTAACGGTTGTTAACTCGAAAGTGAAAATGGACTTGTACATGACTCAAAAAGACTGAACTAAGGAAAGTATTATCATATCAACAGAATATTAGTATACCTTTCAGGCTCAGAAGAACTTATTAGATTCTGTTTTAGAGCTCTGGGGAGTTTATGTGATGTACCAATTAAATAAGGACACATACATAAGTTTTACACAAGGTTCTTGGCGAAAAGGTCTGAGACGTTTTAGGCTTCTTAGATTTCTAATGCTTAAGGAAAGGCAATGCTCTTTTAAGTAAATGCAGTATGTTTTCTGAAGAGTAGCTTCAACTTTGTAAGAAAAAGCTGATGAAAAATAGTAAAATCATGCTGCCACAAAATAATTTGGGGAACTTTTCAAAATACTCACTTTTGAACACATCTATCTATACCCTGAGGAGTTTAACAATATTATGGCAGCTCATCTAATTTTGAGTTACTTGTCCAAGTCTACCCTGGCAGGAAGCAATAAAGTAATAGTTCTTTTTTTTTTTAAGATTTTTATCTATTTACTTTATAGGAAGAGGAGAAGGAAAGGAGAAACAGAGGGAGAGAAACATCAATGTATGGTTGCCTCTCACATGCCCCCTACTGGGGACCCGGCCCACAACCCACACATGTGCCCTGACTGGGAATCAAACTGGTGACCCTTGGGTTCGCAGGCTGGCACTCAATCCACTGAGCCACATCAGCCAGGGCTTTAAAAAAAAAAAAAAAAAAAAATTAATAGTTCTAAGTCTAGGCAAAATAAAGATGGGCTGACTTTTAGCTACCTTTGATTATAATGGGTGCTCTGGATTGCTTCGACAGAACTAAGATTATGGACCAATACAGTCCCTAGTTAAAGTAAATAAGTAACAAGAGAGTCCCACAGCTTAGCATTCACTTACGTTGCTGGTTCCAGCAAACCTTGTCAGTTTCTATAAGGCAGCTGTTTTCCTGATCAGACCTCTTGTCTGTACTTTAGTTCCAACAATTAAGAATCTATCATGCGCTCTTTACCTGGAAGAGTGTGCCTAGGGTCCTTGCCTGGTATCACAATCCCATGGGTCAAGGTTCTTGTCTCCTAGGGACAAGTCTTACCCCTAACCTTTAGCATCCTATGACTATATCCCTGCTACTTTTCTTCCCTTATAATCAGCACTGTGAACTTCTGCTTATTTCTGCGGTTAGACTCCTGAGAAACTATGTTTGATTTACTTGCTAAATTATCCATTTCTTGCCTATCTTGCCTACTTCTGGATGTCTGACATATCAAACCATTTCTAGACTCCAAAATTCCCTGATATTATGATCTAATGTATTTAGCCATGAAATCTCCCAATACTAACGCACCACTTATCTGAACTTCCTTAGTAGTCTCTAAGACTTGCTTTACTTGGTCTATCTGGTCTTTAGGCCTCAGCCATCCCTGGTCTGGCTCCTCTTACTATCCTCCAAATAAGTGTATATGAAGGTCATCATTCTAGAACACTGCTTCTCAAACTTTAATGTATATAAGAATCTCCTGGGGACACTTGTTAAAATGTAGATTCTCATTCAGTAGGTTTGGAATAGCGCTGAGATTCTTGCAAATTCCCATGTGCTATGGTTGCTGCAGGTCCATGAGTCCTACTTTGAGCAGTAAATTCCTAGAGCTGCATTGTTCACCACAGCTGCCACTAGATACATGTGGCTATTGAGTACCAGTAATGCGGCTAGTCTGAACTAATATGTGCTGAGTATGAAAAAACACAGGCTCTTGAAAGCGTACTACAAAAAAAAAAAAAAAAAAAAAAGTCAAACAAATATTTCATTAATATAGTTTATAGTGACCTGGTAAAATTTTGGTCATAATTGGGTGAAATACAGGTATAAATATATAATTAATTTTTAAAAACTTTTTAGTAATGTGCCTACTACAACATTTAAGTTCCACTCATGGTTTCTTTTATATCTCTTTGGACAATGTGGTTCTAGATTTTCCAAAAAATATTACACATTTCATTTGTTGTTTGGAAACTGTAAGACAATGCATGGACAACCTAAGTAACTTTTTTCTAGACTGGTACTATTACGTTGTTTGCATATATCATGAAAGATTTCAGAACTATAGGCTTACCCCAGTCAATAATGGTATTTTATCATTAGCAATTAGAATTCATCCTGTGAAAATACAATTAATGCTTGGAATATTTTTCCCAGCTTTCTCACATAGGGATTGAAGTGTTATTCAGATTATAAAGGTATTACAGAAGAGGTTTCAGGAAAAGGTTGATCTGTCACATGGGTATTATACTAGACTTTTAAGTGTGTAATACAACACTTAACATACGGCTGGTTCTTCTGCTTACCATATTCTCCACGTTAGGCATTACAAGGCTTTCTCACTCTCCACTAGTTGCCAACTTTAACCCTTTCAATCTCAACAGATGTTTTCACCTCCAACTTCACTGAGATCAAACTACCTCAACTCCCCCTGCCCTACCTCAAAATCTTTCTGTAGAATTATTCTCCTTTAAAAAAAAAAAAAAAGATTCCATCCATTTATTTTTAGAGAGAGGGGAAGGGAAGAAAAGAGAGAAGAGAAACATCTATTGGTTGGGACCTGGCTGGCAACCCAAGCATGTGCCCTGGTGGGGAATTGAACTGTTGACCTTTTGGTTAGCAGACTGACACCCACATTAAGCTACACCAGCCAGGGCATAGAATTATTCTCCTTTTCTTTCATTACTGCTTATGAATAATAACTTCATTTTTCTTGCATCCATTTTCTATTCCCAATCCCTTCCACATCCTCCTGCAAATGTCATCTCCCTTCTGAAGGGCTTCTTCCTTTTCTCACACAACTACTATACATGTATACAAAGTTAGTTCCTTTTTTTTCTAGACATATTCTACTTTCTTCTCTTTGTACCTCTGCTCATATTATTTCCTCCGCCTGTAATTTCCTTCTTCCACAAGCTCTCAAAGTAATGAATAAGTTCATAATTTAATTTTTCCTTTATCACTATAATATTATGTATTTATCACCCAAGGTGACAGGAAAGCACACAATATATTTCAGAAAGTTTCTCTTCAAGAAACAGACAAAGTTCCACATTTAAAAGGTTAACCTTCAGCTATCTGTAACTTTTTAAATACTATGACTTTTAAATTTTGTTTTACACAAGTATCAATCCATGAAGAAATTGGTCCTACACTACCGATAGTTTGAGAAACTTCCCTCTAGACACCACAAAAGTAAAAATTTCCAGAAGCAGCGAGGTAAAGCTGTGCTGCCCTGGCACCTGACTGAGGAGAAGGGCCTTACAAATCAGAAGGAAGTTATTGGGAACGTACCTAGGCCAGTGGGGTGACTTGAGAAAGGGGTGAGAGACAGTGGAAATGGGCTCGGATCCTTGTTAGGACCGATGAATAGGAAGAACACAGAATGCAGAGGAAGGAAAGGGCCAGCCCGCTGGCAGACTAGTGCTCCGATGATATCCCTCCAGAACGAACAGGTTTCCCTGAGCTGCAGCCAGCCCTCACTTCTCTTAATGCAGACACTCTTCACATTTTTTAAGTTATGAAAACATGCTAATAATCTGATGAAAATTATGGTCTTCCCCCAAAATTGCACGTGCTCATAGTTTTTAATATGAGTACAGCCAAACTTAAAATTAAATATAATTCTAGGACATTCATAAAAACCAACGAATCCCAAGTTAAAAACTCTTGAAATTTAAAAATTCCTGAGAAGGTACATAACAAGTTGATCACTGAAGTTGTTTCTGGGGAAGGAAGAGGCAGGCAGGGATTTGGAGTTAGGACGGAATTACAGTCTGTGCTAGTAAACTCATTACTGTGGGCATGGCTTGCTCTTTCAATTGAAAAAGAAAACAATACTTAAATTAGTTGGCATTCAGGGCAAGTCTCAAATTATAGCTTAACATCACAGAAGTGAGAAAACCCCCTTGTTCCACCAAAATACCTACCAAACTTTTTCCTGAAATTCTTCCATCAAGAAACATTTTCATTTCAAAGGGCGAGATTCTTAAAAATGTAAATATAACTTAAATCATTGGTATGAATGAATTTCAGCCTAAATATAAACTGATATCAGATCCTTTCCTATCTTTACAAGGATTATGAAGCAGGCAAATGCTGAAACTTAGGACAGGTAAAGTGGGCCCTAACTGGTATGGCTCAGTGGACTGGGTGTTGGCCCACAAACTGAAAGGTCGCCGGTTTGATTCCCGGTCAGGGCACAACCCTGTGTTGCAGACCAGGCTCTGGGCTGGGGACATGTGACATGCAAACTGGTCAATGTTTATCTCACACATCATGTTTCTCTCCCTCTCTTTCACCCTTTCTTCCCCAGTCTCTAAAAATAAATGAATAAAATCTTTAAAAAAAAGGGGGGGGATGGGACATGCAGAATGTACAGAAAACAAAAATTGGCAAGGCCAAAACACATTTTGTTTATTTCACAATTGCTTGCAATCTGCTTTTACCCATGGACACACACACACACACACACACACACACACACACACACACACAACAGCTGTTCAAAGTATGTTGATATCCCACTAGATAAACATGTCAATATTTTACCAAGAACTATGGCTACAACCAACTTAGGGTGACTTTCTCAGTATTCTCTGAGATAGAATGAAATCAAATTGGGTATTTCTTTTTTACTTGAAAAAGCTAAAGTTTCTATAAAGTTAGGTGTATCCTGTGTTATGAAGAATAAGCACAAAAGGTAATAATGGAGTCATATAACATATTCACACTTACTTGCAAAATATGTGGTCACACTTTGTGGAAACAGGCTCTTTGATTAACTCCAGACTAGAAGGGAAGGGAAAAAATAAAGACAGAAAATGAATGCAGCTCAATAATTCATTTAAAAATAATCTTAGCAAAGAAGTTCAACTTTGAGTGTCTATAACTAAGTCACGATAAGGTTTTAAGTTCATTCAACAAATATTTATTAAATGTCTGCTGGTCTAGGAGCCAAAAACACAGCAGAGAACATAATTCTTAGTCTCACTGAGCTTTCTGACATAAAAATGGAATATGTATTACTCTTTTCAATATTCTGTATTATATCTATAGCATTTAAAAGGTTAGCTAATATTACTTTATATCAATTAGGTTTCAATGATATACTTTTTTGAGCATCAATGGGTGCATATCCTGTATCTTTACACTTTCGGCTCCACAAAGACAAAAACTTCTTGCATTTCTTTTGGATGCCCTCACAGCACTTGTTTTTTTGCATGTGATTGCCTTTTAAATTTCTTCATATGGAAAATTTCAAGCATTTACACAAATAAAACTGTAATATGAACTCCATGTACCATCCCAGTTTCAACAGTTATCAACTCACAGCCAATGTTATTTTATCCATGGCTGACACCCGCACAAGGCCCAGGTTATTTTAAAATAAATCCTAGCCATCATATCATTTAATCTACAAACATTTAGGAACATATCTTTAAAAGAGACTTTTTTAGAATAACCATGAAACATTACTACTTCTAAAAAAAACTTCCTTAATTTCACCTTATATGTTTTAATTTTCCTTGCTGTCTCATAAAAAATTTAATAATTAATTGACCTGTAGAATTCCCCACATTCTGGATTTTGCTGATTGTAACCTTATGGTATGTAGTTTAACATGTTCCTCTAACTTTCATATCCTGTAAACTTAGACCTACAGGCTCGATCCAATTCAGGTTCAATTTTTTGGCAAGAACAGTTTTGGGTACTGTGTACTTCATTACATCACTTCAGGAGGTACATAATGTTTAGTTTATGACTATTTTGTAAAAACAAAGTAATAAATACTAACTGAGCCCTGGCTGGGTAGCTCAGTTGGTTAGGGTATTGCTCAATACACCAAGGTTATGGATTTGATCCTCAGTCACGGCACATCCAAGAATCGTGAATGAATAAATAAATAAATGGAACAACAAATCGATGTTTCTCGCTCTCTCCCTCATTTCTTCTCTCTCTCTAAAATCAAAATAAAAAAGAATTTAAAATACTAATTAAAAAATAAACTTAGAAAAATACCAAAATTTCAAGAAAATACATCACCCAAATTCCCATTCCTACCCATCTATCCACAAACTCTCAGTCTTCCTGAGATTAGTTCATTTATTAATATAAAAAGTGTTTACTGAGCACCTAGTACATGCAAGCACTGTCCTTGGAGATGGAAACACAGCAGTGAACAAAACAACGCCTGCCCTTAATAGAACTTCCATTCTAGTTGTGGTAGAGAGTTGACTGAGAAATAAACAAGAAGGTATGGAAACAGTGCTAAAAAGAAAAATAAAAGTGAATGGGACAGGGAGTGCAGTGTGTTTGAGGGAATATACACAGGTCAGGAAAGGCCTCGTAGAAGGTGACACTGGTGGACAGAACATTGTGAGTAAACAAGCTGTGCAACAACTGAGTAAAGAACATTCCAGCAGAGGGAGCCGAGAGGAGAGACTCAAGCAGGACCATGACTGGTGTATTGAAAGACAGCGAATAAGTAATGTGCTAGGATAGAATGATCAAGGGGAAGAAGTAAGTACTAGAAGAGGTCAAAGAGGGAGCTGAGAGCCTGAGCAGGTAGTTTTAAGTTTTTAGCCTTCATTCTGAAAGCTTTAGAAACTGATTTTTTGTAAAGTTCATTTCAGGCAGGACATCGAACAATAGGTAACCTATGTATGACAGCAATGTGGTTCTTTTCATTAAAATGTTTAACTTCTTAGAAAAGGGTCACAAGAAAAGCTGGGGGGCGGGCGCTCTCCGGCTAGGAGCGTGCCTGCATCTTCCCTGTCCCCCTCTTCTCCCCACCCCAGGCCCTCTACCTTTGCCTTTCCCTCTCCTAAGCACCAAGGGCCCTCCTTTTGCTTCTGTACCTTGTTTCCTGAGCCTAACAGCCCAGCTAGCTCACCTCTACTACCTCTAACTTTCTAAATAAACTTTCTCTTATAATTTGAGTGCCTGGCTCTGAAATTTTTCTTCACCCATCTCAAGGACCAAGGTCCAATTTAGCCAACAGAGGTTAACAGATCAGGGATGAACAAACAGAAAAAAGAAACAGAGAAAACAGGGATAATGCAGAGAGAAGGTAATCAGTAACTATGAAACAAGAACAGGACCCTACTGGGAAAAAAAAGAAAATAGCATTCAGAGAATGGTCCTGGAAATTAAAATTTAGTAAAAATGAAAAAATGAATAGAAGTTTTGGAAAATGAAGCAGAAAATGTCAAAGCTGTCATTTGTACCCAAGTTAGCTTGACCCCAAAGCCCATGAAAATAAAAGATTTAAAAAAATAGCTGGGGACAATGGCCTCGTTGTGAAGGGTTTGGTAACACAACTCTTGTAATCATGGGGTTTCTGACGCAGCACAGGGAAAGGAAAAGAAAAATATCACAGTAAGTCAGAAGGCTGGGTTTCTTCTACCAGATCTCCTTTCTATTAGCAGAGTAACCTTAGGCCAAGCACTCTGCCTGACTGAACCTCAGCTTCCTGTAGGAAACTCACCCACTCTACCAGTCTCTTCAGGCTACGGTGAGAATAAAATTAAACGCCTCTTGGGAAAATGTTCACGACCTGAGATGACTTATACTAATGTTAATATTATTATTGGGACTGAATGAGATTTAAAAAAAAAACAACACAACAACCTGACAAAGAGAACTCTTGATTTGTTACGCTATTCCTCAGATAAACAAGATATCAAAGACATTTGCAGTAAAAGAGAAAGTGGATTTAGCTATACCAACCACATGGCTTTCATTCTCACCACTGACTCAATTCTGAAAATAATTATATTTCAGTATGATAATTACAAGCCAAACTATACAAACATACTCTAAACAAACTTTGAACAGATGAAAACTCCACTATGTAAAAAGGTAGAAACTGTTAGAGAAAAAGTTTGGAGAATGGGAATGAAAAGACAAAAATGAAATGTTCCTCTAATAGGTCCTGATGAAAGTAAATGTTTACTATAAAAATGACTCAAATATTTTAAACACTTTTTAAACCAATCAGTACTTTAGGCTTCCTTCATGTCTACACTTTGAGCTTCTAAAATGGATACATAATTGAAAAAAGCACCTAAGTTAGGTTCCAAAACTAACAAGCACCCCCCCAGGATACACATTTTAGAATACTGTTTTGAAAGTCAAAAATTTTATATAATCACATGTAAAAAGTTAGAAAGAACTACCAATTATCAGAAATAAAATGCCAATAGTGACTTAGGGACCAAATGAAGGCATTTTAAGTCTAGAGACTTCAAAAAAGTTGGAAACCTACTCTACAGCTACCATAAGTATCAGTGTTTCCAGTAATTATTTATTTAGACATAACAGCAAAGTGTAGTGTTCTTGGCTCTGCTAAAAAAAGAAAGAATAAAAAAAGTGCAGTAATTATGATTCCCATACTAGAATTTAAATGAGTTTAACAATGACTAGAATTCAGTTTTATTAATAGTTTAAAAATCTAAGTGTATTTCTAATGGAAAACAGATTTTAAAATATAAGCTGTAAAATATACAACATTTGACTGACATAAAAATTTAGCATTAACTTTCCATCTTGCATCTTTAATTTTTATGTATCTGAGTTTTTTAATTGATGGTTTAATTTTCCATGGAAATGTAAAGTAAATGGACCAAATGCGACACTATTGAGGACTTTTTGATCACTCTTTGTAATTACGAGTTTTATGACTTTTTAAAAGCAATTTTCCCCCAATTGCCATTTTCTGCTTCTCTGGCTCTGATGTTTCATAAATGAGCCTATAAATCTCATTTAGCTCTTGTTTTTGTTTGGCTGAAATGTTGAGGGGCAAGGGAGAAGATGGTTTCTTATAAATCTTGTACCTCTCTAAAAACACAACTTGCATTTTCTCTCTTTAAAAAAATATTTTATTTATTTATTTTTAGTGAGTGGAGAAGGGAGGAAGAGAGGAAAAGAAACATAGGTTGCCCCAGCAAGGGACCTGGCCCTGTAACCCAGGCACGTGCCCTGACTAGGGATCAAACCAGTGACCTTCCAGCTTGTTCGCAAGCTCGTGCTCAAACCACTGAGCCACATAAGCCAGGGAGTATTTTCTTTCATCCTATTTACTTGATTCCAATTATGATAAAGAACTTTCACAAGGCAAAAAGGAAAATTTACTTAAATTTACTTTCCTTTGTTCAAGATAAGGAGCAATAGGTGCAGCTTCCCAATTTATTTTTTGAATGTTACCCACCACTATCACTACGTTAAAAACCACTAAACTATCAAAGAACCAGTTTAGTTTATTATTTAATATCTTCAACAATTGTTTACCAAGTGGCTACTATATATCCCAGGCACTGTTCTAACTCCTGAGAATACGGAAGTAAACAAATAAAAACCTCTGCCCTCATGGAGTTCATATTCCGTGGAGATAGAGAAAAAAGTTAAATAAATATTATATAATGTCAGATACTAATAAGCGTTATAGAGAAAAATGAAACAGGAAATGGTATAAGGAATGTGCTGGTGGTGGGTGGGGGTATTACAATTTCATATAGAAATGTCTGAAAATTCCTCTTTGAAAAGGTACTATTCCAATCAAGATTTGCAAGCCATGAAATTATCATAGGAAGAACATTCCAGAGGAAACACCAAGCATAAAAGCTCAGAGGCAGGAGAGTATGTCTCAAGTCTGAAGAACAGTCAAGAGGCCAAAATGACCAGACTAAAGAGATTAAAAGGGAAAAAGGTAGACAATAGTTTTTCTAAATTGTCTCACTGAATTTTCACCAACAGAATGAGGTGTGGTTTTTAATTTATTTTGTAGGTTTGAGAGATACCATGGAGATCATCAATGATAAAGTTCTTAAACTTTGTTGTGTATGGACCCTTTTTGGCAGCTGGTGAAGCTCATGAACCCCCTTCTCGAAGTAATGTTTTTATTTATTTATTTTTTAAAAGATTTTATTTATTTATTTTTAGAGAAGGGAAGAAAGAGAGGGAGAGAAACATCAATGTGTGGTTGCATTTTGCACACCCTGCTGGGGACCTGGCCTGCAACCCAGGCATGTGCCCAACACTGGGAATTGAACCGGAGACCCTTCGGTTCAAAGGCCAGCGATCAAACCACTGAGCCACACCAGCTAAGGCTATTTTATTTATTTTTAAAAGATGTCATTTATTTATTTTCAGAGAGAGGGGAAGGAAGGGAGAAAGAGAGAAAGGAACATGGATGTGGGGGAGAAACATTGATTGGTTGCCTCTAGCACACCCCTAACAGGGGACCTGGCTCCACCAGGGCATGTGTCCTAACTAGGAATCAACCAGCAACCTTTCCCTTCGCAAGCCAGCGTTCAGCCCACTGAGCCACACCAGCCAGGGCTGAAAGTCATGCTTTTAAATGCATAAAATAAAAAATATAGAATTGTATAAGAAACTAATTATATTAAATTACAGTTTCATTCATAGGCCTCCAAGGGTCATGGAGAGTGGCCAAGTTAAAAGTTCCTGAATACACACAAGAAATCTCAGGGTGATGAAAATGTTCTATATCTTGACTGGGTTACACCAATTTTACTCACATATATAAAACATTTATATAATTATGAATACTTAATTATATAATATTAATTACATAATTATAAATTATAAACACATATATAAATATATAATTATATATAGCAACATATAAATACATAATGGTACATACTTGTATTATGGAATTATATAATTATATAATACTTGTCAAAGCTCATTGACTTACACACTTGCATTTAACATATTATACTTCAATTTTAAAAATTGTGACTATTCTAGTTCCCTCTTTATTTTACAGATGAAGACAAAGGCTCAGTCAGAGAGACTTGTGGCTTTGAGGACGCAGTACTCTTATTTAAGTATACAGGGTTAGTTTCAGCCAAAGGTCCTCCCTAACACCTACTCATTCACAGACACCAATCATTCCTAATTTTATTTTGCCATTATTAAGTATGTCCATTCCAAGTGATCAATCCGGCTTTAAAGATGGATAGACAGCCCAAGTGTCACTCAATCTAAACCAGATCCCTGCCCAAATGTAGAACAAGTCAAGACAGTTGTGTGGGCTAGGAAAGCCATGAGGTTGTGTGTGTTGAGGTGGTACAGAGGGAGGGGAGGAAAAGTGGAGGAAAAGGAGTTACTTTCTATATTCTTGAAGCTCTTCAGTTAAGAAAAGCAGCTTTAATAGCCTAATCTTAACAGACATCATAATTTTTTCTTCTTACTATGTAAGGTCAATTCTGTTCATTTGCCTAGGAGATAGTCATACAAGAAAGAATCTTGAATTAATAAAATCTGTTGACTTACCAGATTGGACACTCTAAGATTTTCTGCATAGCATTAAGGACATTTTGCACTTCTTCAACGCGATCCACACGTAAATTCATCTCTTCCTTTTACAATGAACTGTAACGTATAAACAGATGCATTTACAAGTAAATCACTTTAAAAGTCTTAAAAAACAATAGCTCAGTTTCATTGTCATTTTTTAAACAAGAGAAATTTAAGATTGGAGTGCTTTAAAATTACATCAACCATAGAACTAATAACAAAAGCTCTATTTTTTTTTAATTCTATGTTTTTCATTGTAACTATGACCACTTTAAATTCTGTTTTTTCACTTCCTTTTTGGTCTCTTCCTTTGTCCAAGCAAGGGAAAGCCACAATAGGTGACTGGGTGAGAGGTGGTAGCCTCAGGTTTCTCCCATCATCCTTGCTGTTTTCATTTTCTTGCAAAAAAACCAAAATGGAAAAAATAAAATAAAACCAGCACCAACCAAGTGCTGGACCCCACCCTTGTCCTTCCCCAGTGGCCTACACTCAACTCAGAAGCCTCAGGCACATCCCTGCGGGCAGCATCTGTGACTAGTGATGCAACACTATTTTTCTCTTGGCTCTTCCAGGAAGCGCATTATGAATTCAGTTCTTAAGGGCTCTCCCTCCCACAGAATCCTGCCTCCTCCTCTTCCCAGACACATGCCTGCCCCTATTCTTCCTCAGGGTCGCCTTCTGACATATATCAACCCGTCTCTTCACACTATGGTGTCCTCCAGCTCCTATCATCAGGATTCCCCTTCCCACACACCCCGCCCCCCGCCTTATCCTTGGTGCCTCCCCCCCCCGCGACCCCAGAGTGCACCCCTCCCCACGATTATCTCATATTCAATATCTTGGGCTTCTCAGGTTCCACCCTCCGCCCTCCCCCGCCCGCCAGACATAACACCCATCTTGCAATCCTTCAGAAGTCCCCTCTCTCCACACCTGTTCTTCCCTGTCCCCCAGAGCATCCCTTGGGCCCTCCTCCAAGACTCTCTCACCTCTACTCAGAGAAAAGCGTCTGGCTTTCCGGGCCCAGGGACCCAGTTATCTGAAAAATGTCCCGTACCCCCTCAATCCAGAAAACTGAGTGAGTTTACGCTGCGCAGTCGCAGTTTTAATTTATCTGAAATTCCCGCGCTTTTCCGTTGCCACAGAAACCTGTCGATGCGGCTGAACGAGAGCCTCTCAGAAAGCGAGATGGAAACACGTTACAGAAGGGCGGGGCAGAAAGAGCAAAGTCCGTTGGGGCTCCCAATTGGTCATCCCTTCTGTCCCTGTGTGACGTAATTAGTAAGAGACGGAAGAGAAGGAATTCTCCCGGAGTTTTCTATTAGGCGCCCGCCCTCTCACCTCTGCGCTTGCATTGGCCGTTTATTACGTCACAGTGATTGCTGAATTAAGGTCGGAATCGCTGAGGCCCGAACTGAGCGCAAGGCGGTGCCTACACTCTCACAAGAAGAGTTCTCGTTCCCTCACCCCCTCCGCCGTAATGGAAATCTCCAGTTTAGGTAAATAAAAGGAGTGTAGGCAAAAAAACTACGATTTCCAGCATGCATTGCGGATCAAAAGACCTTCGCCAGAGTGTTCCTTGGAAAGTGTAGTCTTATGGAGGGGAGCTTCCGCCACTGGAAGCGGGCAAGATTCTCAGGGCAGCCCAGATGATAGATTGAAGAGTTCCACACGCTGATGCACGTCACCAGATATGAGTTGGAATGTTAATGTTTTCGTACGTTGAGGGCGGAGAATAAGCTAAAGAATTTACAAGTCCTAGGGAGACTACAATTCCCATCCACCCTCGCGAGTCTCGGGTAAGTATTCTTTAAGGTCACTGACCTAAGGGAACGCAGTGGGTGTCGAACTTACCTGGGAAGGGGACGCAGGTTCCAGCCCAAGGCTGCGCACTCGTAGTTCCGCCCCTCGGCCCCAGTATTTGTTATTGTTTTGCAGTTCTGGCTGCTCTTGTCCCGCCCCCGCAGGAGCATCCTTAACCAATCAATAGGGTGGTAATTTTGAGGGACAAGTAGTAAAAGCCAATCACCTTGTCGGAAACTAAGAAACTGGGGACTAGGCCCGGTCTCTATCCGCCATGTTAGATTTACCCCGCAGGGGTAGCAGTAGAGCTGGCAGCGAACGGTCCCTGCACTGGCTCAGGCGGCGCCCCCCGGGGGCGGAAAGCTGGTAAGGAAGCCTCTGCGATTACCTAGGGGTGGGGTCAGGTCGCACTGAGAGGGTTTGGGGAAGTTGAAAGGAGTCCTTGATAGAAGAGGGGCGACTTTTTCCCGTGTCTGCGGGCAGCCGTTCTTTTCAGTGACCGGATGGGAGAGCCGTACTTGTTTTGAGGGGCTGAGGGGGCGGATACCACCGGTGGGATGGAGGGTTCACGGCTCAGAACGGCAGGCTTTTGCTAATGGAAGGCAGAGATTCACCGGCACGAAGAGGGCCTAGGCAAAGAAAACGAGAGAGTCCTTAGAGGGTGGTGACACTCTTTGGGACATGGAATGCTAGGAAACAATAACTGGAAGACTAAGATGAAGTCTGCAAGGAGGGAAAAAAATGACCACACAGGCTCCTCACAGCATCCCCCTTTTCTTTTTAAGAACCTCATGAAATAGGCTTCTTGGTCAGGGACCTCTGGTATTAAAAAGGTACCGTTTTTCTATTTTGTCAAACACCCAGCTTTCCAGGTCACACATTTTAACGTCCCGGATATCTTCTGCAAGCCTCTGGTGGAGACAGTAATCAAAGCTCAGGTTCCCAGGCCTGCTGCATTAAAGAGGTTTTTGGTATCCTGAAAAAAAACTGACGTAGAGGAAAAGCTGACTTGTGCCAAGCGAAGGTGAGTCAGTAGCATGAAGTTACAATAACGCTATTTAATAAAAGCCGAAGGCCTAGTCGCCAGCTTCATGATTTTGTTGTCTTTAAACCTACAAGGGCAGATGGGCCTAACTATAGCTTTGGTGCTCCGCAAGACCAAGATATGTGCTCTTGCTATAAGAATTTTCACGTATAAGCCAAGTGGCAGTTCTTTGTGAAGACCTGGATGTGATCCAGCTAAACTAGCCTCCCCCACTTCCTGTTTTCTCATCAGCCGACTAACTGGATGAGCTCCAAAGTATCTAAACTAATTTCCAATTGTGCAATTTGAGGAAAGGGGAGGAAGATTAGTTTTCTCTGGATTCGGAAAAGTGTGGAAGTGTGTCCCTCGGAAGTTGAAAAGTGAGACCGTTTCAAGAGTCCCCGCTTTTGGCAGACTGAATCAGTCTCTTCATTTCCCTGAATTTTTTGCCGAAGATTCTGGGGGGTTGACAGGGAATTCTTTCCAAGTTTCAAGGACCTCCAAAACTGCATTCCATATCGCTAAATGTCGGCAGGATTTCTAGAAACTGGTATTAATATTAATACTTTACTTTGGTGTTGAATTTGACTCTAGGTGGAGACAAAGAATGACAAAAAATTGGAGGATAATTATTTTTGTAGTAAAAAAAAATTTTTGATCCTCAGACCTTCAAGGTCTTTTTTAATGACCTTGTATTGTTTCACAGGACAATGCATTATGCTATGGAAAACTGAACTACTTTAGGTTCTAAAGACTGTTTGTTGTAATTTTTACATTTGAGTAACATTTTCAAACAACTTGCACCCACGCTTCTATTTGATCCTTATGATAACATTGTGAGGTTGTCAAAACACAGATATTAAACCTATTTTACAGATTAAGGAATTGAAGCTCAGAGTTTAAATGATTTCCTCGCAGTTATATGGCTAATCATGTGCTGGAGTAATGTGTCTGGAACGCAATTCTTTTCAACCCTTTTGCCCCCTCCCTCATTACACTGTAAATAAACTTCTCGGACTTAATCTTACTCATCTGTCTCCTATTCCTGAATCAAAATCTGGCTTTTTATAGATGTTTAATAAAGGTACAGCAGTGAATGTGTTCAAAAGCTGGCATTTTTCATTACAGCTTATGTTTAGCTTTAAACAAACTTTTTTCATGCAGTCAAAAACAAGTCAACCTAACAACTATAAGTAAACAAAATCCTTAAGTAAAAACAGGCCCTGGTTCGGTAGCTTAGTTAGTTAAAGCACGTTATCCCAGTATGCCAAGTTTGCAGGTTTGATCCCTGATCAGGTACGTAGAAGAATCAACCAATGAATGTATAAGTAGAAAAGTAAATCAATATTTCTCTCTCTTCCCCTTTTCTCTCTCTAAAATCAATCAATAAATTTTTTTTAATTATTAAAAATAACCCACCAGAATAAACATTCCCTTAAGGAATTGTTAACTTCTTAGACATGATAATGGTATTGTGGTTATGTGTTTAAAAATTCTTATCTTTTAGCCTTGGGTGGTGTGGCTCAGTGGATTGAGCGCTGGCCTTGCAAACCAAAGGGTTACCTGTTCAATTCCCAGTCAGGGCACATGGCTGCATAGCAGACCAGGTCCCCAGTTGGGGGTGTGCAAGAGACAACCACACATTGATGATTCTCTGACTTTCTTTCTCCCTCCCTTCCCTTTTCCCTAAAAATAAATAAATAAAATCTTTTTAAAAAATATTCTTATCTTTTAGAAGTACATGCTTAATTATTTTATGGGTGAAATGATGCGCGTCTGTCAAAATAATCCAGTAGGAAAAGAGTATTGCTGTGAAACAATTAGTCCTCAGTTGAAGTTAATTATGGAAGATAACTGTTGTGCCCATAGGGGTTCATGACATATATTTCATTATACATATATATACACACACATATATATGTAGAGAGAGAGAAAAACATTGATGTAAGGGATAAACATTGATTTTTTGCCTCCTATATGATCCCCAGTTGGGGATCGAACCCACAACCTTCTGTTGTATGGGATGATGCTCCAACCAGCTGAGCTACCTAGCCAGGGCTGATTATATATTACTGGTAATCTCTTCTTTTTTATAGGGTTAAGCATTCCCATAATAACTTTTTAGAAAATTAGATTGCACCCTGTCCGGGGGTGCCCTGGTCAGGGCACATACAAGAGTCAACAGTGAATGCATGAGTAAGTGGAACAACAAATCAATTTTTTCTCTAAAGTCAATAAATGTTTTTAATTTTTATGTTAGATTGCTGTGATTTTGTTAAAGCATTTGTTGACTGCAATCAATCCACATTAGGGGGATTGGGGGTAAGTGCAGGAGTGGTAACCTTAGATTAATGTAGTTAGGTGTTCATTACACCCCCACTTTTATGTATGTTTGAAATTCTTCATAAAAAAAAAAAAAGATTACAAAAAACATCTACTTGGATGAAGAGGGTTAAACGCTACCCTGGTGTAGTTTCTTGGCTAATGTTTTGGCCTCTTAAGTTGTTAAAATCGATCTAAAAGAGAACCTGGGTTGCTAAATTTAAGAAAAGACTGCTTTTCCAAGAATTGTAGAATGTTATTTTCAAGTTATTACATAAATTCCCTAATGATAGAGACGTAATCCAACTTTTTTATCTTGATATCCTGCTATTAGAAGATGGTAGATATCTGTTTAGTTAACTAATTATTATAAAGTTTCAGAAAGTTCTAAAGGATTTTACAAGTATTAGATGATTTCTGTGGGTATGGCCAAAACTTACATTCTCTTAGCAAACATTTACACTTGAGATTTGTTTTAAACCTGCGACTAGATTGTAAGTGGCAGGAGAGCAGACATTGTCTTCTTATTCACTGCTATGTCCTCCTAGCTTAGTCTAGCCTATATTAAATCCTCATAAGAATTTGTCAAATATGTATTTATGCAGATTACACTCTTTCTAATGTGTTTCTCTCTTGCTCTTCCTCTCAACTCTAGCCCCACAGCATGGACCCACAGGTTACTCTAAATGTGACTTTTAAAAATGAAACTCAAAGTTTTTTGGTTTCTGATCCAGAAAATACAACTTGGGCTGATGTCGAAGCTATGGTAAGTGTTAACTTTTCTTTTTTTAAGGTTTTATTTATTTTTAGACAGAGGAGAAGGGAGGGGAAAAAGAGAGGGAGAGAAACACCAATGTATGAGAGGAAAAACGGGGATCAGTTGACTGTTGCACACCTACAACCCAGGTCTGTGTGCCCCGATGGTACTCGAACTGGCGACCTTTCAGTTTTGGGGACAGTGTCCAGCTCAGTGAGCTACACCAGTCAGGGCTGTGTTAACTTTGCTTTGTTTCTCCATCCTTTAAGCATAGATTTTGTTCCCCCCTAAAGGTAACTATTTTTAGCAGTGTTGTTTCATAGCTGCAAAGTCTGTTATAATGATCATTTCTGAGCCTTTTGGAAAATTATTTTTAACAAGGGTTCAGTATTCACATAGGAGATGTGTCCCCCAGTAAAGGGAACAAATAAATACATTTCTTTTGAAGAATTTAGAAAGGAATGGTAAAGCTATTTCTTAAGTGAGATAAAACATACAAAACCTATTAATTTTAGAAGCAGTCTGAGGAATGAATTGGTATGGGCCCCACCCTAACCAGACCCCAGAGGAATGTTCTCTTGCCTGAGAGCAAACATGTTAATGTGGTTTGTGAACCATTTAAGATAAAACTTATGTTTTGCAGGCACTGATTGCTTGCTTTTATTGCTAGGTCACAGGTTATTTCAAAGTTGAGCAGAAAAAACTCCTACTGGTGCTTAGACAGAAGCTCTTTTTTGTTTGTTTGTTTGGGGTTTGTTTTTTTTTTTGGTTTTGTGTTTTTGGGTTTTTTTGGTTAATGCTTTGCTTCTTGGTTTACCCTTTGTACTCTTGTTTGATTTGCAGTAGTGAATGTTTTACTTTCTGTATAACTGTTTATCTAACAAAATCCTTTAGTAAAACCTGCTTTTACCTTGTTTTAAAAACCTTTTAACTGGTTATGTTTTACAGCAACTAAAAAAAAAGAAAGAAATCATGAAGAGACCATAAATTGTGGTCTAATCTAGTCCTCTGTCCTGCACCAAATAACTTCTTTAACTGTCCTAGACAGATGGTTATCTAGAAAGTTGGACCTTGTTTGTTAAATGATCTGAAAATCAGTTACTTTTTTTCCTAGTAGTTAAATTAGCTGAAAGCTTGCCTTTTTTCTTTATTGTAAATTGTTAAATTATAAAAGTGTAATATGTGCCCATGTTATAAATATAAGTGAAACAATCTAAAAAAGTTAAAATCCCTCCATTGCTCCTTCCTGCATCCACTGTTCCCAGCTCTTTGGGGTAATCAATGTTAACATCTTTATATGTACTTAACCACATTTCCAATGTTCATACAAATATCATATTAGGATCATATTATAAACATTATAGTATGCAGCTTGCTTTTTTTACCCAACAATATATTATGAACATACTTTTCAATGAATAGATAAGAATCCAAGCTCATTTTCTTTTAAAAGCATAGATTGTCCACAGTATAATTGGTATTCTATTATAATTTAACCATCCCTTATTGAAAGATTATTTATAGTTTTTTTTAATTGACATATTAGTTTCAGGTGTATAACATAATGATTCTATATACATACCGCAGTAAATCTAGTTAACATCCATCACCACACATAGTTACAGTTTTTTCAACTGGAAGTTTCTATTTTTTGACCACCTTCCCCGCCCCCCTCCCCCGCCACCTCTAGCAATCACAATGTATTTTCTGTGTGTCTGACTTCCTTTGTTTCATTTATTTTTAATGTTCCACATGTAAATGAAATCATACATTGTCTTTCTCTCTCTGACTTACTTCACTTAGCATAATGCCCTCAAGGTCAAAAGATTTTGGGGTTTTTAAAAAAAATTTATTTTTAAGAAAGGAGAAGGGAGGGAGAAAGAGGGAAACGTCAATGTGTGGTTGCCTCTCGAGCACCCCCTACTGGGGACCTGGCCCACAACCCAGGCATGTGCCCCAGGCATGAGAATTGAACCAGCAACCCTTTGGTTTACGGGCAGGTGCTCAATCCACTGAGCCACACCAGCCAGGGCAATGGTTTTTTGTTTTGTTTCGTTTTAACCACTATAAAATAAACTACAAGGGATAGTTCTTTGTGTATAATTTATGCACTGTTCTGTAGGATGAAGTTTCCCAAAGTGGGATTAATGAGTCACAAGACATGTGATTTTAATACCTAATGAATATTGCCAGATACTCTGCAAAACAGTTTTGGCATGTCACAGAAATATATTATACTAACCTAAATTTTTGACAACATTGAATGTTATGGCTTTTTTTGTTTGGTTTTTTTTTTGGTCATTCTGTTGAGATGACATTTCATTGCCTTAATTTGCATTTGTTTTGACTACTGTTACAGTTTAACACCTTTTCATGTATGTTAGGCATATCTGATTTCTTTTTCTATGAAATTTCTATGCATTTTTGCCCACTCTGCCTGGGTTGTTAATCTTACAATTAGCAGTTTTGCTGATGCTTTTTGTATTGCATATATTAACCTTTTGTCTGTTGAGTTGCAAATATTTTTCCCAGTCCGTTGTTTGTCTTTTGACTTTGTTTATGGTGTTGTTTTTAACCGTATGAAATGTTTACTTTTTATGCCTGTCCTGTCTTTTATGACATACAGGTTTCTGTTACAAACCAGCTTTTTGATATCTTGATCACAGAGTGTGTACATTTCATTTGCAGGTAAAAGTTTCATTTGATCTGAACACTATTCAGATAAAATACCTGGATGAGGAAAATGAAGAGGTAAAGTATATTATGGTACCCATTGCCAGGTACCCAGAAAGGGATCTTATTTCTCAGGACTGATTAGGGACTCAGAAAGTTCAGAATGCTGTTTATCTCATTTGTTTAGTGGTTTAAATGTATTTGATAGTTGAATGTTCTAAACTGACTTGTGATGTTTGAGATGGAGTTGAGAAAAGGGGAAGCAACATGGAAGAAGAAAATTTGAGACACAGCTTTTAAACTATACAGTGACCTTAAGTTTAAATATAACACAAGTTGCCATTTAGTTTATAATAAAAATGATAATGGCCAGTGGTTACATTGTGTCAGTCGAAAACCAATACTATGTTTTAGGTACTTTATTGTCATTGCTATTTACCCATGAGGAAACTGATGCTCAGAGAGGTTAAGTAAGTGCCCAAAGGCACAAAAGCTTGGAAGCACAGTAGAGTAGGGGTTCATTCCATACCCTCAGGTTCCAGAGCCCAGGCTCCTAATTACTATATTATGCTGCTGCCTAGTGTACCTGAAATAAAAAGAGGATAAAGTAGTTAAGCAGTAACGTTTCTTAATTAGTAGTTACAAGTAGTTCATGGTACTGGAAAAGCTAAACCCCTGACCTGAGATTTTGCACGTATCCTGTGAGGCTGGTCCTAGAAACCTCCTCTGAGAGGTTTATAATCCACTTTTGCTTTTTTTTCTTTTGCAGGTATCCATCAATAGTCAAGGTGAGTTAGAAGCCTTCATCAGTTCATGGGCGTATGCATTTCCATATACACTCAATCTTGCAGTATTCATTTTAGAGTAGAATTGAGTATACAATAAGTTGACATTGTAGTCACTCATCCATGGGCATTAAGTTGCATAGCAGATTATTATTTTATAGCAATTTTTTGTATATCGGTAGGTGCCTTTCATTGGAGCCTAAGTACAGCTTCCGTGGGAGGTTCTCTTATATTTAAGATGCTAATTTTCTGAAAATATGCCTCCGGGTTCAACACATATAATTTGTTCTCCTGGTGTTGCGTTTTTCTCTGACTTGGTATATATGTTAATGTCAATTGATAAACAAATGGTATTCCAGGAGCTTATTTATAAGATGATTGTTCAGAGGTTAGACTGCATTTTCCCACAAGAACAGTGTCACAGTTGAAGGTTAGGTTCCCAGGCTAGCCTCCAAAGGCTTATTTTAACCAGCCGAAATAATACTAACACTATTCACGAACTTCCCTGAGTCCTGAGCTTTACTAATCCTAGTGTGAGGGAGCTGGGTAGAGGTTTCATAACTGGGAACCTTCAGTAGCAAAGAGAGAGGGATTTAAACGGGAGAACTAACCTGCAGGGAGCTTCTGTTGCAAGGTGGTAAGAAAGGGGATTTGTCAGCAAAAACATAGTAGCTGTTCATATGTAAGGAATGTAATCTAAGAATTCTTAAAAGTAAGGATTGGCTATACTTAATAGAACCTTTTGGGCTGGTGAAGAAATATCACAGTGTGTGTTTTTTGTCCTTTCAGGAGAGTATGAAGAAGCACTTAAGGTAATGGTTTTTGCATCTTATTTTCAAGTAATTTTTAAAATATTTATGACGAAAACTTGAACCTGAATTCCATTAGCCATGAGGAGAAACTAATAAATACAAACAGAGAAAAACCTATTTTTAGGGAAACTGTAGTGAGTACAGCATACAACTCAGCAAAAGCCAGCTCCTAACACAAAGGCTTTTTTCAGTTATTCTGTCTCATTTCTGGTCTCGGTGGCAGCATTTAAAAATACAATGAACTCTCTGGAATGGTGCTTTCTGGTTGACATTTTTAATCTTCCTTCACTTTGATCCCCATATAGAATGTTGCAGTATAATGTGGGAGAATTTAAGGTATAAAGCATCCAGTTACAAACAATCTCTTGTTTGTCAGTGATGAATTAGAGCATTCCTCAAGGTCACTTCTTCAAGGTGTGCCAGCTGTTCTTTCATTACCGCCTTTGTATTTAAGGTTTTTCTTTAAAGTTTGAATGTCCTTATGAACTTCTAGTCCAAGAGTAAGCTATTTTCCATAATCACTTTTGGTCTAGGGAGAGAAAGGCAAGATTTTTCATTGGGAGTTGGAGTTACCCTTTTTGGTCTCTGGTCAAAATTGCTGTTGTGAGTGCCTCTTGTTTCAGTAGTTTAGCCAGTGTCCTCTCGATTTTCACTCAGAAATCTTATTTACCAGCTGATCTCTTGGTTTCGGGTATTCAGACCCTTCCCTAGATTCTCATAGTCAAGATACCCATTTCTGTTAATAATTTCTCATGCTTCATAATTTTCCCTATGCCCCAATTTCATGTGGTCTTCCTATTTCCTCTGCTTTTAAGCTATTCCAGCATGCTGTTCCCCCTATATACTCCATCAATTTTCCACAACTTTTCCTGGTTTTCTTTTTTGCTATTATCAGAAGCTACAGTATTTTCATTTTAAAAGTCTTCTTGAGATCTTCAAAACTAATACCTTTCCCACAATCACTGTTAGTTTACCTTGCCAGTCAGAAATCTTGGACCCCAGGAGTCTAGAGTTTATAAAAGGCTGTCTTTTTTCAGGAATCTAGACTTTATATATAATAGTACTATTTAATACTTAAGGTCCCATGTTTATTTTTGAACACTTTTCCTTGAGCAATTTTTTTTCTACAAGCTTTTCCACACATTTTACTAAACGTTTCTTGAATTATGGTCTAAAATAGGGTTTGACAAACTATACTTAGTGGGCTGGCCATATATTTTTATAAATAAAGTTTTATTGGAACACAGCCAGGTTCATTACTTTTATATTGTCTGTGGCAGCACTTACAGCAGAGTTGTGATAGGAACTGGCCTGTATGCCTCAAATATTTATTATGTAGTCCTTTAAAAAGTTTGCTTACCCCTGATTTAATTTTTATTGGCCATGGAATGGTGTTTTAAAGTGAAATTTAAGAAGACTAACGTAAAATATTGAAGAATAGCTCTTGTCACTGGGTGACAAGTTGGGGGAGCTAAAACCCCCATGGACTTCTAATTTTTTGGACACTGGAGTACCTTTATTGAACCTCAAATACTCCTTGAAGTACAGTGTTCAAAATAGGATTTTTAAGACGTCCTTCAAAAAGGAGTGACCACTTAAACATGGATTCCAAAATACTATTCTTAGTGGGAAAATAAACTCTCAACTATAGGACATAACTTGAAGTTTCTTGGGTTCTGGTATTCTGGTATTGACTTTTTTGAAAAGCTGAGATTGAAATCCACAAAGGAAGACCTACATAAAAACCAATTAAGCAGAAAAGTAGTAACCCAGTTAATAAAAACATCTCACCTAATAAAGTGCTGCACCGAAAACCTACTTTTGTGTTCTTAATTACAAAACCATTCCTAGTTAACATTCTTGGCAAAGAAACAGCAGGCTGACATGGTATATGTCACTTTATGTAATTAAACATTTCCCAGCATATTTTACCACACCTCTTCTGTTTGAGTGTCATTTTTGTTAATCTTTAAATTTTTCAGTTATAGTTGACATACGTTATTAGTTTCAGGTGTATACCCCAGTGATTAGACATTATATAACTTACTAAGTGATCATCCTGATAAATCTGGCACCATCTGACACCATTATTGACTATGTTCCTTATGCTCTTGTTTACATCCCCATGTACAACGGATTTGTACTTCTTAATCCCTTTACCTTTTCCACCCATCTCCCAAACCCCGCTGCCATCTGGCAACCATCAAAATGTTCTCTCTGTCTACGTTCTGTTTGTTTATTTTGTTTTTTAGATTAAATTATTGATAATGTATTTATTGCCATTTTATTGTTTATATTTTTGCCCATTTTATCTCCTTGTTCTTAAAGAAGACTCTAACATTTCATATAATACCGATTTGGCAATGAACTCTCTAGCTTTTACTTGTCAGAGAAGCTCTTTATCTGTCCTTCGATTCTTTTTTTTTTCCCCCTTGTCAAGCAAATGAATTTATTCAGGAATAACAAAGAATTGCAGTTCTGGACAAAGGGTCTAATGGTGAACCCCACCCAAATCCAGAGGACAAAAGAAGGGACTATTTTCAGGGGTTTTTTTTTAAATAGATTATAGAGAGGGAGAGTGAGGGAAGGGAAAAGGGAGAAGGAGAGTAAAAGAGAAAGAGAAACATCAATTTCTTGTTCCAGTTATTTTTGCATTCATTGGTTGATACTTGTCTGTTCTCTGATGGGGGAACTGGGATCAAACCAGCAACCTTGGTGTATGGGGAAGACACTCCAACCAACAAGATACTGGCCAGGGCAGGACTGTTCTTTTGAATGGGGGCTGTTGTAAACAAAGAATTAATTGGAGGAAACTGGGAGTTGGAAGTGCCACGGCTTTTCATTGGCTGAGCTATAACAGTATCATTGGTCAAGTAGTTGCTGCACAGGAAAAGATCTTCCTTCCTGCTGGAGTAGCAGAGTAGAAAAGCTGCTTCGTTTTTCTTTCTTTCTTGTCTTGGCCATCTTTGGGAATGTTTCATGTGTCTGGAATCTCTCTGCATCCACGCAGGGCTTCAAATATTAACTCATTATTTTTCAAAACTCACATTGTTCTTCAATTCTAAATTTTAACTTTGCTGGATAGGGTAATCTTGGTTGAGTTCCTTGCTTTTCATCACTTTGAATATTTCTTGCCAGTCTCTTCTGACCTGCAAGGTTTCTGTTGAGAAACCAGCTGGCAGTCTTATGGGAACTCTCTTGTAGGTAATTAACTGCTTTTCTCTTGGTGCCTTTTATTTTTAAATCCTCACCTGAGGACTTGGTTATTGATCTAGAGAATGGGGAGGGCAAGAGAAGGAGATGAATAGCAATGTGAGAGAGAAACATCAATTGGTTGCCTTCTCGTATGTTCCCCAACCAGGGACTGAACCTACAACCTGGGCATGTGCCCTGACCAGGAGAAGAACCCACGAACCCACAAACCCACAACCCCTTGGTTTATGGGACATCGTTTAACCAACTGAGCCACACGGGCAAGGGCTCTTGCTGCTTTTAATATTCTGTTTGTCTTTAACCCTTTGCATTTTATTATTTTTTAAGATTTTATTTTTATTTTTTTAAAGCTTTTTAAAAATTTATATTTAGACGAGAAGGGACGGAGAAAGAAAGGGAGAGAAACATCAATGTGTGGTTTCCTCTTGCGCGCTCCCAACTGGGGACCTAGCCCACAACCCAGGCATACGCCCTGACTGGGAATCAAACCAGCAACCCCTTGGTTCACAAGCTGGCGCTTAATCAACTGAGCCACACCAGCCAGCTCTATTTATTTATTTTTTAGAGAGAGGGGAAGGAAGGGAGAGAAACGGCCAGTGTATGGTTGCTTCTCACACACCCCCTACTGGGGACCTGGCCCACCACCTAGGCATGTGCCCTGACTGGGAGTTGAACCTGCAACCCTTTGGTTCGCAAGCTGGCACTCAATCCACTGAGCCATACCAGCCCAGGCTTTTGCATTTTAATTATGTGTCTTGGTGTGGGCCTCTTTGGGTTCTTCTTATTTGGGACTCTTTGTGCTTCCTGGACTTGTATGCCTATTTCCTTCATCAGATTATGGAAGTTTTCTGTCATTTTTTCAAATAGATTTTCATTTTCTTGCACTCTCGCTTCTTCTGACACCCCTATGATGCAAATGTTGGTATGCCTGAATTTGTCCCAGAGGCTCCTTACACTGTGCTGATTTTTTTTTTTTTTTTGGATTCTTTTTTCTTTTTGCTGTTCTGATTGGGTGTTTGTGTTTTTGTTTTTGCTCGCTTATTTCTGAAATCTCTGATTTGATCCTCACCTTCATCTTCTCCACTCTTGATCCCTTATAATGTGTTCTTCATTTCAGTTAATATGTTCTTCTAGAGTTTTGTTCTGTTCTTTCATTTGGGATGTGTTTGTCTCCTCATTTTGGCAGCTTCCTTGTGTTTGTTTCTATGAATTAGGCAGAGCAGCTACATCTCTCAGGCTTAGTAGAGTGGCCTAAGGTAGTAGGTGTTCTGTAGGGTCCAGCGGCACAGCCTCCCTCCCCAAGCAGGGTACTAGAGATGTTCTCCCCTCCCCGTGAAGGCTGTGTGTACCCCCCTCTTGTAGTTGAGCCTTGCTTGCTGTTAGCATGTCAATGGGAGGGATTTACCCCCAGGCCAATCACCTGCAAAGATTGGCTGCAACCACCTACCTGTGACGCAGTGGAGGATCAGTTATGCAGGAGCCCACCCCATAGAGCAGGACTGACTTCAGCAGGACTCTGGGGTCTGCTGAGATCGCCCCTTGAGTTTGTCGCTTGTGGAGGTGGGTGGTGGTGCTTCAGTGTGCTCTAAAGCTGTCCACTGTGTGCACTGGCTCTGGGGTCTCCCAGGAGGTGCAGGCCAAGGTCAGCCACCCCCAGAGCCACCCGGCGTGAACTACAAAGCAATCTTCAGATGGCTGCTACTTGTGCCAGGCTTAAAGGTATCCAAGCTGTGAACTGAGTTCGGCTGCTGTTAGTGCCCAGCCTGGGGTCGGTTCGTGAAAAGTATGGGGCTCACTGACACCAGCTGCAGCTTGTTGAAGAGATTTTAGGAAGACCTGAAGCTTGAGCCAAGACATGCCATTCGTATGTCTAGATGGGCCCAAAAGTTGGGTGGGGCAGGGCAAACAGTGTGAGCCAAATTGTTGGAGTCTGAGATATGACACCTGCCTGCCAGCTCTCTGGGGAGAGGGCTCATCAAAGGAATAACGGCCCCTGCCAGCACTGCTGTCTGGGAGAAACCTGCCTGTCCCCACCAGCTGTTGCCCTCACCCTAAACTATTTAGTTCCTCCTCTTATGTCTCTGGTGCCTTTCAAACTGCTGCCCTAGTGCTGGAGCTCAAAGGGAGTGAGTTAAGTAAGTCCATGTGCTGGCCCTTTAAGAGGAACTACCTGGGACTCCAGAAGCCCTATGTGTCATTTAGCCACAATCTCCACTGGTTTTTACAGCCAGAATTTATGGGGACTTCTCTTCCTGGTTCTGGAACCCTGGGCTGGGGGGCCTGGTGTGGGCCTGGGACCCTTTGCCTTCTCAGTGGGGACCTCTGCTGCTGAGATACCATTCCCAATTTTTATCTCCCACACGTGGGTCGGAGACCAGCCTGTTTTATGTCTTCACCTCTCCTCTCAGTCTCATTGTGGCATCCTTTTCTTTTTCTTTCCTTTTTTTCTTTTTTTTAAGATTTTTATTTATTTTTAGAGAATGGGGAAGGAAAGGAGAAACAGAGGGTGAGAAATACCAGTGTGAGAGAAAAACATTGATTGGTTGTTTCTTGTATGCACCCCAACTAGGGATCAAACCCACTCCCCAGGCAGGTGCCCTGACTGGGAATCAAAGCAGTAACCTTTCACTTTGCAGGGCAACACCCACCAGCTGAGTCATGCTGGTCAGGGCTGGCTGCTTTTTTAATTCCCCAGATTTCAGGCAGTTCCAAATGATGGTGGTTCTGTAGTTTAGTTGTAATTTTGATGTGGTTGTGGGAGTAGGTAAGTATTCCATTTACCTACTCCACCATCCTGACCAGAGGTCCTGTTTAAGTGTCTTTGAATTTTCCTTTGGGAAAGGAGAATCACACAGTTGTTTTTATTTCATAACATATGCTCTCAGATGGCAGTTAAGCAGGGAAACCAACTGCAGATGCAAGTCTATGAAGGCCACCGTGTTGTTGATGAAGCTCCAACCCCAGTTGTAGCAGAGAAACAAGCAGGTGCCAGGGCAGGGAAGAAGCCACTTGCACATTATTCATCACTGGTGAGAGTTTTGGGATCGGACATGAAGACCCCAGAGGACCCTGCAGCACAGGTATGTCTCTACAGTCTTTTTACTTTTTTTTTTTTTTAAGATTTTATTTTTTATTTTTAAAGAGAAGGGAAGGGAGGAAGAGAGGGAGAGAAACATCAAACGGTTGCCTCAAACCCCCTACCGGAGAACCTAACCCACGACCCAGGCTTGTGTTCTGACCAGTCAAACCTTTCGCTTTGCAGAATGTCACCCAGCCAACTAAGCCACACCAGTCAGGGCACTGCAGTTTTTTCACCTTAGTGTTTCATTCTCTCTAGTTTAAGATTTGAGCTCTCCAGAAAGATTGGAAGTTAGGATGACCATCTCGGGCTGACTTCTTTTTTCTTTTAATCCTCACCCGAGGGTTTGTTTATTGATTTCCAAAGAGAGAAACATTGATGTGAGAGAGAAACACTGATCATTTGCCTCTCGCACTCGCGCCCAACTGGGCATCAAACCCGCAGCCTGGGTCTGTGCTCTGACCAGGAATCAAACCGTCAACCTTTTGGTGTACAGGACAATACTCCAACCGAGCCACCTGGCCAGGGCTCTGTCTGACTTTTTGAAATTGGTAACAATGGTAACTTCTGCAGTGGGGTGGCAAACTCCTTCATATTGTCTCTCTCTCTTTTTTTTTTAAACCACGTTTTATTTGACAACAACAACAAAAACCCTCATAATAATACATTTCAGGAAAATTGTTTTAAATACAAATAAAAGATAACTTCCAAGATTTTGGATTGTGTTTTCTTGCGGCAGTTTCCACTTGCTCCACGTGATGCAGACCAGCCTCAAGACAAGCCCCCAGACTGGTTCACAAGCTACCTGGAGACAGTAAGTGTTCCCTATGACTTGGGGTTTAGCAGCAATGTGTGGGATGTGGAAGAAATAGAAAGCCAAACCCAGATGGCTCCTGCCTCTGGTAGCGAATAATTTCCAGTCTAGAGTAGTTCCAGTAAAGAAAGCTCTCAACTTTTGCAATCATGTACCGGAAAAAGAATGCATTTAATTTTTAATTCTAAGGATGTAATGGAGAGGGACAAATCTCTATGCTTGAGAAGGAAGAAGTTGGAAATTTACTCAACAAAAGGATTTCTTGATATTTTCTTGAACTATTTTAGCTGTGGGAGAAATATACCTTCTTTTGCTATGTTTCTGTCCATTCATTCAGTAGATACTAGCAGTTTATTATGTTCTTACATTATACCACAGATGGCGAGGTCTCAGATCTATTTGGTATCTTCATGCCTTTTCTCAGGATTGGAACTGAGGGATTTTCCTACCCCCTGCTCCCAATCTTCTGTTCTGTGTTCTAGTTCAGAGAGCAGGTGGTTAAAGAAACTGTTGAGAAGCTTGAACAGAAATTACATGAGAAGCTTGTCCTCCAGAACCCATCCTTGGGTTCCTGTCCCTCAGAGGTCTCAATGCCTATTTCAGAGGAAACACTGTTTTTGCCAGAAAACCAGTTCAACTGGCATATTTCTTGCAACAGCTGCCAAAGGAGGATCTTTGGTGTGCGCTACCAGTGCAGGTAAGCAGTAATTTTGGGAATGAATAGCTATTAGTAGACCACAGAGCAGGCCTTCCTGGCATTATGGGTAGGTAACGGGAAATTGCATGTACTCTTATCTGTGAGCATCAGATATAGCAGGTCTGGATTGGAGACAAGCTATTCTTCACCCACAAGAAAAAATAACTGTCCAGACCAGCATGGCTTAGTTGGTTGGAACATCGTCCCATTACCAAAAGGTCGCCAGTTCAATTCCTGGTCAGGGCACATGCCTGGGTTGCGGGCATGATCCCCGGTTGGGACATGTGCAGGAGGCAGCCAGTCGATGTTTCTTTGTCACATCGATGGTTTTTTCTCTCTCCCTCTTCCCCTTTCTCCCAAATGAGAATAAAATAAACTTTAAAAAGGAAAGGAAGAGTAACTATTTGAATAACTATTCAGGCTGTTGGGTTCAGATACACTTTTGAATTAACAGCCTCAGATAAAATTATGTTCCCCAAAACAAAATTAGGTCACCAAAAATTGTCTGCCTGTTCTAAATACTTTCATACCTTGTTTCCTCTCATAGATTGTCCTTTGACATAGATATAGGTTAAATGTTACTGTACTCATTTTATTAATGAAGAAGATTGAGACATGGCATGTTTGAGTGGCCTAGCTGGTAATAGAGCAAATATGGAAATCTTGTCTCATATTTCCCTACCTCAGGTACTTCCCACTGAGCCATTTCTTCTCCCCATAGCCTATGCCCATCTTACAATATCTGTGAAGATTGTGAATCGGGTCCATATGCCCATGACTCCAACCATGTCCTGCTGAAGTTGCGGAGACCTGTTGTGGGTTCCTCTGAACCATTCTCTCACTCAAGGTTCTCTACTCCTCGTCTTCCTGCTGCCCTGGAACAGGCCAGGTGAACCAAGTATACATAGGGTGCATGTTCTCTGTCTGGCCCTCTTGGTTCTAGTGACAGGCTGTGAATCACAAAACTACAAATAGTCTACTTATTTGCTGCCCGTTTCTAGTTGATGTGCAATGATTGGGACAGTTATCCAAAGCTAATGAAATGAGAACTGTAGAAAGAGGTTAAGAAACTGAACTGTATACCTGAAACCTATATAATTTTACTGACCAATGTCAACTGTTTCTTAATTTTCTTTGTCACATCGATGGTTTTTTCTCTCTCCCTCTTCCCCTTTCTCCCAAATGAGAATAAAATAAACTTTAAAAAGGAAAGGAAGAGTAACTATTTCTTTTTGCAATTAAGAAAAAGAAAAACTAAACTAGAAGTGGACTCTGATAGAGACTTCAGGTGGCTCAAAATAGCTTCAGGATTTGTGAGGTTTGTTTTTAATACTGTCCTTTTTTTTTAATCTCACAGGCTCCAGAAACAAGTTGACAAAAACTTTCTTAAAGCAGAAAAGCAAAGGTTGCGAGCTGAGAAGAAACAGCGTAAAGCAGAGGTCAAGGAACTTAAAAAGCAGCTGAAACTCCGCAGGAAGATTCATCTGTGGAATTCCATCCATGGACTCCAGAGCCCCAAGTCTCCCTTGGGCCGACCTGAAAGCCTCCTGCAGTCTAACACCCTCATGTAAGCCCAGGGCCAGGGTGGGTGCCAAGACTTGAGGTCCAGCCCTCGAAGACTGGAACTTCAGCCAACTTCTGTGATATTTACTTGCAGATTAACACCCAAACTCTTAAAATTCCCCATTATCTGATCCTAACATTTATTTTGACACTTCCTTTGTTCCTTCTCCAGAAAGACAGAAACCAATAAGGTTCAGAACTGGTGGTGTGACCTCTTTTCACTGCAGGCAGTCTGGAAGGAGTAAATACTTTAAGCCTGATTCTTTGGTGGTTTTATTTATAGACTCTTTTAGTTATTCTCATCATAGCTTTTTAGCTCAGAAGTCAGATCTGTCTTCTGTTTATAAAAAATGTTATCAGTATTATAAGTCAAATGCATTAGTACATCCTCAGGAGTCAGAGTCTCAGACTACAGTGTTGGTTACTTAGAAGCCATCACACCCAACAGCAGGTGACTGAGTGTCTGAATTTCTGTGCAGGCTCCCTTTGCAGCCCTGTGCCCCAGCCATACCAACCCTTAGTGCAGCATTTGTGGATGAGAATTTGCCTGATGGGACTCACCTTCAGCCAGGAACCAAGTTTATCAAACACTGGAGGATGAAAAATACAGGAAATGTAAAGTGGAGTACAGACACAAAGGTATTTTTCCCACAGAAATGTAAAGATGAAGTGTGATTTGAAGTGACAGAGTGTTCAGCTGACAAGCTTGCTTTTTTTCTCCTGTCACTGTTCATTTCAGCTCAAGTTCATGTGGGGAAACCTAACTATGGCTTCAACAGAAAAGAAGGATGTTTTGGTTCCCTGCCTGAAGGCTGGCCATGTAGGAATTGTGTCTGTGGAGTTCATTGCCCCAGCCTTGGAGGGAACATACACTTCCCATTGGCGTCTTTCTCACAAAGGCCAGCAGTTTGGACCTCGGGTCTGGTGCAGTATCATAGTGGATCCTTTCTGCTCCACAGAGAGCTCTGATAACATTGAAAAGGGCGTGATCAACCCAAGCAAAACTGATGATCTCACCTGCCAGGAAGAGGTGAGCATTGGAAGGGGTGACCAGAACTAAAAGAGCCCACTCACAGTGGTCTGTCTTTCAGAAACCTGGAAAGGCTGGCTTCCCCCCACCCTGCCCCCAACATGCTTGTGTTGGGTCTAGTCCTCGGGGGCTTTGCCTGTGTATCCTTAAGATCTGGTGCTGACGCCCCCACTACTTTGTATCTCTTTGTAGTGATGCATTGCCAACCTCTTTGCTGTGCTAGGGAAGGCAGGGCTGCCTGGCTGGCCTGTGGAACTGCTGGACCGATGGCTTTGCTCCTAAACATTCATCTCTTCTGAGTGTCCCTTGTGTGTGTTCCCTAAATACTAATGAAGCCTTGCCCTAGTTGTTAGTGCAGTTTTTTTTGTTTTTGTTTTTGTTTTTTTAAGGCAATTTCCCTGTATTAGTTGGGCACTTTTTTTAGAGTGTTTACTGTTTAAATTTAGTTACCCAGTGTTAGTGTCCTAGTTTTGACTGTTGTTACTATGGTTGATCTAAGTTGTCATTGTGGGAAGCTAGGTGAAAGGGAGTCATAAGTGAACCCTGTACTATTTTTGCAACTTTTCTATTAAGTCTAAAATTACATCAGAACAAATTTAAAACATGAGATGTCATGTTGTTTGTGAGCTTGCCTTTTTGAGTTCTGTTGAAGGGCCTAAAATTTGTCCCAATGGTTTTTTGTTTTTTTTTTTTTCTGTAGGAAGCTTTTCTTCTGGCTAAAGAAGAAATTCAGCTAGGTGAGGCATCTGAGCAGACAGAAGGGAAAGGAACCTGCATCTCCCAGAAGACAAAAAATGTTGCCAGTGAGAGGGAGCTCTACATCCCATCTGTGGACCTTTTAACTGCCCAGGTGGAAGACTGAACACTTTGAGGGGCAAGGGACAGAAATATTGGGGAAAGAGTTCTTAATTTGTTGAAGAGAAGGTGGTATAATCATAGATGGTGCCCAGAAATTTAGAGATATGCTCACTGTGATTCTATCAGATGCATTGAATGGCAAGGAGATATGTAGAAACAAGTTTTTAAACAATGTTTGTTCTTCCAATTGGGAGCTCAGTCTTGTGCTTCATCAGAACTTCCCTTTAGCTGCCTCTTCATTTCTGCCTCTGGGTTCTCCTTCACGCACACTGCCTTTTCTCTCCCCTGCTATTTGGTTATTTGAACATCTTAATTCCCATTGAACTCCTCTTCTTTGTTTTCACTTGACTAAGGTAACACATGAATTTGAACAAAATTTAGCCTAGGATAATGTTTAGTCTAGGATAATGTGCAGCTCAATGGTCTGCAAGTCCCATGAAGACAAAACATGGCTCCAGTGTGTACCACCTAACATTGCCCATTTTTCCCCCAGGATCTGCTGTCCTTTGAGCTGTTGGATATAAACATTGTCCAAGAGTTGGAGAGAGTGCCCCACAACACTCCTGTGGGTAAGGATGTCACTCAATCCACCTTGTTTATTTTATTAACAGGCGCAAAGGAACCATAGCCAAGACTCTGGGTACTGTTTTATTCTGAGTAAACAGATGGCAAAGAGTACTCACCCGATGTGATGTTAAAACCACACCCATGTGTCCATTTTCCCTTTTTTCCCTGTTGTCTCTCAGGCAACACTTCAGGTTTGTGTAAGGCCTCTCCACCATGGTTCTGTCTTAGACATGGCCTTCTGGACCAAACAGTTGTTTATGATCCTTCCTGCATTAAATCACATGTCTGAGATACTCACCTAATAGTCTGGAGAAATTCTTTGCAACGGGCCTTGAAGCATGCCTGGATCTATTTTAGCCCTCTAGGAAGCAAGAAACCTATGAGCTGCTGCTCCTGGACACTGACTTTTGATGATGTGATGCTTTTTCTTGGTTGATGGTTCTCCTGTCTTCATTCTCCAGATATGACTCCCTGCATGTCTCCTCTGCCACATGACAGTCCTTTAATAGAGAAACCAGGCTTGGGACAGATACAGGAAGAGAGTGAAGGGGCAGGATTTAAAGCACTCTCTGGTAAGGGGTTAAATATTTGTAAAGCATTTGCATCCTCCCCTTCCATACCACACCCTGTTTTTACACAGACTGGTGCCCCCTCCACCCCCCGCAACTAACCTTACCTTAGTGTGTAAATGGGTTTTCTGTAGCGTCTCATTTTTTAAAGTCTCCTCACCTTGACATGGCACAGATAGCAGCTATTCCTTGACATAGTATCAACATGGGTACAGGACTGGTGAAAGGTTCTCAACACTTTAAACGCCAAGCATAGACAAGGTTCATGTCTTCCAGGTTCCACGGCGTCAGTGAAGAGGAGGGCTGACAATACTACTTTAGTAGAGGAGGCAGAAGATGACCTGAGCGGGACCCAGTTTGTATGTGAAACTGTAATCCGATCCCTTACCTTGGATGCTGCCCCAGATCACACCCCACCTTGCAGACAGAAGTCCCTGCAGAGTGAGTGTCTTGAATTCCCACACCAGGAGGGTGGTACCTGAATTGTGATGGTCGGGCCTGAATAGGTAGTAGTCAGGTCTGACCACAAATAGGTGTCTTTACTGAGAGTGGATCTTTCTTACAATTCAGATCATAGTTGTTTCTCTAGATTTTACATACTGTACCTGGCCGTTTTAGATTCAGGAGCAAAGCAGCCACTATAACTCATTTCTGTACTTACTCAGGGGCAGAATAACACCTGCAGGCCACAGGAACAGCAACGAGTTGTGCTGCCTGGCTCTGCAGTAAGGCGTCTTCCTGTAAACTGACAGAGCTTCTTAGTAGAGTCCTCCATGGGCAGCTGGATTGTCTCCTTTCTCCAATGGTGGCAGTCCAGGAAATAGTGGGCAGGAGCAAGAGTACAGAAATAAGTTTCTCCAAGTTAAATTCTGCTATAAGAAATTTCTTTATAACAGAAGTTTCTAGATACCAGATACGTAGAACCAATACCGCATATTTCAAGAACTATACAAAAACTCAAATCCTAGTACATCAAAATAATATGGGAAAATCTCTTGTGTTTATTATAATGAAATTTGACCTATAACTTTAAATATTATTTGTTTCACTTTTGTTTAAAATACATGCATAACAAAAAAGTTCTGGAAGGACTTAAAATGTTCACAGGAGTTATCTCTAGGATTATAGGTACTTTTCTTCCCCTTCATCCATGTTTTGCCAGTTTTCTGCCATGGCTACTCATTAATTTGCAAAGAGGGAGAAAGTAGGCCTAGAGTCCTACAATACTCACCACCTAACACCTTCTCTTTTTATAGCACTGCAAGCTAGCGTGTCAGTTTTGACCCCTGTGTCAGTATATTAAACATTACGTGAAGAGGAAAAGGGATGGGGCCTCCCTGTTTTAAGAATCATAGCACTTCTCAGAAGCCTGGTTGCTTCTGCTTACCGTGTTTTTGTGAGCTTCATTTCTATCCAGCTTTACATAGGCTTCAGACTTAGATATGGCCATGATACGGTTCCAACAGCAACCCTTCCCTCTGAACCGTCCCTCTCTTCTGGCTTTTATAATTGTAGCTCATGACCCACAAGGCTTTACCAGGTAAGGGTAGCTCCAGGGGCTGCTTTTAGCTTATGCCTTAATATTGGTTGCTTTCATCCTTTAGTGAAATTTGCCTCACCCGAAGAGGGACCTCTTGGAGATGAGAGAGAGGAGATGGTCCGTGTCACTGAGGAAGAAGCTGTTGTGGAGGAGGAGGAAGATGAGCTCAAAGACGAAGTTCAGAGTCAGTCCTCTGCCTCTTCGGAGGACTACATCATCATCCTGCCTGAGTGCTTTGATACCAGCCGCCCCCTAGGGGACTCCATGTACAGCTCTGCGCTCTCGCAGCCAGGCCTGGAGCGAGGTGCTGAAGGCGATCCTGGGGTTGAGGCTGGGCAGGAACCAGTCGAGGCTGGGGAAAGACCCCCTGGAGGGGAGAACCAGCCGCAGGGGCACAGCATCAATGACATCCTCATGACCTCACAGACTCTGGACACAGTGCCCCTAACCCCAGAGGTGGTGGGGCCTCCACCACAACTGCCCAGGTACCATCTACACCCCCCTCAGCTGGGCTGTTCTTCAGAGGTGAAATAAAGAGAGAGGAATCAATTTGATCTCAAAACCTGTTTTATTTCCGCCCCCCCAGCATGGAAAGAGACTGTTTCCCATAGTAAAGTCTGAATTTAGATGAATAAAAGTTGTACTTCCTAGTATTTGTGGATTCTGGATTCAAAGAAATACTTGTTTTAGTTAATCTTAATTATCTGAGTATCATCTATCTACATGTTTTGATCATTGAAAGCCAATTTTAAACACAAACATCCCTGGACCTTCCCTACCTATTCTATTGACTCATGGGCAAAGGCAGCAGAAACTCAACTCTTATTAACCAAATAAAGTATAATTAGGCAGTTTGATCTGTTAGGGAAAGAAAGAGTATACTGTAAAACCAGAGAGAAGTTATTTCTAATTCTCTACTGGATTCTGTGTCATTGCTTTCTCATAGGATGGAAAATAGTAGAGCCTTGACTATAGTTTAAACCATTCTCCCAGGGAGCTGTTTCCCTTTATCAGCACCAGCTAATGTATGGGGAAGTGAGTAGACTACAGCCCGTCTTAACTGTGGCTGAAGAGGAAACCAGGAGAATGAGCCCTTCTCACCTGATCCCTAAATACAGACATGTGATCTGGACCAGAAATGTGAAGCTTCTGTAAAGAATTTGGCACTACTGTGCTTTGTGTACTGTATCCCTACCATTACCACAGGTGCCTTTTCAACTTACTTTCAATATTGTGTCTTTCTGAAGGAGCCCTCCTTGTGCACAGCTTCATGGCTCCCCAGGAGTGGATTTACCAGTTACCATACCAGAAGTTTCTTCAGTCCCTGATCAGATCAGAGGAGGTAATGACCAGCCTGAGCTGTATCTCTTTTGCTCCTTTCTAATGGAAACCAGGTAATAGGCACTCTGTATTTGTGATTCTGGGCAGTTTTTAGAAACTTGCCCTTTCACTCTTTCTGTGCTCCTCTAGCTTAATATTTATTAAATGAGACCTCATAAAGGTTGGCATTGTGCTGCAGTAGAAAGAACACAGGCTTTAGAGCCAGACCAGTCTAGGTTCTAGCCCTAGATCCACATTTCCTCACTGTGTGACCTTACAGTGGTTTGGCAGGTTTGTAAGGCCTGCAGGTCTGTTTCCTTACCTACAAAATAAGGAAATAGAACTCCTTGAAATTGTGGGTAGACCCTCAGAAGTCACTCTCCACTCTTCCTCAAAACAACAAAAAAGTAGTTAAAAACTCATAAACCAGTATGATAGGGTTATAGAATTCTTCTGATTAAATAAACGGTCACCTTGCATTGCATTCTGGACAGTGTCTCCTTATCCCTTAAACCACCTGGGAATTTTCCCAAATATTTAAAAAAAAAATAAAAGGCATTAAGCACTGTGATCGGATTGCCACCTGCCTCAGTGATAGCCTTGCTAAAAGGTAGGAAACACTAGGCACTGTGGATGCTGCTTCTAACCAACAGCTCTTTTGCTTTTAGAGCCCAGAGGCTCATCAGGACTTGTAAACAGCAGACAGAAGAGCTATGACCACTCAAGGTAACTGGACCTTGTGCAGCCTTTCAGAAGCAAGTGGATATCCTAGTGTTGCTTCTGCATAAACAGCCTCTTGGAGCATGTGCCACTCCAGAGAGCAAAGAAGGAGGGCCATCATTCCTTCTTGTGCTTCTTCCTCCTAGAGCTTGTGAGCAACAGAGAACAGAGGGCTAAAGTCAATGTTCAGGAGTGCTCACATTCCACACCAGAAAGGAGTGCTCGCAAATGCAGCTTGCCCTTAGTCCCAGAGGAGAAGGCAGGAAGGTCAAGCCCAATGTGCATCTTAGTAACTTTTCCTTAGACATATCGGCCTCTCTGCTCCCAATCATCTCAGAGCCTTGTCAGGGTGGGCCCCTCCCTACGGGGTCCAGAAACATCACATTTCCTTTGAGAGGTGTGTCCTCCGAGATGATAATTGAGCAGACAGATTGCCAATACCCTGCTGTGCCCGTGACCACACTGATTTTCATCTGGGCCTGAAAGCTGGCACGCTAACCAAAGTGGTGTGTTTTCTGCAGTGCCTGTATCTCGCAGCAGTAGAACTGGGCCCTATGTTAAGCCAAGATTGGTAGCTACAAAATTGATATGAAAACAGTTACATTCTTTTTATAGAACTGATTTTTTCTAAAGGAAATCTCATTTTCTTTTAAGTGGTAGCGCTTAGACTCTTTTGTAGGAAGATAACAGTTTGTGTTTCTTTAGGGAGATAATATAGTTTTCCTCCACAGGCACCACCATCATGGGAACAGCATTGCTGGAGGACTGGTGAAGGGGGCTTTGTCAGTTGCTGCCTCTGCATATAAGGCCTTGTTTGCCGGACCACCAGTCACTGCACAGGTCAGAGCATGTTTTATTCTCCCGAACCATATCCACGTCATCAGTGAAGACAGTGTCATCTGTCTGCGTTGGAGAGTAGCATGGCATTGTATGAAGCACAAGCTTTAGGTTTAGTCTTTGGTTGACAGTTCACTACTTTTGCTGTAGGACTTTGGCCAAGTTTCTTAAGGGAGGAAAGGAAAATAATGTTTGTTGAGGAGCTATTATGTGTAGCGAGCTCTTGAAGTGCTGGCACTACCAGATGAATAAGACCCCAGTCCTGCCCATAGACAGTGGGAAACAAGTGAAGTCAACAGATGTTTACAGCAGAGTGTGAGATACTGTGTTGACATTCTTGACAGCTGGAACACCTTAGCCTGGCGTGGGTCCCTGGGCCAGACCAGGGAAGACTTCCTGGTAGATGGTGCCTGAAGTAAGTTTTAAAGGACAAAATAAGTGTTTGCCAGGAAAGAGAAATAGGAAGGGCATTGTAGGCTGAGAGCGGCTAGTAAAAAGACTTGGAAGTGTGAGTCTGGAAGGTGAATTTGGGCTAAGACAAGTAAGAAAAGACCTTAGCTAGGCAAGCCGGTGCTGTGTTAAGTGGTTTGGAGTTTATTTTAACACTAGTGGGAGGAGCTATTGAAGGGTTTTAGGGAAGTAATTAACATGATCAGATTTGTTCATTGTAAAGTTATTTTAGTGTGGAGGCTGGTGGAGCTGGGAAGTCTATTTGAGAATCTATGTGTAGAAAGATAGGAAAGAAACAAATGGCAGAACTTGGAGACGATGATTAAATGGCTAGAAGTCAAGGATAAATCCCCAAGTTTCCATTTAGGCAATCAGTAGTATCATTCATTAAGAGACGATGTGCAGGAAGAATATATTTAGGCAGGAGGAGAAGAAAATTAGGTCAGTTTGGGCAGTGCTGAATTTGAGACACATCCAGGCAAAGTTATCCAGGGTGCAGTTGGGTATGTACATCTGGGTCACAGGAGAGATTTGGCCTGGAGATAAAGTCATTTGTATACAGGTTATAGCAGGAGCCATGTGATTAGATGAGATTTTCCAGGAAAAATGGGGAAGGCAAGAAGCAACCTTTAAGGATCATGGAAAGAAGGAGCGCCCCTTCAAAAAAAACTTGGAGGCACATGAAGAGAGAGTTCTGTGCTGGAGTTTAGGAAAGGGAGCCTTAATGAGGAGGACATGGCCAGCAGTGTCAGAAATGTGAACAGGTAGAGACGACTTTGACAGTGAAAGAATGCCTCACTGAACTAGTTGGGTTACCTGCTCTGGCTCGGGAGCTCAGTCGGTTAGAGCATCATCCCAATACACCAAGGCTGTGGGTTTGATCCCCGTTCAGGGCACATACAAGAATTAACCAATGAATGAATGAATGAATAAGTGGAACAACAAATCAGTATTCCTCTTTCTCCTTCCTCTCTCTCTAAAATCAATAATTTTTTTAAAAAATAGATGGATTACCAAGGGGAAAAGAGAGTGAAAGCATGGATACATAAATCAGAGGGAAACATTTTTAAAGATGGGCCAGTAGCAAAGGAGATTAACAAGATGAGAGGATAATTAATAGAAAAAGATCTCTGAGCTAGAGGTAATAAAACACAAAGCAAAGTAAACTTGGAAGGATTAACTTGGCAAGAAGGATGGATCATTTATTCTGAAATAAGAGGGAAGAAGAGAACAGTGTGATATTACATATAAAGGGAAATGACAGTGACTGTGCTCAACACATTTACATACTTTCTCATCTTAATACTCTCAACATGCAAAATTGGGGGTACTCTTATCTCCGTTTTCATAAGTAAGGGCAATTGATACTCAACACAGTTAGTAAACGCTAAGAGTCAGGGTATTCCAAGTATTAGGATTTAAGGTTGTGTCTACCATGGGGCGTGGCCCAAAGAGGGAGTAAATGAATGTTAACTCCCTCTTACCTGGGTCGCTTCTACCAAAATAGTAATAATAACAAAGAAAAAAAACCTAGGCGGTCACCTAGGATGTAATTTTCCAAGCAGTGTTTTGTCCAGCTCTTTGGTATATCTGATTGACTATCCCATACCAACTTCCAGTAATAGTCTCTTCTCTTGCTTATACTTGTCCCATTCTCACAATTACCTTTATTTTCATAGGGCTTCCAAAGCTTGTTTGCATCCTTTCCTTCACTGGGCCAAAGAATATTTCCTCCTAAAAGTTCCCTCCGAAGCCTTCTCCTCCTAGGTCTAAGGACAGTTCATTAGTTGCCCGATGAGTACAGACCGTGCCTACTATAAAACAGGGCCTTCCGTGTTTTCCCCCGCTCAGGTGGCCTGTTATCAGGTGTACAGGACTGCCATGCCCTTGCATCTAACCTAATATTTTGAATAAATCTGGAAATATTAGTATGACTTAGAAAATAAACACATAAATGTTATTCTGCTTTTCTTGACTCTACACAGCCTGTAGTTTCTGAAGATCAGACAGCAGCCCTGATGGCTCATCTCTTTGAAATGGGATTCTGTGACAGGCAGCTGAACATGAGGCTGCTGAAGAAACACAATTACAACATCCTGCAGGTTGTGACAGAACTCCTTCAGGTCAACAACAATGACTGGTACAGCCACCGCTACTGAGGAGTAACCATGTATTAAATAACGTTGCCTGCTGCTCAGAGATGATCTTTATTGTCATTGGGGTGTGGGTTAGAAGCCCTTGCTTATTTTTTAATCTGATGAGTCTGTATAGAGCCCATCATTGAACTGTCAAGACAATACCTGTATTACAATATTTTTTGGAGCAAATGAAAGACCAGAACATAAGTTTTCACTTTAGACATTGAATGAACAGTAGGAAGACAGCTTTTCAGTTGGAGAACTCCTTTCTCCATTTTAGTGCGTTGAAGAGTATAACTTGAACTTCCTATACAACCATTTTTCTTTCTGCTTGTGTTGAAGTTGAGTATTTTTCTTGGTTAATGTGGATGTTTTTATGAGGGTTATATGTTGTCAGTTTTTAAAAGAAATTAACCCTGAAAGTTGGTTTCAAGAATTACGCAGAATTTCTTTACCCTACCCCAAGCCTTGTAGTTACGTGGTATTGAAATGATGCCCAGAGCATGATAGGAATGTTCCTCTTCCTTTCCCTAGCAGAAGGTCATTTCCCTGCAAGACTTAGTAATTGGCGTCGTTGCTAAAGAGCCCATTGATAAACTTAATATCTACCTTCTGGGTCTCTGCACTTCAGTGAAAGGAGGAGGTACTGATAGTATGCTAATTAAACCGCCAGCACCTTTTGAGCAGTGTCTATTGTAGTAATTTTGCATACATTTTTCTTTTATTTAAGGGAGAAAAAAATTAGGTAGTGTGAAATATTTTGCTAATCCTATAGAGGAAAGAAAAATTTTATTAAAGGAAAAGTAAATTTAAGTTACCTTTTTTCTTTTGTCAGGACAGATCTTATTTACAGTAGTAGAGGGAGGGGGAGTAGAAACAAGTGAAAGGTGAAAGGCAGGCTCCTGTGTTAACCTCAGGAAAGTTCAGGGTGGGGCACGTAAGTGTGCCGTGAGGCACAGGAAATCCTGATGACTTCCTGAAAGTTTGAAATCCGTTCAAGGGTACCTATCAAGGGTATCTAGAGAGTCCAGAACAGAGAGAAGAGGCTGGTGTTTTCCAAAACTTGGTTGGGCGGAAACATTGAAAAAGTTTTGGTTTAACCCCAGGATGAGTGGAGTGGGGAAGAGCTTCCTGAGGTGCAGGTTCTCACTGTTTGAGTCTTGGGTACAATTGATGAAGAAAGAGGTTACAAAAAAAACACTAAAAGATATATTCATGAAAGTAACTTAAAGTAAAAGAATCTTGCCCCAGCCTGAAGGGGGGAAGGATAGTTAAATAGTATTATTTAACCCGGTTGGTATTTATAATTAATGATTTTAATTAATCATTAGCCATAATGATGATGTTTATTTACAGTATAACTCTCGAATGCTAATTAATAAGCCAGGATTCATACTGCAAGCCAAACAGGCTGTTCATTACTTAAAACCTTTTTATCCGGGCTTCTGGGCAGAGACTGAGCGGCAGAGTGTGTGTAATTGGGTTGATGTGGGGCGGGGCCTGTCTGACCATCTGTGTCGTATTGTGGGGATGCAAGAGGGCGCTGGGTCCTGTCGTCCGCCCCTTTGTACGTGTACGTAACCGCTGGGGGGGGGAAATGGTGAAATAAAGGTTCTTTGAAACTCCCACCTGAATTGGCTGGTCCTTGCGGAAGTGGCGTCCGGAGCCTGAACAGCCTTTGAAGAACCCGGAGCATCTCTGGCCGCTGCATCCGGGGTGGGGCGGGGCCGGGCGGGCACCGGCCTGTAAGGGCGGGGACGGGACGGGGCGGAGCTTCCCGAGGCCGACCGTCAAAGCCTGGGTCAAGCCCCAAGCTCCCGTGCACACTTTCGATTCTGCTTGCAACCGGTTCTGTCGCTGTGTGACCTGGGGATGAGGGGGGTAAGGCGCTCCTTTCTGTCTCTTTGGGAGGCAAGGGTCAAGGCACCTTCCGTGCCTCCTAGCCCGACACACAGGCGCACACGGAGACCAAACTCGACTAACGGCCACTCAGGGTGTCTGGTGGGACGTGAAATCTCTCCCTCCATGAAATTTCAGTCTCTCCGTCAACTCCTACCCTCCCAACCCCACCCCAGCGTGTGGCTGGCCTCGGAGTAGGGCGGGAAGCAGCTTGGCCCTCTGGGGGTGCTACGGTCGTCGCTGCTCTTCACTCCTGCCAACGCGGTGCATTGGGTCCCCAGGACTGCTGAAGGGGCCCGGTTGCCCTGGCCAGCCCCCGCCGTGGCTCCTCGGACCACCCTGCCCTGCAGGCCCTCCTCCCCATAGAAGCAGTCCCAAATCTGTTCTCGCAGCTGAGAGGAGCCCTGGATCCCAGACCGAAACCAGGTGAGGCTCCCTTTATTTTATTTTTTAATTTTTTTTAATTTATTTTAGAGAGCGAGGAAGGGAGACAGAAAGGAAGAGAAAGAGAAACATCAGTTTGTTTCACTTATGTATTCATTGATTGTTTCTCATGTGTGCTCTGGGGATCGAACCCACAACCTTGGCATATCAGAGCGATGCTCTGGCCAACTGAGCTACCCAGCCAGGGCCATTCCCTTTATTTTACCCCAAGAAGTTCTGAGTGTGGCTTGTCTTGCCCACTCACAGTGCTACACTCGAGTTTGGGGGAAGAAGCTAAATTTAACCTTGGCCTTTCCCAGTGAGAGACCCCGACATTGCCACCACCTGCCCTGAGGCGTTCTTTCCTACCCCACCTCAAAAAGCAGTGAGGAAGATATTTATGCCACCTTCCAGGATAATTTTAGGGTTTTTCCCCCGTTCATGTGACCAGGTTAGCCTCCTTTCTCATGTTTCAAAGAATCCCTGCCTTCCTATTACAGCCTGCACCTGCCCGGGTTCAGGACTGGAAGCTTTTCTTCCACACCTGGGCTGGGAGACCCCGGGCATTTCTGCCTGGGTGCTCTGGAGATGTCTTCAAAGTCCTGTTCTTGCACAGAAAGCAGAAACTGGACTGACTTCCTTCCCCTGCCCTATCCAACTTACTTCCCTTGAAGTAAATGGCTGCTCAGCAACTTTCCTAGCGGGGAGGGGGGAATAAGTGCTCTGCCATTCACACATGAAAGTCCCTTAAAGTGAAATAACTTCTCCTTTTCTGTTCCCTCTTGTAGGCAGATTGAGCTCTCCTACAAAAATGAAATGAATTGAAATGCATTGAGATTTCCAACCTGAGAGTCCAAAGTAACTGCTCGATTTTCCATACCCCAGCTTGCTTAGGCTTGAACTTGCTGAAAATGTGGTGGGACTCCTTGCCAATCTTGAGAACCTAAAACTAGAGTGACTTTCAGCATTCAACCCCTAATGTTAATAGGTCAACATTAACAAGCTTAGCACTGAACTTGGTTCTTTTCTCATTCACGAAAAAGCGCCCTGAACGATGATGGGTGAGATATTCTCCCAGCTGGGCTCTCAGGAGGATGAAAAGAAGCCCATCCTACCCCCTGCCTCAGCCATTGTCAGCAAGGCTGCCGGATACGCCAGCAAGGGTAGCAGCAAGTGTTTTCCTTCCCCTGCGTCTTGTGAAAGGGCTGCTGGTGCCAGCTGTGTGACTTGTCCCACCTGCCAGGGCAGTGGGGAGATCCCTCCAGGTGAGTGGCTCAAGGCTCCGGAAGTAGCCTGAATCCAGGAAATGCTCTTAGCGGTCAGCTGGCCTATGGTCAGGCGCTTCTGAGACTCCTTGAATGGGATTGGGTCTCCCAGCTCTGGTCCCCCAGTTGTAGGCTGGCCAGGGAGATGTTAACCCCTCGTGCCCTGGTGGTTCTCCCTAGCCCCAGGGGGTTTCCAGCCTCTCTGCTCCCTTAGGATTCAGGGAGCTACAAATGACTTCAAAGAAGCTAGTCCCTGATTTGCTGGTGGCTTGCAAAGGTTCTTCACATGTGTTTATGAAAATCTCACCTTCATTCTGGAGATGGTAAAATGAGCTGCCAACTTCAGCAGCGCAGCCCAGTGCCTCCTGCTCTGGGTGGCCTGCTTCTGACGTTGCTCTGTGGGGTGGAGGGGTACTTCTGGCAGGCTGGCCCAGGAAACATTTGTCATGGGCACTTCCCGGCCCTCCCTCTCACTTCTTTCTCTCTACAGAGCTAGAGAAGCAGCTGGTGGCCCTCATCCCCTATGGGGACCAGAGGCTGAAGCCTAGGCACACGTAAGTCCCTCTTTCTACCCCTCAACTCCACAGGCTGTTGCCCGTGGTGGGTGTTCCTCTTTGTCTCCTCTGTTCTGCCTCCTCTATTTTTTCTCCATTAATTCTCCCCTAAAAAGCCTGAGCCTCACTGGGCTCAGATGTACTAGTCCCATTTCTGTAGATTTTCCTGATGTAAGAAATCTGGGACATAGCTACCTAAAGCCACTTGGTGTCCTTCTCATGAGCACCACTGTCTTCAAGAAGCATGGCTCCCTTTGGAAGACAGAGAGGACGTCTTGAGCCTGCGAGTCCTTCCAGGGCAGAGGGAGGGGCCCTGGCTGCAAAGGGTTTGGGGAAGTTATTTTTCTGAAGAGCATCCCTTGCTGTGGCAGTTCAGACCTGCTTGTCCTGTTCCCAGTAGAGATGGAAAACCAGCTGCTCCCTGTTCGGAGACACTTCAGAAACTCAGAGGCAGCCCCGACTTTCACTGGGGCTGGGATGGGGGTCGTGACCCTGATTATCATCTGCGTCCATTTGCCATGGGTCCCTATAACCCCTTCCCAGGGCACGTCCTCCCGGGGCCCTGCGGGGGACTTCAGTCTGGGAGCCAGCACCCAGCCCTTCCCACAATGACACTGGGATCTGATTCTAGCAGTATCCCTCATGAGAGACTTGCGAGGTGCTACCTCTTTAATGCACGTCTCATTTTTTTATTAGATGGACAGATGATGCCCTGTTCTGAATATTCAGAACTCTCAAAATTCACGTGGACTAACTTTTTCCAGGGGTAACGACTAACATTTGTTTAGCTTGAGCTATGTGCCAGGACCTAGGATTGGTGCTTTTTTAAATGCCTTAGCTTATATCAAATCCTGTGAGGTAGATAACAATTATCTCCATGCTACAGACAAGGAAACTGAGGCTTAGGGTTGCCCAGAACTACTGGAGAGGTAGGCATAGAAAGCTGGGAATGAAAGCTGAGCTCTCTGCCACCCAGTCCTGCGCTCCTAACTGCTCTGGGCCACTTGCGCACATAGGCTGGTCCTACACATCCAGGGGGCTGAATATACATGTGGGGGTGGGGGGGCTGGGTGCAGAGGAGAGCCTTGTATATGGAGAAGAGTGTCTGAACGCCCCTGCCTGAGTCTCCTCGGTCCTCTCCAGTCCTCTCCCTGGGCCCTGCTTTCCCCACAGGAAGCTCTCCGTGTTCCTGGCGGTGCTCATCTGCCTCGTGACCACCTCCCTCGTCGTCTTTTTCCTGTTTCCCCGGCCCATCACCGTGCGGCCTGCGGGCCTCAACTCCTCCACCGTGGCCTTTGACAAGTCTGATATCCACCTCAACATAACGGTGGGTGGATGCCTGCGCCCCTGGGCACCCAGAGGGTATGAGAACCCCAGGAAGAAGCAGGGGCAGCCTTGAGCACCGTAACAGGTTATGTAGGATGGGGGACTCTCCACAGTGAGGGGTCAGAATCAGGGCCCCAGGAATAAGTCACAGGGTGTGATGGCGGTGGCTGCCTGACACTCCCTGGGTGGCCAGGCTGAGGCTGGGGCTGGGGCCTGAGGCAGCTGAACGTTTTGGTTGAAGAGGCCCCTCACTGCTAAGAGCCCCTGCGAGGGGCCGCTGCTCCTCCGCAGCGGGGGACCATGCTGGGGGTGGAGCTCAGTCAGGCTGGGGGTTTTGAAACTGTTTGACTTCCCCTTTCCAGAGATGGCCGCTCTCACCCTTCCCTTTCCTTGTCCCCATCCCGCAGAACATCTTGAACATCTCCAACAGCAACTACTGCCCCATCACTGTGACACAGCTAACCATCAAGGTTCTGCACCTGTCCCTCGTGGTGGGCCAGGTCTCCCACAGCCTGCTCCTGCACATAGGCCCTTTGGCCAGTGAGCAGGTGACTCCCTGTCCCTGGCTAGCCCTGCCCACAGGAGTGTGGGTGTGTGTGGGGGTGGGAAGGGGGCAGCGGCGGAGTTGGGGCTGAGCCTCTGCCTGTTCGGTTGACAGGTGTTTTATGCAGTAGCCAACAAGATCTTGGATGAAAGCACATAGTGAGTGTTCCTTGATCTCTTCTCCCTCGGTCTCTCTTCTGATTAGAAACCTGGTTTTAATCCCCACCAGACCTCCTGATTGCTTAGCAAACTCTGCACCCAGCATTTGGCCTGCACACTGGGCTGAAGCTGCAACGATTCAGGATCCCCTCCTGTTTGGACCTAGATTGTAATGAAAAACAGGCTAGAATTTGGTTAATCTTAACAATGTGACCTTCGGCTCTTCAGCCCTAATTGCTGAGAAAGATAAGTGTCTTGTTTTCTGCCGAAGGAGGGCCCAGCTTGTGCTTGGACCAAGTGGGCGGGGATTGGGGGAGTGATAGTGCAGAAAGGGTGACATACTCATCTTAGGTAGAGGGAGAGACGGGGGTGGAGTGGCATTTGGGGCCCCTGATGGAAAGGAGCCAAGAAGGTGCGGAGGCTGGGACCTGTGGGGCTCTAAGCCTTCTGTTAGACTACTCAGTGTGAAACATGGTCCACTGTGTGTGTGTGTGTGTGTGTGTCTGTCTGTCTGTCTGTCTCTCTCTCTCACAGCAAAATCTGTAGCTGGCTCAAAATCAAAGTCCACCATGTGCTTTTGCACATCCAGTAAGTAGTGCTTGGAGCCCTTGTATCCCGTCTCGGGCCTCTGACTCCGGTTTCTCCTCAGCCCCGCCTTGTGAGAGGAGAGTCATCCAAGCTGACCCCATGAATCTTAGTTCTTGGGAAAAGCAGGTCCAGCCCCTTCTGTATAAACAACCCACCTTGTTTATAAGCTATTAGTGTGACAGCCGTAGAGCCATCCAGAACACAGGTGGGGCAGCAACCCCAGGTGCCTTAGCAGAGTGGGGAACCAAAGAAAGGGGGCAGTACCTGAGGGAGCCAACCCACCCTCCCCAGTCTGCAGAGCAGGGCCTGGGCTTTTCTCTTCCTCCCAGACACAGCAACAAAGTCGCTTCCTCTCCAGGGGCACCGTGACCTGTACCTACATGAGCCATTCAGAGCAGCTGGTCTTCCAGAGCCATGAATATGTGGACTGCCGGGGAAACATGTCAGTGCCCCACGTGCCTCACCTTCCGTGACCTCTCTGCCGTCTCCAAAGTCTAGGCACCTGCCAGCCTGCTCCGTGTCTCTCAGCTCCATGGTGCCCAATGAAGGACTAGGGTGACTTTGCCAAAGGCAAAGCACTGCTCTATCATACCCTCCCGTCCCCCGCCGCATACACACCCCCTCAGCACAGGAAGCTTTCTGTGGAAGTTAAGTGTACACACACACACACACACTCACAGCGATATCCTGATTTCCACAGGAACAGAGGCCTGGCTCTTCTAGGGGCCGCCCCCAGGTTTTCCCCTTGGTCTGTTGAGGAAAGTTGGACCTGATGTTTCCTTGGAGTCCCCGGAGGGGCTCCTCCCCTTTCTTGCCCAGCTTCTCAGGTCGAGCCTTCCTCCTGCCTCAGGATGGAGAAAGCTTTCCTTGTATCTGGCTTTAAAAACATGAATTCTTTCCAGGTTCTCCACCTAGTGATAGGAAAGCAACTGGGGGACATTCAGTGCTGTCTCCAGGGTCATTTAGGGTATGCGGGTGCTCTCCTGTGCCTCCCTGCTTTGGTCGTGTGACAAAGTGATGGTGATGGTCTGCTTCTCCCCAGGAATTTGTCCCCTGCCCATCTGACAGCTGGCTTGGCCCAGGCCCTTTGGTTCAGCACCCTTCCTGGGTAAAGGCTGTCCTTGTTCCCAGGAAGACAGCCATTCTTCAGCCCAAGCTTCTCTCCGTAAAACAGCTTTATTCTCTTCACCGCAGGAGAAAATTACTGGGGGAGGAGAGGGGAGGGAGGGAGCGATGCACCTGGCACCACTTGGGCCACATGGGAAAGTCAGACAAAGCCAGAGTTGTTTTAAAATGCATTTATTGAAGGAGAGCCCATGTGAGTGGACAAAGCCAAACGGTGGCCTGGCTGCCGTCTCCCCGGAGGCCAGCGGAGGTAAGGCTCTCGGTTCCCAGCCAAACGGCTGGGCTGGGCTGGGCTGGGCTGGGCTGGGCTGCGCCAGGAGCTGCCTTCTGCTCCCGGAGGCTGCTGCTTTCCTTTGGGCCTTGGCCGTCTGGGGCAACACATCAGGAGGGACTGGTTTGGACCCTCTCCACTTTGCTGTCACTCAAATGAAACTAAGCTCCAGGTATTCCAGGTCCCCCTGGGCTCCAAGTGGAGGCAGTTTCTGTTCTTGAGCTGAGCAGAAATGGTGTTTGCTCATTCAGGTGGCTATGGTTTTTATTGGACAGGCAGAGAGATGAGCTGAGGTGACGGGGAAAGCTGAGCTTGAAGTAGGATGGATGGAGAAGGGGAACCAATGACAGAGGCTGGTGACTGGCTGCCTCGGACCACAAGAAGGAGGCTGTGCTGTCTCTGCACTTTGATGTCTAAGCAACTGGGGTCAAGGCGGTGCTGGCAAGAGCAGAGAAGTCCAGGAAGCCGGGTTAGAGCTGCTGTGTGTATACATCACTAAATGTAAAGAATTTATCTTGTAGTCAATAAAGTGAATACTTAGTGTTTCAAAAAAAAGTCCCCTGGGAGTGAAAGGGGAGCTGGTGGACATGCTGCATCTCAGCCTGCTTCCTGAGCTCCCAGTGGGCGTCAAGCCCTCCTCCCCAGGCCCTGAGCCCCTTGGTCATATTTTCAGGCTTCAGAGTGATGGCTCCCAAGGAGCTTGCTCCCTCCCTTTCGCTCACTGTTCAGCTCTAAGGTCGGTCCCTTCTAACTTTAGTCCTGTCCTGTGTCCCCCCCCACCCCCAACCCCAGCGGCTTCCCTCAGGAAACACGGCACTGAGGCGCTCCTGTCTGACCAAAGGCGATGCTGTGTGGGCCATAAGAACTAGCCCGAGGTGTCCCCTTCGCTGGCCCCAGATGGGAGAGGCGGCCGGGCTGGAGGCCCCTGGTGTCAGCTTCAGGAACTGGCAAGGGAGCCGCCTGGGCCTTTGGAGCCTCTTGGCTGTCCCTGCTCCTTGGAAGAGCTGAGACTCAGAAGGGTCCTGTGCAGTTTGGTGGGTCAATTTCCCTCCCCTTCCAGGGTCAGGAGCCCTGTTCCTGAGGCTATAGCTCCCCTTCACTCTGAGCTCTGTCTCTCCATTCCTGCCATTCATCACCTATCCGATAGCTGAGTGCCCACTGTGGGCCAGGCATTACACTGGACTTGGGGGGTCCCTGTCTGCCACCTCTTCCCACAGCTGCCCCAGACCTGCTCTGGTGGGAGGCAACCCCTCCTCCCCCAGCTATACGTCAGTAAGCATCGGCTAGGGGGAAGGGGTCATGGCTTCTGGGAGAGTCAAACCTGAAGCCCCCACAGAACTATCATTGCTTTAAAAAAAAAAGAAAAGAAAAGGCTAATAGTGGCGCTATAGACCTGGGAGTCCAAGGCCAAGCTCTCCAATTGGCTTTTCACTTTCTTTTCACCCTCTCCAACCCCTTCATGGGTCTTCCTGCCCCCTTCCCTCACCCCAGTCTTACCGAGCTGGCCAGCCTCACTTTTTTTCCAGCAAGAAATCACATTTCCTTCCCAACTAGCCTCCTGTTCTAGAGTAGGTCAGCAGGGTATGGCTTTTGGAGTGGAGATGTTGCTGGGTGGTGAAATTGCAGGTGCTCTCTGTTTTTTACTGATGGCCAGTGGGGTCTTGGGCTCCATTTCTGGATCACCACTGCTGTATGTAATCCATTGACTGAGAAAAGGAAGAAACAGGAAGCAAAATAGGTTAGTTAGCAGTTTCTGAGCCTGCTGGTTTCACAGTGTGAGCCTTTCGGGGCCAGAGGACTCAACAGCTCCGTCCTCATCCTAAATGGGTTAGAGGTGAGCCAGGCTCTAAGCTGAGTGCTTTTGATGCCTTCGCTTGTTAATTGCCACATGTCAGTGACCATGAAACCTCTGTGAAGGAGGTGGTGTTACCGTTACTAGCTTCTGGAGGTTCAGAGATGAAGTCACAGTACTAGGGCGTGGTGATCCTGCCTGAGATCAACACCCGCCGGACTGGCGGTCTTGAGTTCCTCCTGCTCCAGCTGTCTCTACCCGATCAGCACTTCCAACAGCCTCATCATTTGCTTCTCTGCCACCTGTCCCCTCTCTCCAAATAGATTGTCAACCCCTTCACTTATGCTTAGTGCTTAGCAACAACTCCTATGTAGGCATTTTTAGGGGCTAAGGAACAGGAGAATGGGCCATCCAGCAGTGGCTTTGACATAATTACAGCCTTGGCCAGTGTGGCTCCATTGGGTGGGCACCATCCTGCAAAGTGAAATGTCACCAGTCTGATTCCCAGTCGGGGCACATGCATGGGTTGCAGGTTTGGTCCCTGGTCGGGGCATGTGCGAGAGGCAATGGATTGATGTTTCTCTTCCTCTCCTTCTCCCTTTCCCTCTCTCTAAAAAATAAATAAAATCTTTGAAATAATCACAGCCCCTCCCCCTCTCCTGCCAAGGATGCTGTCTAGACTCTCCACAAGCGCGCTCAGACACGCAGCTGGAGTCTGCAGCCTTCCTCTCTCTGTCTCACCTTGAATCGTGAGTCCCTGGTGCATTTATCCAGGCACGGTTGGTCCGATGTCCTGAAACCTGATGACAAAACAGAGCATAGGTTGCACCTCTGGCAGTTTTCGAGACTGGAACAGGGCAGAACCAGACTCTTTACTACGTGGCTGGGGGACCTACATGGAGCCAGGCACAGACTGAGCCCACCCTGAAAGTTCCCAAGGAGGAACTGTGCTGGCCTGCTCCAGGACTCACAGGGCTCAGGGTGTCTGTTGCAAAGGCTGCAACTCACAGTGTATCCTCAAACCGCCCTCATCCCCTCTGTCACCCTGGAGGAAGGCCTAACAACTTCTCGGCCACCCTCTCCTGAAGTTGGCACCCTTCTTTGCAGTGCTACGTCAGTGCACACACACTTAGAGGGAGTGGCCAAGTTAAGGCCAACGGGCTCTGGGGAAAGTCAGGGAGGGTGGGGTAGCAGGTGTGGATTCTGAACTATAGGGCTGGGACGGGGGGCTTCCCACTTACCAGGACCCTGAGGGGTTTTCCACCCTTCTTGGAAGTTATTGTTCAAGTAGTTGGATTGCTCTCCGTCTTGATGGGTCCCCACTGAGCCATGCTGGGGACCAGGCTTTTGGGAATTCTTGCACTGGTGCATGGAGGTGCACTGAGGAGGAGGGTCTTGGGCATTTTGTTGCCGTTGCCAAGATGGTGACTGTGGCGGTGGCTGCACCTGCACCTGCGACAGCCACTGCTGCGCTGCTGGCCTCGGCAGGGGCGGCTGTGATTGCAGCAACGATGGCCGCACCTCCTGCTGTGACTCTGCAGATGCCTGGGGTCGTTTCTCGGACTGGTATCCCTGCTCTTGGAGTGTCTTTGGTTTCTGGCAAGAAGCCCCGGGCAAGTGACATCCTTCTCCCTCCCACCCAGTCACCCAGCCGCCAGATGCCATGGGGAGCAAGACAACCAAATCCAGAGGAAGAGGTGTCCGAGGGTCTCTGCTCCCTGGAGTTGGAGGCCGAGGCCAGAGTGTGGGCTATCTCCCTTCACCCCAGAGCTGTTCCTCGGGTGACAGTGCCCCCAGTGCCCCCTGGCACAGTCCCTGCCCAGGAAACATCAGTCTCTGAGCACCTACCTCCTTAGCTTGAGAATTGTGCACTGAACAACAGTTTGCAGGGCAATGAAGAACAGTTTGGTGCAAATACTTTGAAACAGCCCTGGCCAGCCCTGGCTGGCATGGCTCAGTGGATTAGGCACTGGCCTGCAATCTAAAAGGTCACTGGTTCAATCCCCCATCAGGGCACATGCCTGGGCTGCAGGCCCAGTCCCTAGTTGGGGGCATGTGAGAGGCAACCAATGTTTGTCTCATACATCTCATACATTGATCTTTCTCTCCTTCTCTTTCTCCTTTCCTTCCCTTCTCTCTAAAAATAAATTTTAAAAATCTTTAAAACAAACCCAAACCAGCACTATCCAATAAAAATATAATATGTGCCACATGTAATTTTAAATTTTCTTGTAGCAACACAAAGAGTAAGAAGAAAGTTAAAAGTAATTTTAATAATAATTTTATTTAACCTAATACATCCAAACATATAATCGATAAAAATATTACATGATTTATAGTCTTTGTTTTTGTACTAAGTACTTAAAAGCCAGCATGCATTGTACACTTACTAGCACATCTTATTTAGGACACAACAATTTCAACAAAAATAATTCAGATTTAGATTTCATCAAATTTCCAGTTGAAAAAGTAGATTCACATATCCAAGTTGTTCCAAACATGAAGCTTTCCAATACGTTAACTGAGTATTTATTTCTAAATTAATATTTAAATGAACTAAGTGTGTATAAAACTAAATTCAGTTCCTCAGCCTCACTGGCCACATTTCAAGGGCTCGATTGCATGCAGGCTGGTGGCCGCCCTATTGGACACCGCAGCTTTAAAACCTCCCACGCCTGAGCTCCCTCAGTGCCCCTCTAGGGCTCAGCAAAGCTGAGTGAGTCACCCCAACACACACACACACACACACACACACACACACAAGTTCATCCAAGAGAGCACCAAAGGACCTTGCTTTCCTCCTATCCCCAGCTAAACAATGTTCACAAGATAATAGATGGCTTCCTAGGGGGTCTATCTTCCCTCCCTATTCCCTGAGGAACTTGACCCCTCCTCACGCACCTCCTCTTGCTGTTGCTTTTGTTGGGCCAGCATCCACCGCCTCCGGTCCAAAGCCATCTGCCGGCGGCGGGCTTCCCAGTGGTAAGCGCTGCCCATGGCGGTGGAGGTGGGCGGGGCCCCAGGCAGGGGACGGGGCAGGCTGAGCCCGGGACGCCGCCGTCGCCCCCACCACCGCTATCACCTCT